CTAATGCTGGTTGCCAGTGAGCCAACAAGAAAATGAGAAAGCCTGGTCACAGTGAGGCTTCTTGGGAAGAGCAGTGATGGTAGCTGTCACGTCTTGGAGGCTGAGAAATGCGTAAAGAGTTAAGGCCATTGCAAGAGCAAAATCTGCATTTGTAAATGGTGTTACCTTATCTTGTTCTGCTTCTCTCCCTGCCCCCCGATAAACAATGAATTAAAAATTAAAAACAGCTGTAGAAGGTCATGTGGCAGTTTATCCTGATGCTTTGTAGCGAGATAAAAATTAGTTTAATGATATTTCACTAGAACGCTCTTTAAAAATAAGGATTATACATATCTGTTCCCTGCCTTAATAGAGGTCCAAAACACGCAGGCGGTCTTGCAGGAAGTCTGGGCAGTATGAGTTGTATCTCTGTCATCCCCGTACTTTATTTTTTTTAAAGAAAAGCTGTTCTTGGACAAACTACAAGCAGAGTTTCAGGTTTTCTCAAATAATTCTGACTGCTGCTTCAAAAAATCTTGAGGTTAATCTGATCCTCTGCTTGACCTCTGACAAACATAAGTTCTGGCACAGTCCTGAACCATCCAGTCATACGGTGTGTTTACTAAACTGCTGAGGTTAATCCAAGCAGATGTTGGTGTTTAAGCAGTGGCTGGACGGAGAGGAAAAGTAGCTACAGGCTCTTTAAGCCAAAATACTGTGAAATGTGGCTGGCATTTTTTTCCTGACAAACACTGAAGGCTCGTACATTGGGGCAGTGTGAGAGCTGCACAGGTTCCTGACGGCGCTCTTCCAGGCTGTCTGCGAGAACAGGGAGTAATTGTTGGGCCAGTTATTAAATGTAAATGTTACCGGGCTTGATGTGTGGGTTGGATTTCCTGCTGGTTCTATAAGAACCCTACAAGAAGTTGGTGAGATGTGAAGAACCCTATTGCACAGTAATCGCTGAAGCTTGACTCAAGCAGGTAGGCTCCTGCATTTTTTATCATATCCGCTATTGATTGACTTTTGAAGAGTTTTGCTAAGTTACTTATACTTAATTATCCTTTTTTTTTTTTTTTTTTTTTTTTAAGGAGAGGTATAAATGATTTACTGCTTGTGCAAGGAACTGGGATTTCTGTACTGGAATTTGTGGGGATTAGAGAGGAATATTTTATTTCTGGCATTCCGTTGTGCAAACTTAAATCCAAGGCTCTGTCAAAGTGGGATAACTGTCAGACAATATGTATGACAGTCAAAATGGAGCAAGATGGGAGAGACTGTAAATCAGGATATTTGTTAGAAATGCCCCAAATACTGAGCATTACAAACGCCATCTCTTCTGAGCTGATACCAGGGGCAGCTCTTAAGAGCATGGACTTCTTTCGCTTCTCGGTCACAGCAGTTGCCTCCAAAACAGACTGTAATTTCCTGATGCAGGAGATGCTGCCACCTCGGATGATTTATGCCTGTCTGGATTATGGATTATGTCCAGTCCGTTCTGACAGGGTTCCTAAGTAGCCCAGTGCAAACAGCCCTAAATCCCTTGCATTGCTGCTTTGTTGTGAATGTTGATGAAGGCTTGTGAGATACTTCAAGGTGTGATTTATTTATTAGTTGCTGTGACAGCTCTGATGTTGCTGACGGGGAGGAAATGTCTTCTGTTCAGTCTGGATGTTCATTCCCTGCATGTGTTTCTGGGAAAGAATTGCCTGAGGTAGTTCGGAAACTTTCTCTTGGCAGCTGCTGCTTTCCAGAAATTGAGAGGTAAAACACTTTAGATCCTTCAGATCTAATCTGAATTACATGTAAAATCGGTGAGGAACTGCATTATTAAATTATTCTTGATATGTTTAAACCATAGAGGGGTTGATTCTTTTAGATGGTAATTGCTATTTTTGCTTGCATTTGATTAAATAGATAAAAATAGGTTTTAACTCTCCTGTCCAAATAGCAATTTTGTGGTGACTGCATTGGGTGTTACTGTATTTACTACACTGGTGAAAAATATTCTTATGAGCACATGGACATTGTCTGGATAACAAAAATCTGCTTTTTCAGTTAGTTTCTATCTAACTATGTAAACCTGCTAGCTCTGCTTGCGTTACTGGAGGTTTAGGGCTGCTAAATTCAAAAACACAAGCAGCATGAGACAAAGATCATTCTGGGTTGAGAGGGATACCAACGCTTTGGGGGAACGGGAAAAAAAAAGTTTGGCTTTGCTGAAGTTTTCAAATCCTGCTTGGAGAAACCAGCTGGGAGAGGATGGATGTTTTTAGACAGCCACCGGCGGGCTGTGACAGCGTGTAGGCAGCTGGAGACAGTTGTTGGTAAAGCAGCAAAGTGCTTGCTGGAGAACTTCACAGCACGGGAAGGAAAGGAGCTGGGCAGGGTAAGTTCATTCGCTGGGTCCAAATAGCTTGCAGAAGAGAGCCCTGGATAGGGAGGACGGCAAGGTGGAAGTGGAGGCATCCGTGACTGTTTCCTCTGGGTCCTTGTGACCAGTGTAAGCATTCAGTCCTCCCTCTGGAGAGCCACGTACAGAAGGGTAGGGCTGAATGCTCTCCTGGTCCCTCAGGAGAGGTCCCAAGCAGGACTGGTGCTGCTTAGGACTTGAAAACACGCAGCTGCCTCGTCACTAACACAGACCTGAGAGAGACATCGTGGTTGATTTAAGACTGGAGCATACAGCACTGATTCAGACCGTGACTTCTGCTGCTGTTGAAGTGGTAGAAATGGTTGAAATCATCAGAGAACAGTCATGTAAATGCTCACGTGTTGGTAAATCAGGTAAGCTAATAAGCCCTGCTGAGCTTTTCATAGGCAGCGTTCACTTTTTTTTTTCCACCCTGCCTCCAAAACGAAGCCTCTGACAAAACATGTGGATCTTAAAGCAAATAAATAATGAGTCTGCGTTCTCCTGCCAAATGCATTACCCAATGTCTTGGTTGAATAGCAAGCTACTGAAAGGGCCTGGTTTTCTGCATCGTGGAGGTTCTGGCATTTATTTTAAATGCAGCATTTCAACCTTTGTACCCTTTCACCAAGCTGCAGAACAGCGAAGGAGGGGAAAGGAAGGTGAAGCAGTCCTGCCCTAGGAAAGAACATGTGGAAATGCTATCGGGCTCAGGTTTGTGTTTGTTGCTGCTGTAGCAGTGATCTGGTAGGTGTCCAAGAGCATGCTGTCAGCCCTCTCTGAGGGCTTGCTGGAGATGGAAGGGATGTACAGCAAGCTTTTCACTCTGGTGATCACTCATTTCATCCCTTCCTTTTTCATCTGAGTACGTCTGATCTCGGACACAGCAAATGTGCTGTGGTGTGGCTGGAAGTGCCTCAGCAGCACCAAAGCAGATCTGTGAAACACATCCGAGAGGCTGGGGAGATTCTGTTCTGGGCTCTGCTTATCCCTTAGCTGGGACAGCAAGGGTGAGATTTGGCTCTCCTGTGCAAGCTGCCATGTAGGTGTGCCTCCATAGCTCCCAAATGAAAAGGTTGGAGATGAAAATGAAAAGCTGTGGGGTTAGAACAGCTCAGTCTGCTGTGTAAGTGTGTGCCACGATGCGGGGCTGTGCATCTGTGTTACCATAGCAAAGGGGAAAACAACTCTAGAGGCTTTGAGGAGCAGAATATTCGCCTTGGACAAGTTGGACAGCAGCTGACCTTCTCGTGGCCCTGTGAGAAAAAGCTGGCAAGCCCCCAGATCATCTTCTAGGATAAGTATTAATTGTCTGCAGGCTGTCTGGCAGGAAGAATTACTATGATGGGGAGGATGTAGCTGTTCATCTAATCTTGGTCCTTTGCAGCCTCCTGTGCTTTTTCTGAGCCTGGATTCGCCTTGGTTAAGGTAACTGACCAGTGAGGTACTAAGGATCGGTGATCTGCATCTCTCCAGCTGGTAAACCCCTTCTGCTAGCTAGAATGAGAGATTTTTTTTAATCATTTTAGCCCCAGAGCATTTGTTGCCTGACCAATTTCACGGCCCTGCAGTTAAGCAGCAAGATTTGTGTGTGACAATGTTAGAGAGCCTGTTCCACAGGGCATGCGATTCATCTGTGCGCGGGGTCAGCGTGAGATTTAAACCCTGTTTAAGACCTTTTTAAGCTCCTTGGGCTTAACTGCTGCATAGACTGTTCCCTTGCAGAAGTGAGGAAGTTGGACGTGGTGACAATAACAGGTAAATTATTTTCGAGGAGTTGTTTTTCTGCTTTATTTTACTTTGCAGAAATCTTCCTTTCTGGAAGGGAAAGAATGACTCGGTGCGGTCTGTGAAAGTGGACTTTGAATTTTTGGATGCAGGTCACTTAGGACTCGGAATTGGGCTGCCAAAATAAGTGGGATCTTTATAGATTTCTTTGGGATCGTGAGCACCTTCTACTTCTGTTTAGTAGTTTTCCATATTGAGAAGGGAATAAGCTGTGCTCGTAAATGTTGTTGTGGTCTGTTCTTTGCCAGGCTGACCTGAAGACTTCTGGTTGTTTCCAATTTCTTGAGAAGTCTGAGAAATACATTAGTGTAAAGCCCTGACCCCCACCCCCAATGCTTTTTCTTAACACAAGCATTTCACTAATTAAAAGGTGATTAAATATTTCCCTGACTTCTTGTTACTGTGCAAATAATTCATTCTGTTAAGATAAAGATGAGAGAGATCTAATTCTTTATTTTCACAGTTTTGGGAAATGAGCCTTGTTTAGATGTGAGAAACTCCAAAAAGTTTACCTGAATCTCTGGGGCTGTAAATACAACTTTATGACCAGTTTCATGTGCTTCATTCCAGGGATTTGCTGGCTTTAGGAACTTGTAAAATACTTTGCAAAAGTGCTGTTAGTGGAGGGATGCCTACAGCACAACTCAGGGCTGGTTTGCTTCCTTCCAGCTGTAGGTGGGCATCTCCTCCAGAGTCTGCAGGAAGCCTGTGAATTACCTTGGAGCTTGTTGCTCTTTCCTTCTTCTGTGTATGAACTTCCTAGGGGAAAACCTCAGGAGTTAACAGGCAGTGCTCTGAATGTGTTTTTATTCTCTTTCAGGTAATTGAGAATGGGTCCTCAACGATGCTAAGTCTACAATGGGAAGTGTCACGCTTCGCTATTTCTGCTATGGGTGCCTTTTCACATCAGTGACCTGGACACTTCTGCTCTTTGTTTATTTCAACTTCAGTGAAGAAAATCAGTCCTTCAAGAATGTGCCCGTCAAGGGGCTGGAACCTCAGAGGCCATTTCCAAAAAAATTCTACCCCCGTTTTACCCGGGGGCCAGTTCATTTACCTGAATTGCAACAGAAAGAGAATAAGATTGGAAATCCTCTTGGAAATCATGTCCAGGACCCAGTGAAGGGGGAGGTAGACTTCTCTCCTGAAATGGGTAAGTGCTTTTTGGCGTTGGTGACAAAACTGAAAACAGTAGCAGCAATGGAATTTGAAGGTTTCAAATTTAAAGGGTTCCTGGTGCAAATTGTGTAATGAAGTAGTTTTGGTGTTAAAATATAGATAGTGCTAGTGGCTCCCTTAATTAGAAATTATTTGAAATTTATTCTACTGTGTGTGATCCAAAATATACTGTTCCTAACACTTACAGCTGTGCTGTGTGTTATTGAGGACTGGATTGCAGCAGGGTGTCTGCCCTTGATGTAGTTCTTGAATATATTGAAACTTCCAGAATCTTCTTTCATATCTTGCTCCTATATTGATTGGGTTGAAATACATGAACTTTTACTCCCCACAGAGGAGCTCTGATCATATGCAACAATTAAAAATAGCTTGATAACAATACACAATGAAGAGGACCCATTGATGAGAAGAACATCCTTGGAGTATGAAATCAACGAGAAAAAATGTGTGGGGAACAAAATTACAATGAAAGATTGATTGAGATGACAGTGGTGAGGGCCAAGTCCTGCTTATTTTGTACCAACAAAGGTCTGCGTGTTTTGTTGGAACATATTTCATCAATGAGACGATTTGAGTTCGTCTTCCAAGCTAAAATGCTTTGTTTATTTAACTGCTTACAGCTTAGTGTTGTTCTCTGCTGTGTTTTGAATTTGTGTTGCATTAGCCTGCAAACTTTCTTGAAGTCTGGAGGTACACATTGAGTATCATGGTATCAGTATCTGCTGCTCTTTTGGGAATTATGGCATAGTATCCTCCACAGCCAGGAGTTTAATACTTACCTCTTAGGTCCTCTGTCATTACTTTTGAGCGCTGCATCACCAGCTTCAAAAATTTGTAGGCCTTTGCCAAACTTCAGCTCATGAGTTGCACATAGAGTTGCGTGCATATGTGGAAAAACGCCCTCCAGAACAGAAATGCCAACTTGCATTGCCTTGTGGCATTTCAAATGTTTATCAGCTCACTGCAAAACCCACCAGAGCCAAGTGAGGTGAAAGCCAGTCCAGAGGTGGCCGTTTCTTTCCAGCTATTCAGTGCTGGCCAGGAAAGAAATTAGAGCTTTTTGACTGAGAAGTCCCTTGATCTTCAAACAGAGTGACTGGTTTGGCTGGTGGAAGCCAAGGGGATTTATGGTGCCAGGATAAGTTGTACGTGAATCATTGGGAGACAGCTGGCTCTGTGTGAATTAGATCAGGTGCTGCAGGAAAAGGCTTCCTGTCCCTGTTGGGTATTGCGGTGATAAACACGCAAAGCAAAAAAAACCCAAAAGCATTGGCATATGACAGCCAAAACCACCAATCTGATGGGGTGAAGTCGTCTTCATAAACTTGTGAAACCCAAATAATTCTGCTGAAGTAAAGCCTGAAATGTTTCCGTTGCAAACCTTATTTTCCAAGGGCCTGTATCTGCTGTTTGGACTGAAATCTTTCAGGCCTTCTGCATGTGTTTTGGATGTTGTTCTTCATAAGGATGTTTTAAAAGCATTAGCATTCCTTCTAGTCTATATTCAGAAGATCAGAAGGAAGTAATCAGTGGTCGGGTATGGAAGGATTGTCGAATGAAGCATTTGGTATGTGTAAAGCTTGTACTTTGTGTCAAGGAGATGTTTTAAGTCGACCCAGTGTCATGGTGTTCCTGTGACACTGAGCATGTAGGAATGATTGAGCTGGGCGTTTGAACTGACAAGCTGGAAATGCATGTAGTTCAAAGGAGGGCTGCTTTATCCCCTTAAACCTGACGCTGGAAGAGAGGCACTGCCGTTTTGACAAGACTTAGAATCACAGAGTATCCCAGGTTGGAAGGGACCCACCAGGATCATCGAGTCCAACTCCTGGCTCCACACAGAACCACCCAAAACCAGACCCTGTGTCTGAGAGCAGTGTCCAAACACTTGATCTCTGTCAGCCTCAGTGCTGTGCCCACATCTTTGGGCAGCCTGTCCCAGTGCCCGACCACCTCTGGGTGCAGACCCTTTCCCTAACCGCCAGCCTGACCCTCCCCTGTCCCAGCTCCATGCCGTTCCCTCGGGTCCTGTCGCTGTCCCCAGAGAGCAGAGCTCAGCACCTGCCCCTCCGCTCCCCTGCAGGCCGCCATGAGGCCTCCCCTCAGCCTGCTCCGCTTGGGGCTGAACAAACCAAGAGGCCTCAGCCACTCCTCACACATCAGGCCCTCATTTTTGCTCCGTGTGGTACAGCCTGGCCACAGTGGGAGCGGTCATCTGTGAAGGTGACAGAACGTGTTGCTGCATCGTTATTTTTTGTACTTGAGACTAAAGGCATCAGGGTGGGAATGGTAAATGGTGATTTTGAAGGTGATTTTGTAGCTACAGGTAGATCTTGTTTCTGAAACATGTCTACTGGTGACACAGCTGTGCTCTGAGGGCCAGCCAGGATTTGTCCTTAGTTCTGATGCTTTCTTCATTTACGTTTTTTGTATGGTCTTCCTTCCGTTTTCTTTAATGTTTTCTCTGGCTTTGAGCTCAACTGGCTTTTGCATAGATGTTGAAAAGGGGAGAATGTAAGGTGTGAGGACAAGCTGGGATTGTTTTTATTCTGCTTTAGAGAGAAGGCAAAGAGGTGAAATTTTATTGCTGTCAAAACCATCTTAATGGGAGGCTGTAAAGAAGGTGCAGCCAGACTCCTGCTGGTGTTGCAAGGGGTTATGATAAGAAATTAAGATAAGGAGATTTGATTAGACAAGAGGGGGGAAAAAATAAAATCAGTGCAGTGGTGGTCAGGTGCTTGAACAGGGACAGAGTTGTCGATTCTGTTTTTGGAGGTACTGGAGGCTTTCAAAGCTTAAGTGGGCAAGCTCTCAGCAACCTGACGTAGCTGGACCTGCTTTGAGCAGTTAACCCAGATGTCCCTTCCAACCTGAATTAGTCCATGGCTCTGTGAAATCTGTTCTTCAGGCTGTATATAAGTGAGGACTACCTTTTTTTATTCTTTTTGCAGATTTTGGGTCTTAAGTAGATGATGAGCAGGGTGGAAGGAGACAAGTTACATGATACCTGCTCACTTCCTGTACTGAACTTGCAGTGAAATAGTCACTCTGGCTTGATAATAAAACTGTCTCTTTGTCTCAAAAGGACATCAGATTCTATACAGCCAGCTGAACAGGGACAAGAAAATGTCACTGCTACCTGAATTGTTACAGAAGTGGCTAGCTGATGCAAGGGACTGAAAGGACAGCAAAGCTCTGTGCACTCTTACCACTTCCCACACTTTTTTTCTGTAGAGGAATTAATTTGAAGCACCATGTTTTGTTTTTCTTCACCCTGGTGACCATATGGCTCAGTGAGAGAGAAGCCCATGGCACTGAGACAAGGCAGGCAGGATGGCATTCAGGATTTCACCTTGGCATCTAGCAGTGTGCTTATTTATATCGGCAACTGCTGCCTCTGCTGTGCTCAGCAACAGTGGATGCTTCTGCTAAAATAATCAACAGAGAAACAGCTAGCTCTATTGCTGTTTTATTTGCTGTCAAAGTCCCAGGTGAGAGAAATAAGAAGTTTATAGTTCTATCATAGCCATTTCTGTGTTACTGCAGGCTCAGGAAAGCTGTGTGGAATTGGAGGTTGCATTGTAAGGGTTTTTCCACCACTGTCAATGTTTTTTTTTCCTCTTCAAAATCCTACTTCTAGACCCCTTCATCTGTATGACTGGGTGCTGATGCATTGTGTGGCTGAAGCTTCTCCTGTTGTGCTGCTTTGATGTCGTTTTTTTTTTTTTTTTGGTGGTGTTAAGAATAAGAGGCCATTTCAGAGAAAGGAATGTGTCTGGTAAGGCAATAAGTACAATGGAGATGTCAGTTTGGAGAATGATTTCATTTTGTTACAGCTGTGCAGACTACTCAGAAACACTACTTACTGAATGTACTCTGCAAAACCAGAGGGTAAAATGATTTCTGAAGAACGTGGTTTGTTTTAGAGGAAGTTAAATCATACATTTCACTCCTTGATTGTTTCCAAGGGATGCTTTTAAGCTTGTTAACTGATCTTGGCATGTCCCTTCTGCAGGAATGATTTTTAATGAAGAAGATCAGGAAGTAAGAGACTTGGGCTACCAGAAGCATGCGTTCAATATGCTCATCAGTAACCGGCTGGGATACCACAGGGAGGTACCAGATACAAGAGATGCAAAGTATGTACAAATTTTTGGAGAAAATATAATACAATTACATGTGTTCAGGGACTTAGCATTGCATTGGATACTACCTGATTTAGTATGTAACATTTTTGGTACTGCATTTCCATCTGATTCTCTTTCAGGCTCTTCTGTCACTGAAGGCAGGTTTTCAGCCATCCAAGCAGGAGTGCTTGGGGTTAGGAATTTTATTCTTTGGTTTCTTCTATTTTTTTCCCTGCATATTGCATGTGAAGATCTAATTTTATACCAACTGGAAAGATATGTGGTAGATATGTAGAAGGTATGGGAAGACTGTAGTACGTAAATCAACCCATAAGATAATAAATGGGGGAGGAAGATAGCTATTCCCGAAAGGCAAAGTCTTCATAATTCTTAACTCACTTTAAGAATGCTTAAGGATGAAGTGGATTGGATATATACTTATTCAAATGCTTATCATGTTAATTTTTGTAAGCAGTTGATTCACGGGCAGCTCTTTTGATAGAAACAAGAAACCAAAAATAGTACTTGGGAAAAAAAACAAGTCCAAAGAATCAAACTTGATCTCCAGCCATACTAGGATTACAGATCTTGTCTTTCATTTTGCTAGCTGTTTTCTCTTTTACTTAGTATGGTACAAAATCTTTTTCTGAACCTTTATTTTTGAGACTGAGTACAGTAATTACCAGAAGAGGTGCTGTAGTTCTGTATTTGGAACATTTATAAATTGGATGTTAAATGTACCAGCACCCATGTTAACGAGTGTTTAATGGAGAAGACTTTTGCTTTATATACTGCTCCACATTTGTTGCAAGCCCACAGAGGATAAGATAGAAGAACGACTGAGGACAAAAGCTTTATTTCTCATTTGAAATCTTTGATATCTAGACTGCACTGTTGAATACTTCTTTTTATTAAAAAGCGGATTTTTTTCTGTAATCCGTCTGATGCATATGGAAAAGAAAAAATACCACTAAACTGAAAAATAAATAAGCCTACATCTATTTTTCTAGTGGTTGCTTTGGTGTGGGTCAAGGTAATGAATCGTACTTGCTGAAATTTCTCCCAAGAGCTGAATTCATTCCAAGTCAATGAAGACTTTTCTTGTATCCTGCTGGGTTTCCATTTACAATTTTTCATATTTTTATTGGATTCCCTCATTCATGGCATCTTGAAATGGCATTAATCTGTTATATAGTACCCTTAAACTGTGATACTGTACCCTACTGTCCATTAAAAGTATGGATAAAATTTGGAAATAAGTAGAAAGAATGACCTTTTTCTGCTTTGAGTGAGATTCAGCAAGCAGCTTAAGATGCCTAAATTCAGTTAGCTGCACTTTAGTCAGTTGTCTCTACTTCTATTATAGGTAGCAGAGATCCAGCCAGTGCAGTTAATGGAGCACACAGAGCTCTGCAGCTGACAAAATGCAATCCCCTGCCTTAGGGTGAGCTGGGCGCTGTCTAGACTCCACTGACAGTATTGACTAGACTTACGTGTCTTAATCTGCAGGCTGAATCTCAATGTTTGGTTGTCAAAGCAGGTATTTAGTATCCATCGGAGATATTCTGGGATATCCAACCTGGTCTCTACCAGCTGGACAACTAAGTTGAGGGGTTTTTTAGGCCTCATGTCATATTTGCCATTCCTGTATGTATCTGAGCCACCTGAGAGTATTAGACAGTGTTTTGACAGCTGAAACGATCCTTTAGTGTTTAATCTTATGTTCTACGGATCTGTCAGTCTCTCTCCCACCCCAATCCATCATATCCCATGTTTTCTAACAAGTATTAATGCTAATTATAATTCTGTGTTAGGAAGAGAGTAACTTAAAATGCTGTGCCCTACTATAGATTTTTATACTCCTCCTGGACTTTTTATGTTCAAGCTAGGGGTTCTTCCTACATATTTAATGTCACTTATGAAGTTTCAGTAGTGACATATACCTACAGAAGCCCCTCTGAAGCAGTAATAAATAGTATGTTTCTGTTTGCAGATGTAGAGAGAAGTCCTACCCTTCTGATCTGCCATCTGCCAGTGTTATCATCTGTTTCTACAATGAAGCACTTTCTGCCCTGCTTCGCACAGTACACAGCGTCCTCGATCGCACTCCTGCACACCTTCTTCATGAAATTATTTTGGTGGATGACAACAGTGAATTGGGTGAGAACCTTTTGGTAATGTTTTGATCAGTGCTTGCACTTCTCAACTTTCCTGTCTCTTTCTGTGCTTTACTGACCAATCAGGCTAAAAAAGTAGAATTTATTAAGCAAAACCAGTTTGTTCTACTGTCTAAAAAGTGCCAGGCAGTGAAGATGCAAGACCTTCCAAGAAGCCCATGATAACATCTACTTTGATACTGGTGCCATTTTGCTGGTGAGCTTTGTATCATACAGACCTGAACATTCAAAAACAGATTTTTGAGCTAATAGTGAGGGGGCGTCTGTGTAGAAGTGATTAAGCAGCAGTTTATAGCACAGCTGTTCTTAACAGTACTTTTCTGGGCTACTTTGGTGCTCAGAGCAGATCACACTTTCCATATATTTTGTGGGCCAGTCCTTTCCGTGAATGCTTCTGAAACAAAGTCAGTGCACATATTTACAAGACCATGGCTGAGATTAAGTAGATGTGGCACTATGGAAACACTGAGTGGGTTTTTTGTACTCGCTCTGCATTTCAGGGTGGTGGCTTGCTGGGATCAGAGCTCAACCTTTGCTGGACGGGCTCTGCGTGGCTCTTGCACAGCCTCTTGTGGCCACCCTCGGAGTAGCTCTTATTGGAGCAGCCCCTGCTCTATCAGTCTGCAAGGGGACCCAGAGGGAACTGTGGAATTGCCTGACTCTTTAAAGATTGGTGCTATGGCTTTTTTTTCTCTTGAATAATGCACAAGGCAAAGACAGACATGTAATTCAGGTGTTCTGGCACTTCAGAAGCTAAATGCCTGGTGAGGAATGCATTAGTCTAGCTGTACTTGCAAACAGGACCGTACAGGTTCCCTGCGTGCCTCTATACAAGCCCACAACTTTTTGCATTTTTTAAAAATGATTTTTAGATTCTTCTTCAGTACATATGATTAGCTCCTTTAGTCTCATTGCTAGGTTTCTGCTTTAAGGTCTCGCTTGCTCTGTGAGACCAGTATGTGTAATGTAGAACTAAATTCTCTTGTTCTGTACCTAGTTTATTTCTGTAAGGTCAGATCAAACGTTAAGATATGAGAGAGAAGAGACTGTCCTGAGACTTATCAAGTGTCCTGTTGATAAGTATGGGTAATATTTAAAACTTGCTTTGTCCTTTCATGCTTTAGAAGCAATGTACACCCACTGTTACACAGATCCTTGCACAATTAGTTGCTTTCAAGTTTCATAACCTTCATATTCAGTACTAAACTTACTTAAAAATGCACTCTTTTGAATGTGGTAATGAATTTGATTAATGCCTGTGTTTAGGCGGTAATACCATCACTCTTCTGGCTTGTTACCCAATTCAAAGGCTGACATAGGTTCAAAGCATTCAAGTAGCTACTCTTGCCTTTCCGGCTATAAGTGAACAGTGTTTCAAAGCTGAAGATGGGAGGAGATACTGTTTATACAGAGAACTACTGGTCTCATTGATGAAACAACTTGTATTTGCACTGCTGCTTAATCTTAGCCACTGGAATCTTACAGCTGAAGAAAGCAAGGCTGGTTGGAAATGAATCAAGACACTGTGGCTTTGCTTTGGATGTCTCACATAAGCTTGGGCAACTTGCTTAATCTCAGTGCCTCTTAGATTTTATTTTAATTCTTTTTTCCTGCAGTACATATTTCCTGAAGTGTTAGATGAAATTCTGCGTATTGCTTCAGCATTAAACATAGGAACTCTGCACAACAGCAATGACGCAGAGCAGATCTTTGTTCTTTGCACCTAGTTTTGCCTCAAAAAGCTTCTTACACTCAATCATTAGTAGTCTTACCAGCTAAGCAGGCATTTCCATGGCTCAGCTGAGCCCACTGTTACATTTTTCTTTCCGTTTGCAGCAGGGCAGGACTTCTTTTTCTAGTACAGTCTCTTTCTCTCTGATGTACATCTTACCTAATACAGGACAGCCTACAAAATACATTCAAAGCTGTTGCCCAAAGGGTGTGTGAGACCAAATTGCTTATTGAGAACGGGCTGTGGTATGTTCTGTTCCAGGCAGGCTGGGCCCAATTCCCAGCAGAGTGCTGGGTTTGTCCAGGTCAAAACTGTTCTCTGAGGGCGTGTTAGCAGTTAGATACTTCTGGTTCTTGCATTCTGCTGTTTGAGCCTATGTCATGGCTGTTTTAGCTACCAGCATAGGCATGACCTCCTTTTTTTCTCCTACTGCTTCCAGAAGTTTGCATGTCATTACATACAGAACTACCATTTCTTCTTGTCTCGTGTGTCCTCTTATACAGCCTTATCTGCCCCAAGTGCTGTGCTTGATAACTGCCCTTTACTGCTTTGTGCCAGCCCTTTGTTTTCTGCAGCTGTACACCATCCTTCCCTTGCCATAATACGTTGGGTGAAGACTGATTTAAGTATTTAAGTACCAGTATATTTTGTATATACTGTATATCTGTCTCCAAAAACAAACAAAAACAAAACAAACAAAAAAAACACTTTCCTGTTACGTGACAATATTGTGTCACATTGAAGACAAGGTGAGAGAATCCCTGTGACCCAGTTATATCCCATGTTCATCTCTCCAGAGACTCTTCTTTGTCCTACAATATTCTCTAGCACTATATTTGCCTTGTGAAACCTTCTCATTCGTAATCCATGATACCACCTTGCAGTGCAGAGGCTGAGATCTTATCATTTGGAGTTGCTTCTGGGAATCTGTTTTCCTGCTTGAAAGTTCTTGTAGTTTCTGAAGGCTACAGCTTGGGTTTCCATGTGTATTGTTTAGGTCTTTTGTTTTGGTAACAGCAACATTAATGTGTGAACTGACAGTCATCAAAATAAACTTCATTCCACTGTATCTTCTATTAAAAATCTATTTGTGCACCTATACCAAGGTTCTCTATAAAGTCTCAACTGCCTTTTTTTCCTTCCTCATTTTATACTCATCTTCATTTCTCCTTAAACTTATTAGCTTTTATTTTTCTAGCCTTTGTATCAGTCTTCTCTTTAATGGTAAAACCTTGCTGCCCATTTTAATGTTAGAAACCACTATCCTCAGAAAAAAAAAAAAGTATTGTAGCTCTTAAAGTTGTCATTGGTGTTAGTTACACTACAATATAGTGCTTATAGGTTTCAATGAACTTTTCAAAACCTTCAAAAACATGTACTTGTCAGCAGTGTCTCTGATCATTTTGAATTTCAGAACAGCAACTACCTGTGAGGAAGTTGTAGTTCTCTTTATCTGCTGTTGTATCAACTATGAAGGTACAGATAATGAAAGGTGTCTTTGTGCTTTTTAAAAGAGTCAGTGTTTGTTTTAGCGTGTGGAACATAGTAATTTACATCACTTGCCTGTGTGAAAGGGCTTTTGTTACTTGCTGTAAATGACAGTCATCATGAGAAGACTTTAGAAAGAGGAATTGTGTTTCTTTGTGCAGTGTCTTTAAATTTATTTTTCTATTTTTAGAAGCTGTAATTCCTTTTAGCATTGAGTCTATTAGTTCTGGTTAACTTGAGTGATATTGGACTAAAGGCTTTGTAAACAGAGCAATAAGATAGTTCCTTGAATACAGAGTGGATTGCTAAGACTAAGTATGAAGCCTGAGGCAGTGGCAGCACACAAAAGGTTAGTTGGGAAAACATGGAAACACATGTCAGCAGGATAGGTGCTGTGGATAGCCTAGCCATACGGTTTGTCTAGATTAGTTTGGTTAGATTGAGTTGAACACCCTGGGACTTAAAACTCTATTTTGTTCATCCATCCTGTTGTTGCTCCTGTGTTTTCCTCCTTCTAGCTGACTTGAAGAAAGACTTGGTTGACTATGTTAAAACTCAGCTTCCAAAAACAACAAAACTGGTAAGAAATGAGAAGCGGGAAGGCTTGATTCGAGGAAGGATGGTTGGAGCCTCTCATGCCACAGGTATATCTTCTTGTTTCTGTACATGCTTTGACTGTATGTTAGTTGGGTGACTCCTCTTTCTGTACTGCATCTTTTACAGATGTTGAATGTTTGACCTGTGATTGCTTTAGCCTGCTGCAGGGGACTTTGCATGTCATGCCAATTTCAAAGCTACACAAATAAAACCCAGGGAAGAAAGATTTGGGATAGTGCTATCTTAGGTGAAAGATGTTTTAGCAGTTGTTTCAGTGTCAGTGACTTTGAAATGAGTTAATTGCATCACGCTTAGGCTGTTAAACTGTTGTAACAGCTACATAAAGTAAATTTGTTGATACCTGTCTGATGATTGGAGACCTTAGCTAATATTATCTGTATATTTAAATGTTTACATCATGCTGTTGACTGTGATCTACACAGTCTGCTGTATTTCCTCATAGCTTTGCTGAATTATTCTGCACCTGAGGTTGTTCTGTTACTCTCTTAATGAGAAATAAGGAAGAACCAAGTCTTCCTTGCTTATATGTAAATGTAGAATTCTTATATTTTGTAATTAACTTCAGGAAATTTCCCCTGTGTAGGAGGGGGACATTTTTCTGAGTCACCCAAGCAATGACTTGGCAAATTTAGAGCCAGATTTGAGTATCTCTTAACCCGTTCTGAGCTATTGATTTTGTTTGTTTTTTTTGCTTCCTGTGTAAGTTTGTTTTTGATAAAAATGAGTTAATTATTTAGAGTGGGTCAAGGAAATACTAAAACAAACAAGAAAAAAAAATACAGTATTTTGATGAAATTTAGTAAGGCAGTGCAGAACTTTCCTTATTTCTGCCCTGAAAGAATGGTGTCTCAGGAATGCTTCCCTCTACCCTCCTCTGCCCTGGGTGTTGTGTTTGCAGAGTATTTTCTGTGTGTTTTTGTGTGAGAACTGTTGCTGTAAAATAACAATCTGCTCCCTTATTAGGGTAAACTCTAAGCTGGCTTCTAATTCACAGTAAACTCGTAATGTTTCTCACGCAAGCTTTTCTGTTACTGCAGTTAGTGTTAATTGGGATAGACATATCTGGCCCTTTCTGTACACTGTGCCTTTTACCATAATATGCTTCTGGGTTAAATTTTGTGGTGTCTGAGAAAGTATGTGCTACTTTCTCAAATAATTTGGAGTGGTGGATAAAGTTTCTTAATTGGTGTTTACTCATTAGCATTGTAATGGGATAATCCAGAGAGAAAATCGTGCTTACGCTTCCCGAGCTGTTCTTGGACCCACTTGAGTTAGTGCAATTGTAAGTCACTTTATTGTTCCTCTGAACTTCTGCAGTCTGTTTTCCCCTCAGTCAAATGCTGTCTGTTGTTAATAGAGACACAAATGTAACAAGTCATCTAAGAAGAGGTGGAAAAGAGCTTTAGAATAAAGTTACTGCAGATTTTATGTTGTGCAGTTAAAGTTCAGATGACTTCTCAGACCTGCTGAGATCAGGGTCTTTCACGGATCGAATTGTTTTCTCTGACCTTGGCTGATAAACCTGTGGAAGCCAATAGGCCTGAAGTGTTGGCTGGTCTGATACGGGTGGGTTTGGCTGTGCCAATACAGGGCATTCACTCTCCTTTTAAGCTGGTGTGAATCCACAATAACTCTAAAGCTCATGAAACGGGGCTGTGTCCCTTTATATTCAGGAACTGAAATGCTGTGGCCTGAGTTATGGATGAATGCAGATTAATCCATCAGAATGGCTCCGTTTTAAATCCACATATTTTAGCTGCGATGGTAACCGGATGGATGCTCAAGTCTGATAAGAAGGAAGCCCAAGGCAATTACAGCCAATGTACAAAGCTTTGTCATGGGGATAGTTCATCCAACTCAACCCAATCCAATCCTTGTCTATCTCTGTAGTCTCCCTCAGAGTGGGAGATGCTGTGTGTCAGGACAAATGCACCTCCTGACTCCGAGTGAGTGGTCTGATGATGTTTCATTTAAGTTACAACAGCTCTGCTGAGTCTGGGTGGAATATTTGACTATAAAACCTTCCCAAAGAAATGTGCCCACTTGAGCATTCCTGGCTAAATGTGAATAGCCAGAATCTACCTTCTGTAACTGAACTAATCCCTGTGGATTCTCCAGTTTGTAAACTCTTTTGGGTGTAAATGGTGTCTCCCTTCTGTGACACAGTGTTGTAAGGATACTGCCGATACTCTACTGCTGATAAAATGATGCATGTGTTCCCGTGTATTTCATGTTACCACGAAATCTTTGTGTCATGTGTGCTTGGGTCTCTGCAGGAAAGGTGCTGGTATTCCTGGACAGCCACTGTGAGGTGAATGAGATGTGGCTGCAGCCGCTGCTGACTCCGATCAGCGAAGACCGCAGGACTGTGGTGTGCCCCGTGATTGACATAATCAGCGCTGACACGCTCACCTACAGCTCCTCCCCGGTTGTGCGTGGGGGGTTTAACTGGGGCCTGCACTTCAAGTGGGATCTCGTTCCTGCGTCAGAACTGGAAGGACCCGAGGGAGCTACGGCTCCGATCAAGTAAGGCTCCTCCTGCATGGTGTGCAGCAGCCTGTAGCAGAGCTTATGCTATTCTGTATCATATCGAATTATTTCAACTTTAAACTGTGTTGATGTTTGTTTCCAGTCTTGTGTTTGGCTTAATAATCATGATTTTGATAACCATCTTGTCCTTAGTAATAGCCCACAGATCCCACTAGGATAGGCTCTGGACTTTCTGTAATGATATGCTGAAGAATTGCTAGACTGGGAAAACATTTTTGTGGTCATATGAAGGTGATTTTGTAGCTGATGGGAGAAAACGCAACATTTGGTAGTCTTCTATGTCAACACTTTCTCTGTATAGCTTTCACTTGTGCTTTTTTCTCAAGCATTTGTCATAAATCTTTGCAAATGAACACACACAGATGTGAAGACCATCTTTAAAACACTACTTGTCTCTTTGCACAAAGTGGGAAGTGAAATTGTCTATTGGAAAAAAAATTGTTTATTGGAAGCCTGTCTTTATTGTTTTTGCAGTCAGAATTGCTTGAGAGTCATTCTGAAACAAAAGTCCTTGTGAGACTTAACACTAGGACTTGAAAGCATCTTCCTTTTAACCATTGGCAACTGCCTGACCTGTGCAGAACTGTCAAGATCTGGTTCCTACTGGATGTGTAGTTGTTACAAAGTGATTTTAGTAGATACCTTTCTTTAATAGCAGAGATAGGGCTCAGACAGGAGAACAGAAGCTTTCCCAGTGTGAATCCCTTCATGAAAACAGCTACTGCTGGTAGAGCAGTGAGAAGAAGCTGATTGTGCTGTTTCTAGTTGCAGGTATCAATTTTGGTAGAGAATTCAGGTTTATAAAGGGGATTAATCTTTTTTTTTCCCAAGACAAACTGACTGCTTGCAAAGGGAAACGGAACTTGGGTGCTATCACGTCTTTTTCATTCTTTGTTCTTGGACTGTAAATGAAGAGCATTTCAGGCTGATGCAAGCAGCTCCAGCACAAGGTTCTCTGCTGTGGTCTGACAGCTTTGCAGTATGTCCATGTCTACCCATCACAAGACTGTTTGAGAAGCCAGGAAACTCCTTAAGTTGTTTAACAGTTTGATTTGTATGTAAAGTGTCGCTGTAGCAGTTACTGAAGTTCAAAGGAAAAGGACAGGCTGAGGAAATCTGAATGGAGATCCAACATAGAAAGTCTTAAAATCTTTATTCTGTCTTAACCTTTGTCACAGTTAATCTGGAGTATGCCTAGAGATCACTTGTTGCTGGATTCAATATTATTGCCTTCCTTCAACCCACTTTTAGGAAAAATTCCTATGGAGAAGGCAGAGAACTTTATACCTGAAGGGAGCCTCATCATCGAAGGAGGTCACATTTTCTGAGTATGAAAGTGACTTTTCCTACTTCAAGGTCTCTGCCTGCTTTGAAAGAGAAGCTAGACTGCTATTTAACCTTCGAGAATGGCTTTCTATCAAATGGAAAGTCTTACATTTTTATGATCTAGGGACATTTGTAATGAAAAAATTTGGTGTCAGGGCTGGAAAAACTGAGAGGAACCTTTCAACCTAGGCTTTAAAGTAACAAAAACTGTAGTAGAGCAGTTCCCACTGTGTGGGAACAAGCACGAAAGTCCAGATTTAGGATTAGTTTAATCATGGGGCTATATTAACAAAGATGAGAAAAAGCCTGTTCTCAGACAATTGTGTTCCCACTGTCATGTGACATTTACCTGGTGTCTTTATTCCATTTTATACTCTTCTAGGGCATGCTCATGCCATAACCGAGATGAGCAATTTAATCAAGACTGTAGGACTGTAGAATGGGCATCATATACAGACTTTTACAAAATACACCTAGTTCTAATAATACACAGGCAAGGTGAAAAACTGGGAAATTCCAAGGAGAACATCTATGCAAATGTAAAAACTCAAATAACTTATCAATTACTTCTCAGCTGACCATGGCATTGATGATGAAACAATGCTGATCCTGGTGCTTGAATTCTCTCTGAGATAGTGCCATTTCTTTTAGCAGCCTTCTTGGCTTGTATAACTTTAAGTTTAGGCCTTTATTCACGTAACTGTTATTTCTTGACCTAATGCAATATGGGGAAGTACAGTGCTCTCTGGGTTCTACTCTTTTTCCTGCTCAGTCAAGCCCAGTCTGTGTGACTTGCTCCTGTACGAGGGAGAAGAGCTTATTTTAAGTGTACGTTTGTGCCTGTAGGGGAAATTAGATCTGTTTTTACCAGAAGCTAATTAATGGTGGCTCCTAATTTTCAATTTAGAAAATGTAATGGACTCCAAACTTGCCCGGGTGTTTACTTTTTTCCTCTTTCCCTGTCCCATCCTTCTTCCTCGAGGTTGTTTACTGTATGTAGGAATATGCTGTACCAGTAAAGCAATAGTAAAAGACCACAAATACCACTTACAGACCTGCTTTTGAAAATGTATGCTGAGATCATAGACCTGAAGTCCCTTAGAAATTATAAGTAATCAAGTTGAAATTGTTTTCAGTGGGTCTAAATGTAAGCTTTTTATAACTGATCCAGCTAAAATCACAGGTTTTGTCTAAAAGAGTGAACTACTTCCATTTTAGGTCACCTACTATGGCAGGAGGCCTGTTTGCCATGGATCGTGAGTACTTTAATGAACTTGGACAGTATGATAGTGGCATGGACATCTGGGGAGGAGAGAATCTGGAAATATCTTTTCGGGTAATCTTGCTTATATGTGTATTGGAGTATGAACCTTTGTCTTGCTTCTTCTCTTCCCTCTTTATGCTTTCTTTAGCACTGGAATAGCTACTTGTGCACCAAAACCAATGTTTTTCGTTCTAGGAAGAATGACTAACTAGCTTTTACAATAATTTTCGAGTTAAATTTTAATGGGAAAATTGAAGAGAATTCAGCTTGGCTGGAAAAATAATGAGAAAATCATTATCAGGAGACTTGAAAGCGATGTTTCATTGGGCTGTTTGTTTTCTTTGTTGTCACTCCCCTGATGGAAAACAACTGTATGTGCTCAATGCCATGTATAGCTCTTCACTTTTGTGAAATGGATTCATCAGAAGATTTGATGAGTTTGTCCAAAAGTGAGATGCTACCATAAGAAATGTGAAATGAGGATTAAAAACTGAAGTTAACAAACAACAACAAAAAACTCTGAAAAGAAAAGGCAAACAAAAGCAAACTATATACGCCAAAACTTCAGAGGAATCTGTTAAATAGAGAAATCAAGCTTGGAGTTCAAAAATAAGAACAGGCACTTCATAAATTGTATATTCAGGGAGCCTGATGAGGTCTGGAAGCCCTGTCTCCCTAGGGAAGAGTTGTGAAGAAAGCAAAAAGTGATTGATCTTATCTAGTCACTTAAAAGTGAATTGATTATAAACTGTTCCCTTGATGATATCGAGTGATCTATGTTATCTGGTGTGGACGTGTGATTCATGCGTAGGCAAAGAGATTCAAATATCTTAATCTGAAAGTTAAATCCCAGCCCATACATTCCAGTGATTTCAAATAGGTCATCAAAGCATGATGTTTTGGAATAGCAAAATACTTGTTTTGGGAAAGCCATTATGTTTTAAGTGGAAGGTGTGATGATATGACCCAATTTTTTGTCCAACCCAAAGATCTAGTAATGTAACTTGTCAGAAAGCATGGCATTAGACCAGTGTTGCTGACACTTAATTCCATCATTGCACGTAAACCTACCTGAGTATCTCTTTGAGGGGAGGAGGTAGCGAGCCTTGTCAGTGTGCAGACAATGAGCTATGTTCTGCTTTTGTTTGGACAGATCTGGATGTGTGGAGGCAGACTCCTGATCATCCCCTGCTCCAGGGTGGGACACATTTTCCGTAAAAGACGTCCCTACGGCTCACCACGAGGCCAGGACACCATGGCTCACAACTCCTTGAGGCTGGCACATGTGTGGATGGATGAATACAAGGTAAGAACTGTTTCTAGGACGTGAAATAGTTATTAACTGGCGTGTTTGTCTAAGGACTGTATCACAGTGAGGTCTGTTGGCATTTCTAACAGGGTCTTGCTTCTGTATTCTGACTTCCTAATGTTAATCTTGGTACAGAATCCTAAATTCTGTAGGCTTGTGGTTTTGGTTCTGAGTGTTCAGATTTATTCCCTGTTACTTACGCTGCCTGCAGGAGATCCATTTTTATGTCTTTTTAAATGAAATAAAAGATGATGAATGAGTTTCTTGTAAGCTCCTCATTGTTTTGTGTCCAGATCAATATCATGTGGCAGCCGTATGCCTTCAGGTAGTTTCTGTGCTGGTGAGAGAGTGGTTTTGTTTTTTGTTTTTGTTTTTTGTTTTAATTAGCAGTCTGAGTCTTGGTCTGCGAGTTCAGTCGGGATCGACTTCTGGATTCAAGGGCAAGAGTGTTCCTTCTTTGTTTTCTTACTCATGCTTTTAAAAGTGAAGCCCAGTTCTCTGATACTTGGGGGCATTTTGCATTGTGAGACCATAGGATTTCCTTTCTGGCCAGCTCCTGTGGTCCCGACTATTTCTATACAAGCCATACTTTCTTAAATTTATATTCCTTAAAGGTCTATGTTTCAAAACCCATCCTTTATCTGGATGCCCTTTCACTTTGAGGAACCTATTAAGAGTCATTAATTTTTATCTCCATTCTCCATAACGCGTCGGTAGATTTGATCTATCGCTTTCCCTTTTATTGGTGTCTGGGCACTGTTGTTTTGTGATTAATGACGGCTTTCTCTGCAGCTTGGAATTGACTCTTTGTTGTTCCCAGCTAATACTGCTTTGTCCAAAGAGGACTTAAACTGCTGATTGTAGCAGTCCCTTATCACAGAATTGTGTTCTGACCTTTTCCAGCTGTTTCTAATCTAATTCCGCGATAGTTGCCAGAGACTGTCATTATGACAGATTTATGGTTGGAAGGCAAGCTCGGAGATATTTTTGTCGAAGTGATTGTGTGATGAACAGAACAAAGATAAGACAGAGGACCTGTTTTGCAGCAAAGAGCAAATATCAGCATTTAATAAATACAATTGCATGATGGAAGGCAAAGAGCAAAATTTACGCTTTGCTTTTGACAGTTACAAAATAGATCTCAGTTCACGCATACAATGGAAATAAAAATAAATAAATAAATCCTGAAAAGGTAGGATACTAAAACTTGAATTTAAACCAGAAAAGAGGCAACTGGAATAGTAGGGCTACTCTTTTGAAGCAGACCACTTTCTCATAGTAATGACCGGTCTGTTTCTAAACTTTCTCAGAGTTGTCCAACATTGCATTGTATTTGGTGCTTCCTCCTTCTTGGCTTTTAAAAAAATGATGTATCAAGGCCATCTGAATGCTCGAAGGTCTTGATAAGGACAGACATGTGATGTGTCTTGAGATGATCTGGTCTGTTATCTCTAGTCTGGAGAAGGCACCAGGTAATTGAAAAGTGTCAGAACAACTCTACTGTCAGTAAATTCCAGGTGTCTAGCAGAGATGAATCCAACAAAGTACCACAGCTCAGTGCCCTGAAAACCGATTTTTAAATAATCCGATAAATGAATTGATGTAAAATACCATGCTTTTTCTATGAACTCTGTAAATCCATCTGGAATTAGACTCTGAGGGCATTTTTCTTCTAGTTCTGGTAGTAATATTGATGAATGAAATTCACTGAAATAAAACTCTTGAGTTCTGCAAGTTGGAAACCAGTCATTTGAAATTACTCTCTTCCCCTTCTCCCTCGACCTCTTTCTCTTAAATACAGGAGCAGTATTTTGCTTTGAGACCTGAGCTAAGGACGAGGAACTATGGAAACATTACCGACCGTGTAGAATTGAGAAAAAGATTGAACTGCAAATCATTTAAGTGGTATTTAGATAACATCTATCCTGAGATGCAAATATCTGGGCCCAATGCCAAAGCTCCGCAGCCAGTTTTTATTAATAGAGCACAGAAACGACCAAAAATAATCCAGCGTGGAAGGGTAAGATAACCTTTCTTAAATACAGAAGTCTGTCTTGAGAGATTCTTTTTCAGAAAGATTTGCTGAAATATAAGGAGAGTCTGTTTCTGTAAAGCACAGAGTTTTAGTTTTTGTAACAAATTGACTTGAAAGTAACTGAACGTGTGCCTTTTAAAAAAAGGTAAAAAGATTTTTAGGTCATCTTCAGAATAGATACTATTCAGTGAAGTTTCTTACCTTAAAGCTCTGAGTTACGAAGTTTTGGTGCCTTTAGAGTGTGCTTTCGTGGCTGTTGGATAAAGAGAGATTTGCCCTGAAATACTCATGCTCTGTTGGTTTGAGATAAGAGCGCAATATAATTGCTTTCTGAACTCACTGCTTTTATTAGATAATTTTCTGCAAAGATGACCATTTGCACCTGATGGTGGCCTTTTTAGTCTCAGCTCCTAGATAATGAGCAAAAATGTCTTGCTCCCTTTTTTTTTTTTTTTTTAAGTAGAAAGGGAGAAATATATTTTGATGTGTATTCATGAAGGAAATCCTGTTAAAGATTCATGCCTTAGCTCTGACACCTGCCTTCATAGAGCTGTACAAAGGCAAAGCCAGCATGTATTTGCATCTGTTCTCTCCGGTGCCAGATCTGGCTAACGAGTGCTTTTTGTGCTTGCCAAAATAATGGAGAGCTTCCAACCTGATGCAACTTTATCAAGGCCCTCTCAGAGAGGACCTCTTGAACTAATGGATGTGGGCAGGGCTGTGCTAACCATCATCTGTCTCGGCAGCTGGCACCATTAAGTAGTGGTGTAGCACTCTCCACAAGGTAATGCAGTCTGCCTACTGACATTTGCTGCTCCTATAAGCACATTCAGGCTGGAGGACCAGAGCTCACAGGCAACCTATTGACATCATCAGATTTTTATTTCTGCTTGGAAGCAGCTGCCTGGGAAGCCACGACTCGTGTAGTATTCTTATAATTGTGTCCCAGCCAAGTTGTAAAGTTATTTATTAGGGCAAGCATGCTAACTTCCCGGAATACAACCGATACAATGAGCTGATGTTGTTATTCTGTTATTCCCCTAGTCAGTCTTTTTTAATTTCTCTCCATGAAATTTAATGGCTTTCTGCTTTTATTCAGACAAGTTTAAGGAAAGGCTGATCTGGGGGGAGGCTACTGAGGCACCAAGAACAGTAAGGGGAAATCTTCCACACTGATTCTTTATGGTTGAAGTTGGAGGACAAACTCGGTGTATCCTTTAAGAAGAGGGAGACGAGACACAGAAAAATGCAGTTCCTGAGCTTGATTCTCTGGGGTTCGAGGATTATGCCCGGCATTGTGTGAGAGCGTGAGCCTTGGCTCTGATGGCTGCATAAACTAGTTCCAGATGCCTACAAGGAACAGAGCGATCAGCCAATGTCACCGCCGCCTGCCAGACTCTTCAGGGTTCGGGATGAATCACTCCAAATCCCAGCTTATTCCCAACAACTAATTGGGCCAGAGATAAGTGCTGGTTTGACAGCTGGGAAGAACTGTAATGATCACAAATCGTGACAGTTCTTAACAGTGTTATCAAACGCTGATCATTATGGCCAATAAAAACAAGGGGGGAAAAAAATCATATAGAAGTCGCATAGCTGTGTGGTTTGAAAGCCTACTGTTGAGTGAGGAATGATGAAAATGAGATCTCTCCTCGAAGTCCCTGGGGTGTGAGGAAATGTTACTTAGAAGGTTTTGTGTAATTTGTTTCAGATGTGCAGAGGGAACAGGCGAAACATGGTGCACTTGCGGAGGCTGTTGTTGATGTGTCTTGGGACAGCTATTTCCAGAAACTGTGTTTAGAGCAGAGCATTATTTGCTGTTTGTGCTCTCTAATTTTTGCTGTCGTGTGATGGAGCAGCTCGTTCTTTTTATTACTGGAAATGTCTCTTGGTTTATAAAAATCTGCAGAATCGATACAAATGCCAAGGCAGCGATGTCTTGGCAATAAAACGCAACTGGCTAATTAGTCAGCCTGGCCCCAAGCTCAGGACAGCACATAGATACATCTCACTCTCCATCCAGCTGCAGATTGGGGGTAATTATTTTAATATCCACGCCAGATCTGCCACCCTGCCATCTCCCACACTTGCAAGGGTTATCAAACGTGTTCCCCAACACTTGAACTGGAATGGGCACTTGGGAGGTCCTTAAATTCATCCCTTCTGCCCTGATCTGTCACTACCTGGGACCTCTCTTTTGTGGAGGGTGAAGAAGGGAAAGAAACTTGACGGAGTACGGTCTGCATGTGCTGAGCCATGCTGTGTGTATTGCACTTGTAGCATAAAGGGAAAACTTGAACGTAATTAGAAAGCAAAATGGAACTATTTAATGCTGGCTTTTGTTCAAATTATCTGAAAAACAAAAGGGTGTTTTTAAAGGGAAGGAGAGTTCTTACTACAACTTGTGTGTGTGTCTGTGAGCACACTGTGCTTACAAAGTATTACCATATGCTCTGTTTGGTACGGGATGTTTGTTGTTTACTCTGCCCATCAAACTCTTTTCCTTTTGTAGCTGTATCACCTTCAAACCAACAAATGCCTGGTTGCCCAGGGCCACCCGAGTCAGAAAGGAGGCCTGGTAGTGGTTCGGGAATGCGACTACAACGATCAGAACCAGGTATGACATTCCTGATTATCCGAAGAGCTATCTTACAGACTTCTAATGCGCCTTCCTGCTGGCAAGATGCCGCGGTGTAACATCTCATCAGCCAGCAGGCTGATCCCAGAGCATTGTTCAAACCACAGCGCTGGCAGAGGAGGCTGTGGAACTTAACACTCTGCCTGCTGAGTGCTGGGTATCGTAATCTTCTGTCTTTATGGGCTGAATCTCCGTGTGTGGCTGAAGACTGTCCTCAAGAGGGGTTCGTAATCTGCTGATTGACACTTCAGAGTTTGTAGAAGCTTTCAGCCAGTTCCTCGTGCTGGATTCAAGGCAGCCTTCTCCTGGCCTGCTGTTCTTTGTGTGTTGTGTGGTAGTTTAGGGTGAATGAACATTTTATTGCTATTACTATATAGAAGGAATTCTAAGGAATTTAGAAAACACTTTCACATCCCACAGATGGGATGTGAAAATCTAACAAGAATTTGTTGTATCACTGCATGAAGTCTCTGCTATTCCACTTCTGTTCTTTCAGGCAACAGAAATTCAGGCCTCCAGTAAAAAGAAATCTCCAGGGTAGAGAGATTCTCACTGAATGCCTTAAAGACTCTTACCTAGCTAAGAGCTGCCTTGAGAGCATTATGGCATCCAAGTCTTAAAATCTAGATCTCATCTAAAGAGAAAAGCAGTCAAAGACACAAGGTAAATGGAGCAGGAGATGCAATGCAGCATAGCTTTATCAAAGGAGGGTTGTGCTAGACTAACCATGAAGTAGGCAGTAGCATTCAGGATATGGAAACTGCAAGAGCAGAAGCAGGACGATGTGTAGTAATCCAGCAAAATTGTGCAGTCTGTCAACTACTGGGACCTTCTGCTCCTGCCTGCGGTCTCACCAGCTGAACATGGCAGAGGAGGATGGTGTCAGGGTGAGTGTAGTTGGCTGTAGACACGTGTTTGAATCCTGTTTGACTCCTGGATGAACTGAAGGTGGAATGGGAATCAAGATTTGGGTCACGGAATGGCCTCTGACTGCGTAACTGTAACCAGCTGGCACCAGTAGTTGTACATTCATGGTGCCAGAGGTGCTAAGCTGCCTTTGGAGTCTTACAGCCTGTGAAGGAGAAAGCAGAAATGACTTCCCTGTGGATGATGTCCCAAGTAAGAACCGATGGGTCCTCACAGTTGGTTTCCCTTCTCTTCCATGTGCTGTTTCTAGTAGCGAACTGCCACATGGTTGGAGGAGGAAACCTGTTGTTTTTCCCCTTTATCAAAGCCTTTTTCTGATTTTTCTCCGGGAGACAGAAAACTTCAGTTAGTCTTTCGGTTTTGAGGAAGACAATGCTCAGATTGTTCTTCTCTGGCTTTTCTCATGAATTTGGTTTACTAGCAGTAAACCAAGCAATTAATTCTCACAAAAAAACAACTGGCTGTGCTATCTTTAACAAATATTTTGATCTTCACCCAAGTATGTTAACCAACACTATGGTATTCTGTCATTATACTTGTTTTGCTCTCCTAATAAATCCCAAGAGTACGTCAGCCTGCTGCCTTTCACATATTCTTGACCATTCTTGCTCTAGGTACATAAGAAAAAGAACGCTTAACAACTCCAGCTTATAAAATACAGCAAGAAACTTACTGAGTATTGCACGCCTTTGATTGCTATTTTTAGTAACACTAGCTGAAAAGGCCAGCAGCTATAATTTTTGCTCTAGAACCATCTGTTCTGTGCCTTCAGCCTTAATACAAAAGCCTGTGTTGGGTCTGGTGAAAGGCAGGTACCCAGGGTGCCCACCTACAGAAACACAACAATAACTGGACAATAGCCTTTGATTTTTTTTTTTGGTGTGTGTGTGTGTTTGTGTTTTTTCCATGAGCATTTAATTGTATTTTGACCTCCTGTAAGCTGTAAGCTCTTGGCATCCTGTGGCAGTGAGTACTGCAGCTTGGTTGTGCTTTCTGTGGAAATAATGTGATGCCACTTGGTGATGGTTTCCTCTGAAGCCAGTTATTTTTTCCCCAAGGAATAAGTTGCTGCTGTTCATCTCTTTCCAGGCTACTTTTGCTCTGTGAATACTTGAAAAATACACGGTACTGCTCAGTAAGAGGAAGGATCAAGGTGAACTCTACTTGGGGGAGCATGCAAAGGGCTGGGAAACAAAACTGAGCCTTCTTGAGACTCATTGTCACAGCTCTTTTGACTGGAAGGTGGTTGTCTGTGTAATTTTGTAGTTAGAAATAGCACAAGTAGGAGAGGTGAGAGGATTCAGTAGTGCAAAAAGCCTGAAGCAACAGAAGCTGAGATTCACAAATACTGAATGTGAATTTTGCAAGCTGAAGACTAACGTGGAATGGAAAGTTGTAGTTGAGGTGTGGTCGAGTGGAGGGAGTGCCAAGCTTGCCGAAGTAAACTCTCCTTCTTGTCTGACCTCCTTCTGAACACCATAAAAACTCAGGTGTCAAAGGAGTCTAAAAATACTTAAGGACTTGAAAAGATCAGACGTGATCTCTCATGATTTCATCTTGCATGAAAAGAAGCCTTAAAAAACGAACCGTGGAGTGGATTCTACTCAAAACCATCATGTCTAAGGTTAATCAGATGGTGAGGAGATGTCAAGGATGCTGGAGTACTTTGTACTAGAGCCTGCCCCAAAGGAAAAGAAGTGAGTTACTGACAAACTTGGAAGAGGAGCATTGAAGAATGAAGGTTTTGGAAGGAAGCATAATGGCCAACACAGGACTAACCGGTGGGAGTGTTTGTGATCTGGCATTGGGCTGATCTGGCATGGGTTTGTCATCTGTCTGATGCCTGCTTGCCTTTTCCCGACCCAACTGCTTAAAGCCAAGTTCCTTTTCCAAAAAATCTCCTCACAGGCTGCTGAGTTATGTGTATTTTTCTACTCCTGCTTAGAAAGAGGTTATTCTCCTCTGTGCATTTGCTTCATTTGGATAATTCCAGGTTTCTATAACTTAGCAACATCTTAAGCTTTAAAAATACGACTGTCGCCAGTCAGGCTGGGAAGTGGCCAGGTCTGCGAGCGTGTGCCTCTGTGCTCTGTTCAGCGGGACTCTGAAAGAGAACAGATTTGGGCAGGAAAAAAAAACTCAGAAAAGCTCTGTTAACACTGCTGTAGAACTTCATAAATGTCAGCATGCACACTTCAGTCTCTGGACCACGTGTCTGGAGTGTGAAGCTATGCCAGTTGGCCAGCCCTGCCTTTTCCTACACCCCTTGGCACTCTGAAAGCCAAAGGGCAGCCTGGTGCTTCCATACAGCCTTGAAATATTTGTTCCTTAGGCAGCAGAGGGAAGCTCCCTGCCCCTACTGCAGCTTCCTTGGTTTGTTTATTTGCCCTAGGTTGGGGTCCTGGGTTTTAATGCAGTTGCCTGTATTGATGTTGGACCTTAAGTCTTACATAGTTGACTCGATTTCTCAAAAGGAGATGGTAATGTGGGGTCATCCTCCTAGGCTGAGGCACCACTTGAGCCCTCTCCTCACTTGAATTTCCTCTAGGAGTTCAGCTGGCTGTTAGATGTTTACATTAATCACTGTGTGAATCTTCTACTGAAGGAAAAAAAAAAAACAAACAAACACAAAAACACTCATGTGGCCCTGTGTCTCTTTATTATGATTTATATATTTAAAAAAAAAAACCCTCTGTGCTGTATAGGGGTTTATGGAGCAAAGCAAATGCTGGCAAGGGGCCTATCCTGCACCATTCACCAACCTAAATCCTATTTAACCCTAACTTAGATCACTGGTGGCGTGGGGAGAAGTTTCTCCTTAACATCTGCCTCTTTGCTTGTATTTGAAAATAGAAGCAGGCTGTCACAGTCTGCTTGCATCCCAGTTTTTCCCTTTGCCTCCAGTGAAAAGGGTGAGAGCTCTGCGGCATGTGCAGCAGTCAGGGTGGCCCTGGGGACAGCAAGTCACAGCGCTGCTCTCAGCAGCAGGATCTGGGCACACCTCCACATCTACAACCACAACTGTGCATGGGATGCACTCCTAGGTGGTAGGAAGTGGATGCCCAATGAAAATACCCTGTAACTTGTCTTTTTTTTTTTTTTAATAATAAAAAAATGCCCAATTTATAGTAGGAGATACATAGGAAGGACAAGGCAAGCCATCACCCAGAACTGAGCTTTAAATCCCAGGCTGGTTCCTTACTGGTCACAGGCCAACCTTCTGCTGCTGGGCTTGAGCCTGAAGCCAAGCAAATCATGGACAAAAAAGCAAAGGAGAGCAGATTGTTTTCCTTGTAGAAAGATTTTGCCAACCTATTTCATGGACTTCTGTGTGCTCGGTGCTGTTCCTGCCAGCCTGTAACACTGTGAGCTAAACATCGTCCTGCCCCTGTCAGCAGCAACCTACTCAATAAATTTTGGAGTGTGCAAAGGCTTCAGTTACACGATAAAACCCCACAGCCTGGCTTTGCTTTCCCTGTGTTCAAATCTGTTACCAGTCTGCAAGGTCACAGTGGTACCCCAGTCTGAATTTGGAGCCATAACGTGTCCCAAACCTGGGCATATTTTTCTCCTTCATTAGTTTCCTACCCTAAATGCCTAATTAATCTGAATTGCACAGGATTTCACTGCTGTTGTGAGTTCTTTGCTGTTCCTCAGCCTCTGATTAACGTGGTGCCACTGCAGCCTTGTCTCCGTGCTCACCACCTCCACCCACTGCTGGGGCTTGGCTCTGTCGTTGTTCTTTCAGCAGGAATAATGTTCTGGCGAGTCCTGCTCCCTCTCCCTTTCCTCCTCCTCTTTAATCTTGACGTGCTTTCTTTCTCAGGACAGGGTTTAAACCAAAAAAGTGTGTTAGAGAGCACAGAGCTCCTGAGGCTGGGACAAATACTACTGTGACACCCGCATTTCTCCAAGGGAGCCGTTCCCATTCAATAGGCAGCAGGTTAATGAAGGAGCTGCGTGCTTCTCCATCCTGCTGCCCACCTGAGGCATTGTCCTGAAGCACAGCTCCACCCAGCAGCTTGCGTGTGACCCCATCAAACCACCCAGCAAGCAGGGATCAGGATTGTTTCTATTTGCTTGATTTTTGCTGCCTGGAGTTCGATGTTTTATACACTGCATGAAACTTGTGCAGACTTGCAGGGACATAAGGGGCAAGGAGGGCAGCTCCTGCAGTGCAACCAGACAGAGGGCCCTGCCTCCTCCAGCCCTAAGTCATGTTCAGCAAGCCAGCGAGAGCCAGCAGAGGTTGGGCACCAACTGCAGCAACCAAAGGTGCCTGGTGGTTTACCCCAGCACCACAAATACTTCCTCGTGTCACGTTAACACGTGGGAGAGGGCACGCTGATGGCTGCAGAGTGTCCCTGCTGGCTGTTAGAGGTGCGGTGGTTTTCAGCGTGACAACAGAGAAGCCTCCTGAAGGAATTGTGTGAATTCGGGAACCCCAGCATGATTTTGGAAACATGAATCCGTGAATTCTTGCTTTATCCAGCTCGGCCTTGGAGAGGTGTCTGGGTGTGGGGTGTTGCTGTGAGAGGCTGGGAAGGCGACTGAGCACTGCAGCTGCATTTTGGTTGCTGGAAAAAAGGCAGAAAGCAGCACAGGGTGCATCTCTGACACCTGAAAACTCTGTGATAAACGCTGTGATAAAAGTCTTTCTCCTTCTCCTCTCAGGTCTGGGTTTACAACGAAGACCACGAGCTGATTTTGAATAATCTCCTTTGCCTGGATGTGTCGGAAACGCGCTCGTCCGATCCGCCTCGTCTCATGAAATGCCACGGCTCTGGAGGCTCCCAGCAGTGGACGTTTGGGGTAAGCGGCAAGTGGCAGTACCACTAACAGGACATTTGGGTCGGGTTTAATTATGACTATACCTGAGATTAATTACCGAGCCAGTTGTGCTGCACTGGGCCTGGCCCACAGTTGAGGCAGTGTCAGCCCCCGTAAGCATCAGTTTCAGCTTCAATTTGACAGCAGAGTAGGACGCAATTGTAGTAAAGGAATCCCATCTGTGTGCCTCTCTTCTAGAAGAACAACCGCCTCTACCAGGTCTCCGTGGGGCAGTGCATGAAGGTGGTGGACCCGCTTAGCCACAAAGGGTACGTGACCATGGCCATCTGCGACGGGTCCCTGCCTCAGCAGTGGCATTTTGAGAGCTGAGCCAGCCAGCCCGGAGCGCCGAGCCAAGACCAGGAGCCCCTTCAGCCCCTCAAGGTCCCTCTGGAGGGCTCTGCGAGGAGCCCTTTGCTGCTACCCCCACCACGGCCATCGCAAGGACCCCACAGAGATGTCCCGCTGCGAGGCACTGCGCTGCGGGCGCTCACTGGCCCCGAGTCGGGCACAGCAGGAACAGCAGCAGCCCTGCTACAGACCCACTGTGGTCCCTCGGACTGTCCTGGATAACTGAACTGTTTTTAAGTAAGAGAAATTATTAGAGCGGTGTAATTTAAATCGTGAGATTTTAGCCTTGTGGATCTTTTGAATGACAGAGTCATTTTTGAGTATTTCATGCGCAGTATCTCATTAATTTACATGTGTTTTTTTTTAGTATGGTTTTACTGGCCAAATTATTTTACTTCATCTGGAAAATATTTTTATTCCCTTTTATCTTCTGAAAATTGTCATTTGCAGTATTTAAATTTAGTTCTTTTAATTTACAATTTTAGGACGTTTCACGTAGTTTAAATTCTTAGCTGTCATTCGTCACCCCATATTTAAAAAAAAAAACAGAAGTAACTATTACAAAGTCTATTTTGATGACCCATGACAGTAGCTGCATTTAAAATAAAGGATCATTTTTTTATTAACCAGCATGGCTGTACTCTTTGTAGCCATCGGACCAGAAGGCACCAGGTAGGAGGCTGATGCAAACCAGCATTCACACAACTTCCCTCCGTTTCACTCCCTTTTCCTCCCAGATTTTCTGCCTTTCTCACCTCTGAAGGGTTTGACGGGTAATTTCTGTTTTTCTTCCTCTCCACTTCTCTGTTTCCTTCCCCACGTTCCTTTATTTCACTTGTTACCTTTCCTTGACGTCCTGCTTCAGCCCCAAATACTTCTTCAGCGTGTGTGGAAGCTGCTGCAGAAAAACTTTTTTTACACACCACATTTTTTTCTTAGCGTGTGGCCTTCTCCATCATGCCAGAGCTGGGGAGGTGCACTGTTGAAATAACAGCAGCATTGGAGCGGCCTCGCCCTCTAACTCGGGCAGCAGAAACGTTTTCCAGGCACACCAATGCTCTGGCGTCCCGTTACTGACATTTGGGCAGCGGGAGGCAAGTAATGATGCTATTGGAGTCATTACAGACTGAGCCTTCCTGCGGAGAGGACGGAGTCACCTGGGACAAGTTGTATTGGGTCCTTCAGCGGGCAGCCAGGAGGGGAGAAGAAGGGCAAGAGAAAGACAGCGAGCAGGTAAGAGCAGCCCCTTGCTGCTGGCAGATGTTTGCCTCGTTCAGCAGGAGCAGAAGCCGAGTCCCAGCGCAGGGAGGAGCCAGGTAGCCAGCCTGGAGTTATAAACCTCAACAGTTGGCTCAGGTGGATTTTCCTCCAGATAAAGCGCTGTAAAGTAAGTCAGACGCCAGCCAGATCCTTCCTACCCAGAAACGCCCCTGAAAACAACCCCAGACCCACAGGGGATGCATTTCAGGCATCTCAGCAGCTCGCTGGGGCCCTCGCAGTAGAGCCTGGAGTCTCGAGGCGGCTCCTGGTGCAAGTGGCCTCCCGCTGATCCCTGGTGGTGAGGGCAGCACCTCAGCAACAACAGCTCCAGGTGGGTTTGGCAGGACAGAGCGAGGCCTCTCGTTGCACAGCTGCCTGTTTCCACAGGGACCTGGGTGATGTCCGTGTTGCTACAGCTGCTCCCAGCTGCAGGGCAGCTTTTCCTGCAGCCTGTGATTTTTTTTTTTTTTTTTCTGTCAGGTTGGCTGTGCACTAGCCCAGCTCTGTCCTTTTGCTGTGCTGCCAAAAAAACAAACAAAAACAAAAAGAACCAAAGGCTCAGTCAGGCAAAGCAGATGTTCTATTTATCTACGGTCTCGGTCTAGTGCCACAGTGAATTTTTGACCTTTTGCTGCTCTGTGAGGCAATGTGGGGGCTGCTCTCAGAACCAGCTCAGTGCATGTGGCCGTCAGGCCTGCTGTAGCAGACAAGGCCATACGCTGATGGACTGCAGCTGGCTTGCAGCTTAATATACATCATCTACCTCCCTTTTGCTATAAATATGACTTATTTTTATCCCCATGCATATTAACTACATAAAAATGTTTTTAGTCTTTCCCTTTGAAGGCCAGGTACCCCTCCTTCCACGTGGCTCGTGGCTGCTCTTCTACCACGTGCAAAGCCAGATGCTGCCTGCAGGCGACACGCCTGATCCCCACGCTTGCTGTGCTGGGCCTGGAGCCATGGCCAGAGCTGGGGGGGGGGGCCAGGAAGGGGCTGAGGCTGCCCATGAAGGGCTCCCCTTGCCCACTGCACTGCTCTAAGGCCTGAGGCACAGGGGTGGTTTCAGGAATGAGGTGGCACAGTGGCGTTTTGGAGCACCGCGTTTCTGCAGTGAAAGGTTGCTGCTGGCCAAAGCCAGTGCCTGGTCAGTCACCCTCCTCCCTTGGTCAGATTTTGGTGATGAGCGTTTCTACATACACCCACCCTGAGTCAGTTACATGGTCTCTGCATGTGTTGCCTGACTGGGTGGCATTTGGTTTTCTTCCTGTGTCTGAGTGACCACTTACAGCTGCTGACAGGGATTTGGCTGGGCAGGAGGAGGACACCACTCGGGCTGCTTGCAACCAGCTCCAGCTCAAAGGACAAAGGAGGAGAAGTCAAACACAAGGGAATGGCATCGCTTCACTGCCTCCAGGGACGTGGCATCGCGGAGTAAAACTGAAGGTGCAGGGAGCGTGGCAGAGCAGGGGAACACCACTCACCCCCTGCATTCTCCACTGCTTCACGCTGCTGGAAGACACCGAGATCCAGAGATGACTAGAAGGCAGACACCCCGAATGAAAACAGGAGGGTAATAATTTATAGATGTAAAATATTTTTATTTGTAAATGCTGATCTTCTAAATCTGTTTCCACAAATTCCAAAACCCATAACACTCTGTATACTTCAAAAAATTCTTTTTTTTTTGTGTTGTTTTTGTTTTTTTGCCAACATTAGATACTATTATACAGAACAGAAAAAACTGTAGGACAAATACTGGTAGGATGTTGGAATATTGTACAAGAGAAGAAAAATATTCAAGAAACAATTTCATACAGCTATTTATCAAGAGAAAAATATATACAATTGATTTATTCTGTAAGATAAAAATACATCATGCCATATACATTACAAGTTCAGAACTGTATTACTGAATATACCAACAGTTTACAGTCCACTTTAATTGTGCACACAAAAAAAAAACTTCATTTTTTTTTATATTTAGTCTGTGAAGTGTCAGTACCAGAATTTTAAGTACAAAATAAAAAGCTAACCTGGTTCAAAATGCTGATTAAATTTCTACAAGCAAACACAAAACAGTGTTTATTTTTTTTTAAAGAAATGTAAACAAAAACAATCCATACAAACACATCTTTAAATTACATTTTCCAAAACCCTATTGCCAGCGTCCTGCAGCTGCAAGCACATTACATCTAATTTTTTTCCATGTTTTCCTTTTAAGAAGGCTATCATATCAGACTTAAGCTCCAACTACATGATTCTATGCTGTTTACATGATTTAATGTAGGCTGAACAGTCACCTAATCTTGACTACTTTTGCTGAAGAAAAAACGATGTTCAGCCTCTATTTTGGGTGGTTTTAGCAGTTATTCACAGTTATCACAAATTTTAAGCACAAAAAACCTGACTTAAGAAATAGGGATGCAACAATATAATACAAATAAAATTAATCTAAATTACCCAAACATCTACAAAAGTCTTATTGGTAATATACATGCCCTGTACCAGGCTTAAGGTTTACTTAAAAAAATTCTAATAGACCACAGTTGAGACTGCTTGAAACATAAAAAACCCTCTCTCTTTAAATTGAGATTTTGGTTATTCCGTAATTGTAATCACATGTCTGTTAATACATGAGATCATATTGTAACATCCCTATTGACATTTTATAATAAGCACCCGAACTGCTGCAGAGTCTGGTAGCATTTGGTCAATAACTATTTTTATACTGTATTTTTTTTTTCTCAAAATATTTACACTTTTGTACAAAGTAACAGAGTTTGTTAGTTCTGCAGGTAACAGCAGCAGCTTGGCTTTCTTCTAACTTTCTTTTTAAAAATAGCTTCATTCACTTATTCAATAATAAATACAAAAAGGTTCTCTTATTTTACAGAAATCAAAAACTACAATAAACTGACTCATGGAATCAAGTATTTAAATGTATTTTAGTGCAAGTTATTTTTCCCTTAGCTCTATCCCTAAGGAAGTCGTTTCAGTACATTCCTTGTTCAGTGGTGTCTACTTTTATTTAAAATTTTTCTTTAATTAGAGGGCCTGCCCCTTTATCAAATAAGGCTGTGGCCAGCACTTTGGACTTCTCCCTTTCGCTGGTGATTTCAGTCTTACATTCATATATGCCCACCTGCACTTCCGCAGGTCAGCCATCAGTTCTTTGCCCAAGTTCAACAGTTTCTCCTTAGTGAGCTCAAAAACAAAAGTGCTGGACCATTCTGTTAAATCAGTTTAACCTCCACATGTCTGGAAAGTTAGCTTCAGATTTTGCCGGCTTGCTTCTGGTGCTTGTTTTTCCTTTTTTTTTTCTTTTTTTTTTTTTTTCTTTTTTAAATACTTGAGTAGAAATGTGTACTTCCAGAAGTGATTTTTTTCTTCCCTTCAAAAAGGCAACAATTTTATGTCGACAAAATCAAAATGTGAATCACTTCTTCCTAGGGACAAGCAACCCTCAAAAGACAGCAAGGAATGCATTCTAGTTCATCCATTTTCGGCAGTTTACAGCTCCACAGTGACATGGAATCTTGTGCTGGTCATCTTCAAAATCAAACTTATAGTCATAGCAAAGCTGGAAAAAGATGCAGGAGACTGGTTACCAAAAATTGATTTTACTACATCTTCCCTTGTACCTACAGCTTAAATTCATCAAACACTGCACCTGTAGGAGCTGGCAAGATTTAACATGGAAAAGGGGAGGGGAAATGTCAGTCCTCCCCATCACAGCACAAACAATTGGTGCTGGTGGCTGTAGGAATTGGGTAAATATCTAGAAATGAACATAAATGGCAACAGTGATGTAGAAACAAAGGAGGACAGCCCTACCTCCTCCCCTTTCTGGATTCTCCTGCTGGAGCTAATGATGATTTTGTGTCCTCTCTCAAAAGTCACCACCTCAGCCACGCAGTTAGGTGCACACGAATGGTTGATATACCTATGAAAAGAGAGTTTGAAAAAGGTAACCTTTCAAGAAAATGCATCATGAGACAAATCTAAACCAAACCTTAGAATGACCTTAGCTTCAGGGGTGCATTGACTTTCCAGATAAAATTATATTACTCTGTACTTGTTTCTTTACCTAGAAAATGCCAAAAAAAATATGAAATGTTAAAAAAAAATCCACTTTCTTCATAGCTGCCATGAAATACAATCAAAGATGAGTAAAGCTAATGAAAAAGATGACATTATTTCAGTGGGACGGTATAAAGACTGAACGTGCCAGCCTGCAGAGTAGAGGCCATTGGGGAAAAGCACAGACTTGAGTCCCTGAACAAGCAGCCCCCAGGGAAGGGGATGGGACAGCTCTCCAGAACGAGGCCAGGGATCTCTCCAGAGCCACCCACCTTGCAGGACCTCCCGTCAAGGTAGCGTCGATGACGTGGTCATTGTCAATGCGGAACATGTACACCCCGCGATTCTGGAAAGAATTGGGGAAAAAAGGAGATTTTAATTAATTGTCGATGATTAAAACCAAGCAGCAATGTGGGTTATCTCGAAGTGTTCCACGAACATCGTCAGACACCCACTGGCTCGCTGGGGACAGTGATGCACACACTTCGTCTGCCAGTGGCAAGCTGCCATTAACCTCACTGCTTTTTGAGGGATTGGATGGGTCAGTAACACACAGCTGTCAAATTAGTATTTCCCTCCAACAGTGTACTAATAGCTCGGGTTTCTTCAAGTGCTTCGCAAATGTGTATTAACTGTTACAATACTGCGATGTTACGCAAAGGGAATTGCTTTAAATGTAAAGTTCTCATTAAAAATTGAGGTCCTGACATCTCTCTAAAAGCTCTTTCTTTTTCCTCCAGGAATGAGAATATGCATTACCTGCCTAGCTGGGGTGCTGCGAGGTTTATTAAACATTTAAGTACTCTGAGGTCCTTTAATAAGAAACTGTAGCCTCCTGTGGCTGTACTTTTAGCCTACTGCATTTAGAGCACAGCAGCACACAGAACCGAGGGGACCTGACTCCTATTGCCTGCTGCAGCCATGGCTCACGTCTCTTCATGATCCACAAATTCATCCGACAAACAGTGAGCATTTGTCTTGGGATACAACGATAGAATGGGAAAGGGGAAAGAAACTGGTGAACAAACACCAGCCCGTACCTGAGATTCGTAAAGCTTCTCTTTCCTGTTTGCCACCTCATTGCGGATAATAGTTCCGATATATTCAATGACCATAGTGTGCTTTTCAATGTCTCTAGCAGCATACAAGCCCAAGCCCTACAAAAAACAGGTGGTGATTTAGAATTTCATAATAGATTTACATTTACAACTGCACTCCTCAGCATGCCCCAAAACCACTCCTGCAGAAAAACATGTGAAAAGAAATTTAAACTACCCAGAAAGGATGAAGTAGCACAGAAAAGCAACTCGTGTTGTAACAATCCGGATGAAAAACTCAGGTTTACAGAAAAATTTTAAGATGCAATAAAACATACTTGGCTTCTGTCTAGGTGAGAAAGCAGGCTTCTCTTATACCTCTTATACCTTATGACTGACTGTGTGCAGATTACAAATTCAGTGCAAAATAAAGTAGGCGCCTCACAAGAACGGAGAAACATAAGAGGAACACAATAGCACAGTTAAGTCCAACCTAAAACAAACAACAACCATGTTCACACACAAAAAGATACAAAGTTTGTGCACAATGGTCTGTGGAGCAAAACCACAAATAATTACACAGAAATCATAAGAAACCCGTTTAGGAATGCAGTCAAGTGTTGAACTCTCTGTGCTGGTTTCATACCACTTTACTCAGCTTGGTCTGGCTATGTCATACTTCCACTGCATATTCATGTATTTATTTTTAGTAACTTTCTGAGAAATATGGACAGAACCACCTTGAAAGAAAGTAACGCATTTTTCTAGATGACAGTAAAAAATTAATTTTTAATGTATTTACAGTAATCATTAAGAAATAGTGCTTGAGAGTCTTATGAAGTGATTTGCCACATACAAACTGCCAAATTTTGGTACAGACTTGAAGGAATATTGCAATTGTTTTGTTACATTTTAAAAATATAAAACAAATATAAACTTTATAAAAGTAATTATAAAATAATTATTTATATAAATAAAGCCAATTAGATTAAAATATGAATTATGTATATTAAAATAAATGAAAAATATGTATGCAATATATGAAAATAAATCTAAACACAAATTAGTGTAAGAATTTCCTCCTATGAGAACTGACCTGAATGCGAGAGCGAGCTAGATACACGTTGGACTTCCATTCGGTTTTCATTTTTCGGTACTGAGAGGACTTGGAATGGACGAACTGCTTACTGTAAGGCGCATTCAGTTCTCCTGTAACTGTGCTCTGAAATGACTTCGATGTGCTGGTGCTATTCAAGGTGTGAGGCCTGTAGGAGTTGGGCATATAACAGGAAAAAATACAAAACAAACTGAAGATTTCTCCGAAAACAGCCACAAAGCCAATTAAAAAAATTCTTTTAGACGCACACACACTTAAAGCCAGCTAGCATAGACGACACAGCGATCCCATTGATCTGGGCATGCACATACACAGCCAAAGACGACAGGGTTTGTAAGCAGCAGACGAAAGCACAAATAACCCTAAGCAGCCTATAAACCCTGGGCTGTACTATGTGAAATTAAAACAAAATACCTTAACACAAACCTCTTGACATGGGTACTCATTTTAGGCTCGGCACGGGCACAGCCCGTGGGGTTGATGGCAAGAGGAAGTTCCATTAAGGGGTTTCGGCCATAGCGGAAAGTGTAATTCTCACAGGCCTCAACCCCTGGAAGCTGCAAAAGAACAGACACAAACAAAAAAGAAAAGCCAAGTAATTAACAGGTCACGGCACGTAATGAGATGTTTCATTATCCACACTTCCTCCTGCTCCCTTTCTCATGTGTGTATGAGATAGCCAACAATTCTGGGTGATCCAGCAAGAGCTGTGATGGTGAAGACTCACCGATTCGGCAATCCTTGCCACCGCAGAGACTGTCAAACCAAAGAGGTCTTCACCCTTCAAGTAGCCAGGAAACAGCTGGAGCATTTCAGACTCTTTTCTAACAGAAGCAACAGGCTCCAAGATTTTATCCCACACACCTACACAACCATACGGGAAAGAATTACATGGATCAAAAAAATTAAAAGGCCATTGTACTGGTTTTAAAACTCACGCCTGAAGATAGGAGGAACCAGAAACTCATACTGGAAAGGTGTTTTGTTGCTGCCAAGGCCAGTGTTTCATAAGCAAAGTGGAGAATGATCTGATGAGATATTATTTTGTCTTGAACGAGCTCCAAAGCAGCTTAATATTCCTGCTGTACCCTGCCTTGCTTCTCAGGGACAGATCGTTTAGTATTCGTACCACAGAAACCTTCCGTTCTCTGACAATAATAACATTTCTCTCCAGGGAATCAGGGGGCTTTCTGACGTTACACCAGAGATTCTCCTAGAAAACCTGCACAAGTTCGCTAAAAAGTTACCTCTGTGTGCTTTTTCCATAAACAGATTACAGTTAGCACTCAGTTGTGCATGGAAAATTCAGCTGAGGTTTACCTGGGCAGAGCAGAGCCGAGCCAGGTTTGAGCATCCACAGCACAAAGTGGTCACAACCCAAAGCGTTGCAGGTTCCCAAGACCTGCCATGTATTTATCCTTGAACGTGCTGTTCCTCACCCAGCAGAGTCAGTGCTCGCAGCCCCGAGAACAACTTGGGAACCTCACTCTCCTTTTACTGCACATAAACCTCATCAGGACTGATTTGAAGACAACTTTGTAGCAATATTATATTTAAACAAAGTCACTTTTCAGGGAAGAAAACTTGTACTAACATTCTTACTATTGAATTTTAACCTCAGCTGAACACTGGAACAAATCGCCTTTTATTTGCAGCCTATGTGGCTTCTTCAAAGGTGTCCTCAGGCTTTCCAGCATTCAATTAAAAACAGACCCTGGCAGCTCCCTCTAACATTGCAATGTCTGAATTAGAGCAGTGTCTGCAAAATTGGTTTGAAACATTTATCACAGGTGGTAAGTACCATTAGTAACAAACAGCAGACCCACGAAAGCCACCTACCTCAGTCGACAAAATTTACCTTTTGGCGTTGTGTCCGTGAGGACCAGATCTTCGTGGCCTTGCTCCACAACCTTGATGACAAACAGAGGAAGCCCGTCCTTCTCCTCAATCGAACAGAGATAGCGACAGCGCCTGTTTGCGTATCTCATGCTCCAGTACAGCCTGCTGGCCTCGTAGCCCACGGGGAAGAGCGCTTTCGAGGAGTGAAACGCCTGCATCTGCTGCGGCAGCAGCTGACCGACGGCGTGGAAGATCAGGCTCCCCACACGGAAGGTGTGGTCGCGTTCTCCTCGCTGCACGATGCTAGCGATCTGCCGCACCTCGTCGCGCTGCACGTAGACCCTCCTGAAGACTGCAAAGTAACTGAGTTCTTGCTCGTGAGTTCCCTTTGGTTTGTGCATGGGGCAAAGCATGGTCTTGTCTTTAAAAAACATGCATTGTGCTTTAATGGCACAGGTAAAGTGATAAATATTGGTGCACCTTAACCTGTGACAACCGCTGGTGGCACCCATTTTGTGACAGAACATGCACTTCATCTGCAAGCCTCTCCGCAGTGCTAGTTCCACGTTTATTAAGGCACCAGCTTGTGTCTCGTAGACTTCTGTAGACCAAAGAGCACAGTTCAAATGGACCCAAAGGTCTAAATCCAGGTTCAGAAGCCTTGCTGGTCCATCAGTTAATCCATCACCTTCCTCATGACAGAAGCAACATTTTCTGTAGTCTTTAAGCATGGGATCCGGTTTAAGGGTTGTGCCCAATTTTTTGAGAAATTCATCTATTTCTTCTTCACAAGGAGGTTTGAATGATCCTTTAGGAATCACAATCTGAATGCTCCACTTCTTCCACTTCATTCCTTTCCATTTCTTACTAGGAGGCCGACAGTCATCAAGACTGCTGTGTATTGCTTTTAACCTAGGTTTTAGTTTCACTGTTACCTTAAGCTCGTCCGGTTTCGCCTCTACCTTGGCTGCTTCGAATGCAGGGGGGAACATGATCGGGGGCGAGGATGGTGGAGACGCTTTTTCCTGCAACTGAGGCAGACAATGGACATCCAAGGTGGAGATGTTGTTGCTGTACTGATGGAATGCTTTGGGTGGCCTCTCCTTCATCGGTGACTGCGGCAAAGATGGAACCGACTCCTGATAAACCAAGAGAAAACTCTTAAGAAAAAAATCCCAAAGCATTACATGTCTCTTTGAAACTTTCAGGTCAGAACTGAACTGGAGAGGCTACTCTGAAGGCCTAAAATCGTGATGCAGTGACAAAGAAAGGTGGAAATTATCTTCACCTGGTTTATCACAACCTGTGCTGGGATACAGAGCACTGAAGTTCTCCCAGTCAACCCAGAACGTGGCTCCCTTTAAAATTTCACAGGAAAAGCAAATAATCCTGAGTACAGCTTTTGAATGAAAAGCTAATCAAATGCTCTAGAGGTAATTGAGGGATTTACATTTTAGATATTTTTAGAAAGTTCTGTTATGACACAAAATAACCAAAAATATGGGTCACAGAATTAATTCAAAGAACGAGAAACTTGTTATTTGCTAGAAGGGGAAGACTGGGAATTAATGCCACACATTTTTCCTGGAAAAAAGTGACAAGGAAATTCCTGTACAGCTCTGCATTAGTCATTTACCTTGGGGTCTTAGCTGTTCGGTTACAGTAAACAAGAATTAAACCTGCAGAGATTTATTTAAAAAAGAAAGGAGAACAAGAAGAACAAGGGAAGTTTAGATTAAAAGTGCCTAATGTGGTTTCTGTGATTAATCTTGAAAGAATAAATGAAAGGATTAAGAGGCTGAACGTGACATGTAATTAACTTAATTATGTATGTAGCAATACACTTGTAGGAAGCATGTGGATGTAAACATTTTTATCTTCTCATCTAGTATTTTGGTGTTTCTTTTGAAGAAATAAGTAAGATGCATCTGAAGGAAGGCTGCATATTCTACAGTAAGCATGTGACTATGTGAGAAGTCAGTAATTAGTTAATGCTCGAAGCACGTTGCCCATTCTGTCCACTGGTTTAGGAAAAAATGTGGGTTTGAACTACCCAAAAGTAGAAACCAAGCTAGTTAAAAGTACTTGAACGTCTTTATCTATGAGAAAATAAACAGCACGATTATTTAGTCCTGAGTGAAGACTATGTCATTTAAATGATTAAATGGATAAACGTAAGTGTTCTTGTAAGATTTCAGTAAGTTATTATTAAGTGTAATTTGAGAATGTACTCGAAGGCCTACTAGCCTTACAGTGGCACCACCCTGAACCTTACAGATTTAACCCATTATATTTATTCGAAGCCTGGAAGCACCCAGGCATAGCAAGAAACAAGGTGCTGTGTAGACGTGCTGAGTTTCTCCAAGCTGCTGTATATCCCTAATAGCATGGGTAGGTAAAGAACTAAAGCGTCCTATTCTGGACGTTCATCCTATCCCCCACCTGGGAAAAATCCATGGGCTAAGTTCAATTTCAGTTGAACAAGCTTTTAAGAAACTATTTTTCCAATAATTACAAGCTAATTTTCCTTGTCACTGTCGGTCAGCAGCCTCTTTATTATTGTTTTGGTAATTAATACTTTAGAATGGCAACTTCACCCAAGTAAAGTAACTGAGTAAGATTATTGCTTTCTGATCCATAAAGAAAATACAAATGTTTTGGTAAACTTGCCATTCAATGTTTGCATAGATGTAAGACTTTGGCTGTATATAAGCCAAATCAAAACGCAGAAAGTAACTCTTAAAGAGGTATCTGTGGTTTCTAACAATGCCCAGACAACTTTAACCCATAGACTACTTCTCTGAGATTGCATCTTCAAAGCCTGTGAGGACAGCACAAGATGGTTAGTGTTCTGACCTGTACCTCTGTTAGACAGAGGGCTCTGCAAATATGAATGTGATTTCACCCTGATGGTTCAGAATTTTTGTGTCTGATCCCTCCGCCCCATTTCAGGTTTTCAAAACATAGCTGCAGTAATCCCTGCTTGCTAGGATTCACCAGCATTTGATACTTACTTTGTTCTCGGAGTTTTTTGCCTGCACAGCTGCTGAATAGAGAACAAAGCAGTTGTTGCTACAGAATACAACGTCCTTCATTTTATCAGGCCCTTCTTGGGAATCCTGGGGATCAAACATGGAAGATTATCAGAAGTGCATTTTAATACCATTCTTCACATACGAGGTGTAATGGAACAAGTCTTCCAATCTGGCTAGAAACTGTCTACCTCTTTATTTGTAGAACATTTGGGAAGTAACGAGTGCTACTGTGATATAAAAATACTTGATTATTTGACAGATAACACCACCTACAACCCTGTTCTTCAGCATTTCTTCACAGAAATTTACTTTTCTGCCTTTAACAGAAGTTTAACGATCAAAATAAAGCTTTCTAATACCATGCACCCATCTGCTCCACAGGCACACGTGCAAAGTAAAAATCCATTTTCTTTTATCTTTAGATGACAAAAGAACATCTCATTTTAGGGTAGTCAAAGGCAGTTCATACTGTTTTATCTACTGATCCATCTGCAAAACATTCCTGGGAATTCAGTGTTTTTCTGACTACATGAACCCATTAATTTTATATATAAATTCTGACTTTATACCTTTGTTGCATAATCATCTCAATCTTATTCAAACAAACAGCAATGGTACATTTTTACTGAATGACACTTCCCTGTGCAAACACTCTGTATTTGCCTATGACCTGTAACGAGCAGCTTGGGATTCTGTTTGCACGAGAAACAATATAAAATACAGGACACTGAGATTGAGAACTGCTTATTGCTCAGGAAGACTGAAAGTACTCTCACTGTTATAGTACCTTAAGTACAAATACAGGTTGGGCGGAGAATGGATTGAGAGCAGCCCTGAGGAGAAGGACCTGGGGGTGGTGGTGGATGAGAAGCTCAACATGAGCAAGCAGTATTCATGCACTGCTCAGAAAGCCAACCACGTCCTGAGCTGCACCAACAGCAGCGTGGGCAGCAGGGGAGGGAGGGGATTGTCCTCCTCTGCTCTGCTCTCATGAGACCCCACCTGGAGCCTGTGTTCAGCTCTGGGGTCCCCAGCAGAAGAAGGACAGGGAGCTGTTGGGGTGAGTCCAGAGGAGGCCACAAGGATGCTCAGAGGCTGGAGCACCTCTGCTGTGGAGCCAGGCTGAACAACCCCAACTCTCTCAGCCTGCAGAAGAGAAGGCTCCATGGTGACCTTACAGCAACTTTCCAGTACCTACAGGGGCTACAAGCAGCCTGGGCTGGTGGGAGGGGTCCCTGCCCACGATTAGATGATGAATTAGGTGATCTTTAAGGTCCCTTCCAACCCAAACCACTCTGTGATTCCATGAAATGACAGTGTGAAGCAGCCTTACAAACAGGCTCTTTTTGAATTCTTAAGGTCCCTGAAGTGGTTGTGGAAGGACAGTAGCAGCACAATTTAGGAGGCCTCTATTTATGGGACCTGTTTCATGAAATTTACTGAAATATTTTATGTAACAACTTTGACATTTGTTATTTGCACTACAAATGTGCTTGAATGTCCCATCCTGAATTAGGACTGTCAGAAAAGGAAGAATACAAAGAAACTATGAAGCAGTATGAGTTGGAACATTAAGCAGCAGTCTTAGTTCCCTGCATTTACTTACTGACCATTACTATGCAAGAAACTTTACTTCCACTGCAGTACCTGTTTATGGAAAGGCAGGTCTTTGAAGGACTTCCGCACGCCACTACCAAGAACCACCACTTTGCAATGAGAGCACCATCGAGGTCTCAGTGCTGAGCTTTCTGCAATGTTTTGACTGTGATCCTTATAGCCAGCTATACCTAGAAAACAGAGAAATCTGTTAGAAGCCATAGCCAACTAAATCAAACTTAGGACAAGACACAGCATTCTTTGGTGGCTTAGAGGAGTAGCATCCTCCCAGATAGGAGATGAAAAGCAAGTTTTAAATTAGGTCCTGATGGGGAAATTGTTTAAACCAGACCGAAAGCACCTGTGTGAACAAGGCAAAAATGAATTATTGTATGTGAAATGAATAACTAAAACAATAGAGCAATACATACTTAAAGACTTGCATAAAATTTTCAAGCAGAGTGGCAACCTTCTAGAACAACGTATTTAAAAGCAGGCCAGCCATAAAATTACTAATGTTGGGTACTACTGGAAGAAATATCTCAATGACAGTGAAGTGAGAAACACAATGGAAGTCAGAGCTGGATCAGACCTGTTACGTTACTGTTAGCATCTTAGCATCAGAAGCAGGTCTGCATGGCCTTATCACACAAGAAAAGTATTATTATTTAGAATGAGAATCAACTAATGATAGAGCAGATTGAGAAGAACTGATGCCCACTTACCATTGTTGCTTGCAGGGAATGGCACGTTGGGTTGCTTCAGTCCGTAAGACCCTGAGATCCTGGCAGGTCCCAAGGACCCTGCTTGAGGACCCTGAAGCAGTAAGTGCTGCCTGTACTCCAGAGATGGGTTCACCCTGTGACTGTTGGCCGCTGCCATGGAGGATGGGACGTCTGGAGCATTACTAACCTCGTAACTGTTGGGAATTCGGACGTGCAGCAGGTTGGAGAAGGCCGCCACAACATTACTAATATTCTAAAAACAATAATGAGAACACAGCTTTGTTTTCACCAGACAAGCAGTGAGGCAGAAATAATGTAAACCATTACAAGATTACAACAGCTGTTTAATTTTAGTATGCTATAGCCCCCTTCACATCCACTATTTGAAGAATATGTATATGAAATACAACAGAAGTTAACAGACTTCTTTCTTTTACCTCAGCAGCTGTGGGATGTAATGTAATTGCTACAGATATAAGGCCAGATTTAGGACCATTCTGGGATGGACCAAGCTGAGAGGCAAAGAAGCCAGAACCAGGTAATGCTCCAGAACCAGGTTCTGACTTTATGTAATTCCTTTTGGCTTCTGAACCTGAAATAAAACAAAATACCCTAGGTTAATCCTACATGCATATGAATGAAAAAAAAAAAAAAAGAGAATAGAAGAAAGACTAGTTCTAATTCATTCTCTTGCAGTCTCACCTTTTCCAGTACTGCTAGGTAGGATGGGAATGATGGGAGATGGTACAGGCTCTGGGTTCTCCTCCTTGACGACTGACAAGTCGGGATACCTACTTATTTCCATTCCCACCACACTTTCAGGAGAGGAAGAAGGAACGAAGCTGTCAGGAGTGTCCCTGTCCTCACAGTGATCTTGAACCCTGGAACAAAACCAAAAAAAAAAGCTGTTTTGGAAACAGTCAAAAAACCTTTGGTGAGCCTGTGTTATAAATTGTGACAGGGAATTATCATGAACTTGCTTCTTTCTGTTAGTTATGAAACGCAATGATGTGGTAGGCCATTAATTCTGGCTAATACTCCATCGCACAAGGTGGGTTCTTGGAAAAGACAAAATCAGAGGCACCAGCAATGCCCTGGCTCCTTTACAGAATCATCTGCCCTCCATGGCTCCGTCCACCTAAGTAAAAATCAGTATTTAATCCTTAATTCACCAGTCCATCATCTCTCTTACACCAGTATTTGGTCAGGCAGGTGAAAGGATAAGAAAAGGCAAGATCTTTGTAGGGAGACTCATGTTCTAGTAAGCACGTCTCACACAGTACCTGAAACTGAATAGAGCAGGGGAATTTTCAGGCTGTCTGACACTTGCACCATACTGCTGTCATCACCATGTTGCTCCATGAAAAATACCAGTTTGTAAAGTTTTCTTTCAATTTTAATAGAGCAAGATAATGAATTCTTAGTAACTTAACAGAACACTGAGTGCAGCAAAGGTAAAAGTCACCTTTTTTACTGCACTGATGGCTCACACGTGGAATGCTAGGAGATAACTGGTACAAACAATCCTACTGTGCACTGTCTGCCACGCACAATGGATTTTGTTTCTTCACACCTCCACAGTCTCATCTCCTACTGAGAGTTTGCAGAATCTGTTCCAAACACATTATTTACATGTGTCAGGGAAAACCCACCTTAACTCCTCCTGATTGTTGTGAGGTGGTGTTGGAAGCGAAGCGGGAACATCCACAGTTTTAGGGCCCTGAGCCATTGCTCTTACTAGTAAATCGTCTTGTGGTCTGAAAGGTAACTGGAACTGCTTTGGTCCCAGAGCTTTGGTAACTAAAATCAGAGAAACAGAGCACAATGAGATATCTGTACAGCCCTTCCTACTGATTTGCATTCTGAAGTACTGGCAGCTCCCAGATACAACCAAGGCATTAAGAGCAGATGGTAATGCAGCTCTCATCCATTTGTAGTTGAAAAAATTTTTGACTGTTCATGATTAATCTCCATGCTTTAAAAAAAATATAATTAAATAAAAAAGCAAGTTTTGAGCTAAAAGGCTTGGCACTTTTGAATGTGCCTTCTGCCAATGTAAGAGTATTTTTATTTTACTTAAACTCAACAACTTTTTAACAACAGAAGAAAAGAAGCTGGAAAGAATTTTATTACTGAACAGTCCTAGGGAAAAGGCAATATTAAGTTTTACTTAACAGAAAGCAATTTTAATTGACCAAATTACAAGCATTAGAAACACACAGAGACTACATATAAAATCTGCTGAGGACACTTTTCAAGGAGACTGCTCACTCAGCTAATTAGTTAGTAATTTGTAGTGGCCATAAAAATTTGATTTTGAAGTTTTCTTTTTAATTTCTTTAGAGTACTTCTAGATCTCAACTTGTTTTCAGAAGGGAAAGAAAAAACCTTATCATTTGACATTATACTGGTGTAAAATAAAACTAGATAATAGCAATTACAGTCTTAAAAGGGGCTAGCTGTGTTGTTTTTATAGAAGAAGACCAAAAAGCACCCCAGTTATCTGTTTTGTGATTTGCTACAAACTTGACTCATTTATTATGGAAACAATACGTATTAATCTTACCATCATGACCTCCTAACATACCAGCCTTGCCAGCCAGTTCTTCAGTGGTTGCAAAGCCATTTACCAACTTCTGGCATGCCACAGGAGGTGGTGTGGGCGGAAGAGAGGCTGGGGGTGTTGGAGGATTACTCAGATTGTTCTGCTGTAGTAGAGTAAAAAACTGTAAATTAGCTGTGAAGCACAGGGTGAAAACTTGCCTTGTTCTAGTAGGAGATAACGTAACCCACTCAGTTATTTTCATACCCAGAGGTAGCACTCATAAACACCGATAGTTAATTCTCAAATATATGACCAAATACATGGAAGTATCCATTATTAAAAATATGTTTTCTTCTTCTTCTATCAATGGTACTATCACAGAAATATAGTTTGCATGAGAAATATACATTACAGAAAGAAAGTAGAGCTGAAGTATCTACACAAAAGCACAGAGAGCATTTTTATGAACTGCTTGGGAGCCCCAACAAGTTCCTCTAGTTTAAGCAAAGGTCTGATCTTAAGATTGAGAGAACTATACCACAGTGACCCTCCATCACAACCAGTGAGTTACCTTTTCTCACAAAAAGGGAAGTTACCTCGCATTTAGCACAGGATGAGCTTTCACTGAAGCAGTTACCATGGAGAAGCATACTCTGCAAGTTCGAGTTCACACTCCGAACTACTTCTCAGTAGCTTACTTAACTGCCCATATTTTAAACAAAAATTAAATGAGAACTTCAACATCTATCCTTGCGGCAGTCATGCATACAAAGCAAATACATATTATCATTTTTGACCACAGCAACCATATCTGCAAGGTCTCATTCTCAGCTCAGTACATGTCTTTTAAGACTGAAGTAAACATCACTTTTTTAATCATTTACTGAAGTTTTATATTAGGGTAGCCAAGCATCAGATTTGATTCTCTCTGTTCACTGTCTTGCTGTATCCCAATATTGCAATTCTGATCTCAGAGACTGAGTTTTAAAAGTCTGTGGGTTATTAGCTTACCAACAAATGGTCTATTTTGTTCAGAGTTCTTAGTTAGGGCTTAGTGGACAAATGAGAAGAAGTCTATTTCCAATTTAATTCACATTAAGAAATGCTTTAGTGCTTTCAACGACTTTGCAAAGTACTGGGAATTCAGCCTTTTCTGCTCCATAAAACTGTAATTACAATTTTCACTATTTAGCATCCATTTGTAAATGGAATACTTCCTAATTTGTTTACGACAGTTTCTAGAACTGATTTCCACTATCAGAGGGTAAAACAATCTCTGTTCCAACAGTGAACAACCCAGTTAGTATAACAAGAGTGTTTTCTTCTGGTTTCATAAAGGGCACAAAATACAACCAAGCTGCAGCAATAATTAGAACATTTCTCACAGAGAGCCCACAGTGGGTATCTAGATTAAAGCTGTACCTTGTAAATGAGCTGGGAGTAGTAATCTGAAGCTCCATCAAGAGTAGCGCTACCAAAACTTCCTACAAGCCGATTTCCACCATTTAGCTGGCCACTGCCATAAGGAAGAAAATGTGCAAAGCTCACTCCAATTATTGGTTCCATCAAAGGCAGGAGAGAAAGCTGCTGTATTAAAAGTAAAGAAAACGTTAGAAATTAGTCTAACTATAAAATAAAAGCATTACAGATATCCTATCATTAGTAGAGTAGTTTTTATTCTTTTTTTTTTTTTTTTTTTTTTAAGGGAATTCACCCACTCTCAGACAATTGCCTCAAACACAGACCCCTCTGCTTTTTCAGGAAGATGGTCCCCAGGCCACCGGAGCCACAACGCCCAGTTCCCTGGCAGCTCAGTCAGAGCTGCTGCCAGAGCAGGCAGGAATTCCACTTTGAGACTAATGAATGCTGCCAAGCCAGCAGATATTCCAAACTGAAATAAAACCAAACCTTTGAATTTCCTTTTTTTGTGAAGTTTTATTTTCTAAACCCTGGATTCAAAATTCAACTTCATTAACCACTTCATTTTCATCACGAGAAAGCCACTCTTTAAAGTGTCCCCTTGCTGAGTTGCCCAGTCTCCGTATACCTACTTGCTTGAGCTGGATGAATGTATCAGCGTTAGGGTAAATCGCTTGTTTTTCTTCTTCCTCTTTTTTTCTTTTCTTGGACCGAGGAGCTGCCTTCTCCCCTGTCCTCTGAGTTCGCTTATTTCTCTGCTTCTTGGTTTCATGTCCCACATCTGTTCTCTGAAGCTGGCTGTTACTACACCCAAACGCACCTTGCATCTGGTTTCCTGGAGTTTGCTGGTAGAAAAAAAGAAAGAGAAGCAGAATTTTTGACATTTTAATATACAGTTCATTCAAATTTATCGCACAATAGTCTAAAGAACACGCACAGCAATATATCTCGCTGATAACACCCCGAATTTATGGTTTGTTTACTTTACTGTCTTGCTGGCAACTGTAACTGCTGTACTGTCCCTGCATGCAGAATTATGGCTTACCATTAACACCACTGACGTCTGAAAACATCATTAAAACTCACGGAGCAGAAACATATTCTTCTGAATACCCACTAAAATAAAGTCACATGCGCATGCAGCCTTAGAGATTTTCATGAGGGGATAATAAAAGGGAAACTTGGTTACAGAAGAAAGGCGTGTAAGTTAATGTAATACAAATGTCTTTGGAGTTTAGAACAGAAACGGTATTGTGAAATGGTTCTGCTCTGTACCATTTGATTAAATACTTTTAGTCCTAATTTGCAAAGCCATTCTTCATATAAAAGGATAGCAGTGGAAAAAAATATCAGAATGGGACTTGGTAATGCAACAGATGGTGTCATGCCAAGAGAAAGTCTAATTTCTTTTTAGCAATTATTATTCTAAACAGCTCTGTACAATCCCTAACATAAGGACTCTCCAACTATTCCTGTCATACATGTTTTAACTGGGGATCTTTAACACTTACCTAAGTTACTTGCTGCTCACAATTACATTTATCAGTTTGTATTCATTTTGAATGTGTTTACATTTTATTTCAAGGATGTACTTAGAGTTTAGGGAGTCATGAAACAAAGCTGTTGAGACTGAAGATCACAATAAAATAGCCAACAAAGTATACTACGTGTCAAGTGTACCCTACCTATACAGAAAGCCATTTTCTATTTTTTAAGAGCCTTATAAATTATTAAATCATACAATGCCATTAATACAAAGAATTAGCACTTCCATTAAAATAGAAGTAATTGGAGAAATATTACGTAAAATAGAAATCCAGCAATCTCAGGAGATTTAACAATTTAATGCTTTTGATAAAAAATCCTAGAAAATGATATCTGTTAAGATTAAAGGGAGTACAGGATTTTCACTGGCAAAAAATTAATATAGGCTTGGTTCATTCACAGAACACTGCAGGTTGGCAGCTGAAGGTGTATGAAGCCCAGCCCCACACCTCTGCAAAGGTGCACAGCTCATCCTGTACCTGACAAAAGGGGACTCACAAAACAAAGCCAGAGTCAGACATACAGTATGATGCACAGGAACATATTAGGATGTAATTGAGTCATTCTGTAAAATTGTGCCTTCATCTTAGTACATATTAGGATGTGGCATGTTTTAAGATGATTATTCACAGAAAAAAAGTGTTTCTTGCATTTTAGTAATTTCTGAATATACTCATCTACGAAGTCATTAGATTTTGCTCTTTTTGTAACATAGGGAGAAAAGATAGGAAGGCAGGTAAAAAATCCTTAAATCAGTTTATTCCACCCTTGTGCAGGTAGGTTACCTCCCCTGCATATTCTCAAAAATGCTTGCACTAATGACACAAACTGGCCTTTGGCTGTTGGTTATCATTGCACAACAAAGCAGTAATAGGCTCACCGCTCCTTCTGCTGGATTCTGCTTCTCTGTTAACTTCTTATCCCCAGCAGTCTCATCTTCTGTTCGACAGCTGTTCTCTGATTTCTGATTTAGAAGAGATGAGGATTTTTTGTTTTTAAGCAGGTGTTTCAGTAATTCATTCCCTGACTCCCCTTTTGCTGCTGGAACGCTAGCTGGCTGGGCTGGACTCTGAGCTGAAGAGGCAGGCTGTGACGTGACCTTATCTTCTTCCACCTTAACACTGCTTTGATTTTCTGTTTTAGGCTCAGCTTGACCTGAGCATTGATCAGTTTCTGCCTTTTCTAGTTTAACTTCTTGAATGCTGGTAGATGTCTCTGCTTTATCCTTTTCAGTCTCCATACTTACGCTTGGCTGTTTCTGTGGCAAGCTGCTGCCGGGGAGCTTACTTTCCAGCTCTGGAGAGGTCTGGCTCTCTGCTGCATTTGATGTTGATGGACCTGTTAACTCCACCGACTCTTGCTCATCCTGATGACGTGTAAGTTCGCTGGGGGTATTAACTGCTGGGGGTGGAGGTAGAATCAGAAATGGCTTGGAGTTGACGGTGCAGTAATGTCTGAATGGGGAGTCGAGGGGGCTTTTATTGACTCAGCATCATCGTCCTTTTTCTTTTTTCGTGTCCTTTTCTTTTTCCCTTTCTCTTCTGGAATTATGTCAGAATACAGCTGTATGAGAGACTGGCTTGATCCAGGGAAGTTTGTTGCCTGGGGCACGCTAGTGTCCGAACCACATGGGGCACCACTACTGAGTGCTGTAGATGAAGGTACTGTAGATGAAGGTACAGAAGGAGCAAATGGGGGCCTGACTTGGTTCTGCGTGAAGGTGGCCCCAGGAAGATTCCCGTGAGTTTGTTTTACATTATGGAAATTGGGGGCTCCACCCGCAACAGCAGATCCATCGGGTCCAAAAGTTGTAGGTCCCACTGGCCTTCGCTCACTGCTTTGCATGAAATTTGTGGCGGGAGGTGAGTTCACAGGACCTTGCTGCAGCATTTGTCCCATTTGTTGCTGCTGGTGCTGCGGAGACTGCTGAAGAGGGCGCGGTGTTTGGATGAAATCACAAGGCAGATCAGAATTAAAGAAAGGTATCTGCGATAAGGATGCTCTGTTATTTAGTTCAGACCCTATCATACCATGCTGTTCCAGTTCCATTCTCTGCTGCAAAGCCCTCTGTCGATCTACCTCCTGCATAAGCTGGATGCGTTGCCGTTCCTGCTGCTCTCGTAAACGCTCCTTCCTCTCCCGCTCTTGAAAACTTTCACTGAAAGGGTTGTTGTCATCAAACTCCACCCTCGGTGGTGGCCCTGACTGTGCAGTTGCATTTGGACCAGGCACGGGAGCTGGTGTACCAGGAGTAATTGGCAACGGCGTCATTGGAGGCTGCATCCTTGCTGGATTCATGGCAAGATGACTCGCAGGGGCATTTGCAGCTTGCCAGCCCGATAAATTTGGCATTCTGGTTGGGTTGGGCTGCCCCGGGATCACCACTGCATGCTGCTGGTGCTGGAGCTGTTGTGCCACCATGGGGAAGTTTTGCTGATTCATTGCTGGTGACGTTCCTCCGGGAACCATCGGTGGTTGAGGCTGGACTCCTGGCATGATGGCGTGGGGTGCCATTCCACACTGCTGCTGCTGCTGCTGCTGCTGCTTGATTCGATATTCCTCAATTAGTTCTGCATGCTCCTTCTGCTGCTTTCGGATCTGTCAATTTAAGAAGTCATTACTCATCTCTGACATGTACTGACTATGTAAAGAATCAAATAACATGCAACTTTCCAGTAGAAAATTAAGCTTATGTGAAAATAGCACTTCTGCGTCGTCTTATTTTCTCTCCCTTTCTAAGGTTAAATGCCCATTGTTTAATTAGGAATACCATCCACCCCAAAATTTTAGAAAAAATAACAGCGCCTAATAGTTATAATTACATACCAAGATGGCACTGTGCTACAGAACACAAACCTAAAATCAAAGCAATCCTTGTACAAATCTTATCATCCACGTATAGAATAACTATAGCTGGAAGCAGACAGGAAAAAGGAAACTGTGAGATGTATGATACACACATCAATTTTCTTTTTTAAAGATGCAGCTGAAAAGAAAATGTTTGCAGATAAACAGTGATTCCTGAACATCACACAGTAGAGGAAAAAGACAACTGCTGCTTGAGAATTTTAAATTTAAAGATGAGAATACACTGGATGTGGACACTAAAAGTTAAGTAGTTTATTTTTTTAAGGCAAATGGGAGAAGCCAACAAAAGGATCTGACAGCGTCACCAGGATGAGAGAGTATTTCAGAAATACAAATAGATACCTAACTACACTGCTCTCCAAGAAAATCAAAGGACTTGTAAACCACTGCTTTGTAACATATGGATGATGGAATCTCTTTCATTTGTTAGACTGCAACTTCTGCAACTTCCATTTGCTGTTGTACTGATATGAAAAGTCCATAATGTAATCTAAAATGTTTGAAAGCACTCCCTTAATCTGGTGCAATAGATACACCAGAAAGCTGAGGACAACAGAGATATTACAGGACATGCTCCAGAAGGCAGGACAGATGCACCCAAAGGGCTATTTACAGAGTCATCTCAGGTCCAAGATAACTTATGAGATCTGGCTTGGCATTGGTACTGCCAGACAAACAGCGACACTGCATAAAGCCACCAACTGGATCCGTCTGCACTGCACAGCCCAGTGCCCCAGGACTTCTCAGCTGTTACACAGCCCTGTGTTGGCTCAGTACGATTAAACAAGGAGGCATCCAAACCACGCTGCCCTCCCAGAATGTGCAGTGGCAGCGAGCCCCGTGACTGTACTTGGAAGTGGATGAGACCTCACAGGACCAGCACCTGCGCAGAGCAAGCCAGTGACTCTACCAGAGCGGTGGAGAACGACACAGAGCTTATTAGCACAGGCACGGCGCCACACCAAAGCAGTCAGACTGCCCTGGCCGTGGAAGCAATATGGTTGTGGCCGCATGGCTCCGTGCCTGAGCTAATATAGTAACTGTCAGACATAAGCTCACATTGCTCCGAGACAGCTCCAGTTTCTCTGCCTGTGACCAGCACAAGCATTATGAGAGCTTTTTTTCTCTGTGCATATGTAGTTTTCCCTTTTCCAAAAGTGATAGAAGCTTGATTGTAGAAAAAGGACTTGATCTCTTTTGAAAGAATGAGAAATTGCTTCAAATAGGTCCTTGGAAATGCACTTTTGTAAAAATGTAGTTAAAAGTCCATCCCGGTATATAAGAACCTGCTGTTTAGGATCTGGATGACTGGTCTAAACCAGTGCTTGAATGGGAGTAGAGGATGTCTTCCAGCCACATACGCAGCTCAAGTTTAAAAATGAGGAATAAAAGAACGTTAATTACATGGCACTAAATGAATCTGCCAGCAATATCCTTATTAGCTGTTACTTTGACGTAACTCCACTGCAAGACAAGACTGAAGTATGTATGATAGAGATTGGTTGAAGTGAGTATTTTTGTGTTTAATCTACTTGTCATTCGTTGTGGAAGGGAAAGAAAGAAAAAGGAAGAAATGACAGACATAATTATCTGCATCATCCCTCTTCCACCCAGCGAAAAGACAAGCCAACGAATAGTCCATCCAATGCATACTTTCTCTTGAGGCAACACAGGAGCAAGAACCTGGGAGTCAGATAAATCTCAGGACTTCATTCCAAGCAGCCTGCTGCCAATTTTTTACCTCATATTAATAAAAGATAATTCTAAAGCATTTAAATATTTGGCAGGTCTATCTGTTCCTGACAACAAAAAGATTCCCCACCCATCCAGTAAGGAAACATCAAGCCAGATAATTTCTACATGACGTCTTGAGGAACATAGGATTTTATACTGTTGGCCAAACCATAAATTTATCAAAGAAATCACAGGCTTAACTTTAATCTCGCTTACTATAATTACAGTTACAAGATGCAGCAAGTGAAATTCCAACTGAATATAAATAAAGAAAAAAACACACAGTGAAAGTGGTTTCACATTGGAACGGGGGCCCAGAGAGGCTGGGCAATCTTTGCTTTTGGAGACTTATTAAAACTTGAGTGACATGGCCTCAAGTAACCCAATCTACCCACAGAACTAGTCCTCCAGTGATCAGGAGACTCAACTAGATGACCTCCAGATACCCCTTTGACCTTTATTATTCTACAATACAGTAACAGACAATGCACTGATGATTAGTGTCTAAGGACCAGACAGATGATAAAGCTAGGCTAGCATTAAAGACATAATGAGGAGAGATTTCCAAACAGTAACATTTAACTGGCATATAACCAAGTTACTGATTACATAAGGACGTCTGAAAAAGCTCAGAGTTGTAAAATTCATTCAATGCTGAAACAAGACCCTACATGCTCAGACCTTCTTCCTTTGCAATTTCCATCTTTCGTTTGTGCTTTCCATGGCTCTAGGAATTCACTGTAAATCATCCTGCTAAAAATATCTCTTCTTCCCAAAGTACTAAAATAGCTTTTTGTTGTAATTTTTGCTGTAGCATGTCCTCCTACAACTCCAGTGTCAATGGTGATCCAGAGTAACACCGTTACACACACAACTTATAATAGGGAATGGCTCCTTTCAAATAAGCTCCACTATATTTAAGCATTTCAATTCATGTTTTAGCTGATTTAAAGAAGAGTCACACCAGTGTAATAACTTAGCATTAAGGTGAACAGTTTTGTTTCCCAATGATTACCTGTTCTAGCTGTTTTTGGACCATACTTTGCTGCTCTGTAACATGTTTAAGCTGTTCTGCATCTTCTTCTGGGAACTCACGGCCAGCTTTCTTGGCTGTACGCTGTTTTGCTGAGAGTGCTTTTTTTGATTTTCTGTGTGCTCCGATTTGCTCCTCAAGGTACTTCTGTTGCATTTGGAGAAGCTGTTGTGTTTCTTGCAGCCATTCCTCATATTGCTTTCTTTGTGAATCATCTAAGAGACAAGGGAAATAAAGTATGACATGATCTCATCGTACTTTATAGAGATGGAGTTTAACCATCAGGTTCCCCCCTTATCTTATGAAACTGTTGGTCAAGTTCAGCCAAATTTGACAGATGAGTTGAGATCTCAAGAGACATTAAGCTCTTGGAGTAATCTGAGTAAGGAAGACGAGATCCAAATTGCTGCCTTTATTGAGAAAGCAGTTTTAACTTAAGCCCTTAATTTCCAGAGACACCAGACCTGCTATCCAGTCAGTATATGTGTGTATGTGCTAGCCAGCGAGCAAAAGCAGCTTTGCAAACAGCTGCAGAACCTGCAGGTGGTTCCCTGCTCTGTCACAAAAGAAAGGATATGGAAGGCCTCTTGAAGGCGTTGGGTACAGGCAAATATAGCTTAGGGAATAAAGACACAGATTTACATGAAATATGGTCTAATTATTTCTGGTATTTGCACAAGTTTTGTACACTTAAATCTATTTTTGTTACGACTTCTAGGAAAAAAAAGTTAAAATCATAAACATGAAAAATTCATGAAATGAAAGAAAGGTAGAGCCTCGTCAGGTTTCCAGTTCCATATACTATCTCGTATTTCAAAATCAACAATCATTGTACTCAACTTCAGGATGATAAAGAAGGCAAGGTAATTTGAACACTAGTAAATTGGAATAGCTAATTAGTAAGGGAGAAGTAGAAGCTATTTAACCTGAGCTGAAACACAAAAGCGAGTGGAGAGACATTCTCCACTGGTAGAGAAAGACACTCACTTCACTGGAGATCTAAAAAAGGAATTGGATGAAACACTACTTTCTTTCAACTGAAACCAAAACCCAGCCACTACAGATCATAGAAACTGGGGTAGGATTCCAAAGGAAAGAAATACCAATTTGTATATTAAAGTGTAACGGATCTCTTATTTCTAATCACAGATGGCATAAGCTTTACTTCATTTGACAGAGATCCTGAAATATCAATATGAGTGAAGAAAGTAGCGGGCAGGTTAATTTGTTTTTAGAAATGTCTGATAATTTAGACTACATGACATATTTCTGACTAATTATTTATTATAAATTATAATAGAATAAATTAAAATACAAACTACTCTACAATTCAAAGTTACTGCATGAAAATTACCGCACCAAAACCCAAGCTTTTTACAATTTGTCTTCTCTGTAAAAATATCTTTCTCTTGGCTCTCAGCACAGTGCCTTCAGTACCAATGCCTTTTCCTCCCCACAAATAACTGTACTGTCATTTAGACTGTAACTGTGACATTACTCTTTTTGCAAATGAGAAATGCTGATCTGCCAGGAGCAATCCATGGCTCTCAGATATTTTTCCGGAGGCAAAACAATCATGTCCAATAACACTTTATTGGCACTAAGCCCAGAAAGTGAGACACAGGGTTTGGTGACAGTATCATTTGTCTCACGATCACATTGCGGCAATGAACTGGATAATCAGGAATAAGGCAAGGAATTTCCACTGTGAAGAATGTTTATCTTGTATAAAGAATAAGGATATCTATAGGACAGTATGGTTTCAGTACAACCGCATCCTCCTTGTGCTCCAGTTTCTACCAGCATTCCTCTTTAACAGTCACTGTGGTAGAAACAGTCATTGAACCTAACAGCTCAACTAAATCGATTCACAGAGCTATCTACAGCCTCAAGGGGCACTAATTCTTTCAGTGATATATTCTGTGAAACTAATCATGTAACCTGAAGGGACAACCGAGTGGAAATGATGGAGAGGAACTGCAGATGGAAAGTACTGAAATATTAACAAGTTCCAGGTAAGAATAACTACTACTGAAATGAAGAACAGATTTTCTCAAATGCTCAGAACCACCCCCCAAACAGAGCTAAGCCACTGCTGAGTTCCATTTAGGATCTCATCAGAAATTAATACAGAAAATATTACTCAAACTTCTCATTACGTATTTAGCACGGCTACTGCAGTTGCTGGAAAAGATGAAGGTGTTTGCTTTGTTTCTTTTATTAATAAATATCAAGTCAAGTTCTTGCAGTAGCACTTTTTGTATGTCATCTTTCTCTCCCAACATACGCTGTTTTAATTTCTGCTAACAAATCTCTTCCTTGTCTCAGAGACTACCATTTGCAGTTGATCAGGGCAAGCAGAAGTAAGGGAAGCTATATATTTCTACTTTCAGCAACTGTGTTTTCCAGCTAATCTTGCTTAATGCTTGGACAGCTTTTGTAGGTATTTTTAAAATGACAATGATGCTGCACCAACCTTTTTGCTTCTTGAATAAAAATAACCCACCAGTATAGATTCTTGTTCTCACTCAGCTCAGAGAATACTACAACACAGCAGAAGACCTGATCTTTGAGATAGCAGCCTGTCAGATAAATACAATTACTGTTCTTAAACACATACAAATAATGCTAATTATTTGTGTGTTCCACTTCCCTCTTTTGTAATGGTGTTTTTTTTGAGGATAGTTTAGAAATAAAAAGTTAATAAAATTTTCTATTCACCCTTTCCTGAATTGGTATTGTAATGATGAAGTGACTCAATTTAAAAAGGATCAATTTATGGACATTTTATTTAGAAAAAAAAAAAAGTAACAGAACTGTCAAATTAAAAGTTGACATACAACTAATTCTTCGATCTGTACTTACTGACAAAACCAGGACCAAAATTGGGAGGATTCGGTCTAGAAATCTGAGGTGTCAAACTTCCATCCTAGAAATTTCAGAAAAACATATAAATGGGAAAATTAAATCATGATCCAATTTAAGAAAGTTATCATTACTAAACATTTGTGTTGTAAACTCCGTATCAAGTTGTACTACCTGTGTAATGGCCTGCTGCATGTGATTCTGGCCTTCGCTGGTCTGAGCCCCTGGCACCGGCTGACCCATAAAGGGAAACCTATTGATACATAAACACAAAATGTAATTGGAACTTTTAGAACTGCTGGGTGTTTTGGAGGAGAAGGCAACATTCTGTATTACACTGAACTTCAACAAAGCATGTATATTTTCTAGACATTTGCTCTAGCTTCCTTACCAAATGTTTTAAAAACCAGTAGAATATTTTTTCTCATTTGCCCCTACAACACACTTTGCTCGTGGCTTATACTACTGCATTTTTACACTTTTATGACAGGCCAATAAAACATGGCATACTGTGCTAAAAATAGTGAAGGTGCCCTGAAAAAAAAATGCATTAGTATTTTAAATATTCTAATACAAAGAAAAAATGAAGAGAATAATGTATTTAGATATTATAGAATCATAGAATCTTTAAGGCTGGAAAAGACCTCCAAGGTCATCTTGTCCAACCATTACCCTATTCCCATATTACCCACCAAACCGTGTCCCTAATTATCTGCTCTTTCTGAGCAGAAATGTCTCCTAATTTCCAACCTGAACCTCCCTTGGCACAACTCGAGGCCATTCCCTCTGGTCCTATCACCTGTGAGAAGAGGCCGACCCCCAGCTCCCCACACCTTCCTTCCAGGTAGTTGTAGAGAGCAATGAGGTCTCCCCTGAGCCTCCTCTTCTCCAGACTAAACAACCCCACTGCCCTCAGCCGCTCCTCACAGGCCTTGTGCTCCAGGCCCTTCATCAGCTTCGTAGCCCTTCTCTGGGCCTCAATATCCTCCTTGTAGTAAGAGGTCCAAAACCAAACACAGCACTCGAGGTGTGGCCTCACCAGAGCAGAGTACAGGGGGACGATCACTTCCCTGGCCCTGCTGGCTATGCTATTCCCAATACAAGCCTTCTTGGCCAACTGGGCACACTGCTTGCTCATGTTCAGGCGAGCAATGACCAACACCCCCAGATCCTTTTCCTCTGCACAGCTTTCCAGCCACTCTGCCCCAAACCTGTAGCACTGCATGGGATTGTTGTGGCCAAAGTGCAGGACCCAACACTTAGCCATGTTGAACCTCATCCCACTGGCCTCTGCCCATCGACCCGTCCTGTCCAGGTCCCTCTACAGGGCCTCCCTACCCTCCAGTAGATCAACACTTGCCCCAACTTGGTGCCATCTGCAAACTTACTGAGGGTGCACTCAGTTCCCTCATCCAAGTCAACAATAAAGATGTTAAAGAGGATGGGCCCCAACACTGATTCCTGGGTAACACCACTTGTGACCAGTCGCCAGGTGGATTTAGCAGCCCTAAAGAAAGGTGTTGAGCATTGCTTACCTGTTCATAACCATTGGTGGCATCCCCATGTTACTCTGTGCCATGACTTTATTGATCCCCTTCAGAGCTACCATTTTTGCTTTCATTATAGGATCTGTAATTGCATCGAAGTCTACGAAAGAAAGACAGTAAAACTGAATTACAAAGCTGAACGTTACAAGTTATTAATTGGAACTGACTTGTTTAGATCTAGTTCATACATAAATCATCAGCACAATAACATAACTATATTACTATTTCAAATTACTTGTCTTCTCCACTTTGAAATTCATGGTAAATATGTTGCTTCATATATTCCCTGAGGAAAGTTAATCCAGCCACAACTGCTCTGGTTTTCAGCCATGACACACAAAGTACAGCAGATCAGGTTGAGAAGGACTCTAGACTGAATTTGAGACAGCAGATTAATAAATTCTATTTATAGTTCTAAGAATCAAGAAGTTGGCTTGTTTCTGAGTTCAGCTGGCAAAACTGACCCATCACCACAAACATACTACGAAGAACTGTTTGGTCGCTCTGTAATTACTGGTAGTACACACGCCACATACGGTATCTACGAAGACCATAAGCATGGTGAACTCTTTCCTGCCATCTCTCCTGTTTGTTGCTCCACAGAGCAGGACAACCAGGAATGACTGATGGTCCTCATGAGTGAGTACAGAATGTCTGAGGCTAGAAGAGACCTCTGGTAGTCATCTTAGCCATCTAGGGTGGCCAGGCTACATTCAACGATTCCTTTCCTTGAGCCACCGTGAACATTGCCAAAAACGTAGAACAACCATTAACAGAAAATCGGTTTTGAATATCAAAAGGTCAGTTATTGCCCTCGATCATGTAATTTTGTTTACAAAGAGTGCATTTACGCCAGATTACATATGAAGTGACAGAGCTCATGCTTGACAAATCAACAGTAGTACAGTGTTAATCCTGATCCTGGTAAAGTCAATCTGAGCCTTGCCAGTGTTCAGCATTTCACTTACACACTCAATTAGCAGACTTCCATTATACCTCCTGCTCAGGTTGATTTTTTGTTATGCCATCTTCACATTCCAAACATCTACCTGCTTCTGTTAGTGCTACAGATTATCTACTGATTTTTAAATAACTAACCAAAATACACATATAAATAGATCACCCACATACCAATATTGGGGAAAAATGGCTCCGAGCGTTGGCGAATCATGGCTTGCATCTGCCGCTGCTGCTGCTGCTCCTGCCTTTCCTGATCCAAAAGATCCTGCAGAAGAAGTGGCTGCTCCTCCAGCAGCAGTGGTCTCTCTCGGTTTTGTTGTTGAGCTAATGGTTGAGGAAGCATTATCTGCTGAGGACCAGATATGCCACTAGGACCAGGACGGTTTGCTACAGCCACAGTTTGACTAGACGTCTGTCCTGTCCCAAAGTTATGATTTGCTGACTGACCCTGAATAAACCCAGGGTTTGGTGACCCTTGAGAAAAATTATGGTTTATTCGTGGCACCATGGCCAAATTGGAATTTAAAGTGTTTTCCAGGATCTGTCCACCAGGTGTCATTAGTGTTTGTGGAATACCTGATGCTTGGTTCAGTTGTGTTGCTGGCAAAGATTGAGAGGGAGACCCTAGTGTCCTTGCTTCAGCGTTATCTGAGCTTTCATTAGCTAGCAAACTCGAGAGGACTGGTGTGGACCCAGAAATACTGCAGGAACTTACTGCTCCTTGAACAGGCAATGGAGCAGATCCCTGAGCATCTGGACTAGGCACAGTTGTTTCTTGACTGGGAACAGCAGTAGCTTTGTCAGGGAAGTCTGGGTTAGCAGGCTGCGCAGGAGCCTTTTCTCCATCTTTCAACTCTGTTTCGGCAGCCTGTTGAGTACTTGTTGATTCAGCATTTCCATCGCTTTTTTCATTTTCATTCTTCTTTTCCTCATGAGTCTTTGGGGAAAGCACTTCTGTTTTAATTTCATTTTCTGTAGTAGATTTCTTCTGTGGCGACAGGGTCTCAGGATGGGCTTCAGTTTTATCCCCTTGCTCCTTCTGTTTTGGTTCTTCTGCCTTGCCCTGGATATCTAGTTTGTCATCAATGGGGACACTAAGATCTAGTTCTTCATTAAACATTCCTTTCTTATCCCCCACGTCAAGGTCGGGGTCTGTGTATGCAATTATATCAAATTCCCCAGATCTTAGAAGGTCATCAAGGTGAGGATCATTGGTTTCCAAGTTATCTAAAGTGTCTAGTTCATCCCCTTTTCCATCCTCTGTGTCTAGATTCAAATTTTCCAGATCCTCATCATCCAAATCTTTGACTTCAACCCCATCAAGGTCTTTCACATCCAAATCTTTTACAGCAGGATCATCAGGATCAAGCTTTTCTTCTAGACCATCACTTGGCTGGGTAGGAATCTGTAAATTTGCCGATTCATCACTTGGTGCAGGTGTAGGCAAAGATGGTCCTGGGAAAGCATCGGCCACTGGTGGATGGCTTAGAGAACGTATTACAAGTGCAGGTGGGTTTTCAGGATTGATTTGATCCTGCTGGGGCTGCGACATATGCTCCAAACCTGTAGACATCTGCAACTGGTTAGGTATACCTTGAGAATTATGTCTCAGTGGTTCTGCCGGTCTTGGGCCCGGAAATTCCTGCCTGGGTATAAACCCTGCATGTCGCTGATGTTGCGCTGATGGATCCATAACATTTGTTGCAGAAGGAGTAAAAGGCAGCCTTGGCCTCCCATCAGGAGCTCTGTGACGTAGTTCAATAAATGCCTGACCCAATATATTGTGCTGCTGAACTTGAATTCCCTGCGGAGGAAAATGCTGCGAGATCCCAGATGTATTATTTATTTGCGGATTGTTCACTGGCCGAGACATATCTATAGACAGAGATCTTCTCAGCTGTGGTGGGACTCCAGGGCGTTGCATCGGCTGCTGAGGGCTGAGGAAACGTTCTTGACCTGATGGTGGACCATGGCCACCTCCTGGAAACCCAAATCTAAAATAAAGTATGAAAGACTAAATAATATTTTTTCTCAGGACTGCCTAGCCTGTCATACTTGACTAAATAACTATTCACCAAACTGCTTTACATGATACATTCATTAAGATATTTAAATAAATATTGTGACTGATTATGCTTATATTCAAATGAGTTTTATAACTACAATAAAATAATTGCTTTAATTATGTTTAATAAACAACCTGTTTTCAATTCCAATAATAATGAATAGAAAGCTCTGTGACAGCAAGATCTAAGCAAACAAACTGCATTTTAATTCAACTTAGTACACTTAAAAATTAATGCACGGATTTACTGAAATAAATTCAAAATACTGAAAATAGTAATTCCTGAGACTACAATATATGTCAATACTGGTATTCATTGTAAAATGGCAGAGACAGAAGTCAACATTAGATTACATATTCATTATAAAGGAAAACAAAAATATTACACTGATCCATTTCTAAAGCAGCAAAAGCTAAAGTTATACTTTTTTTTTTTAATAAATGCCTCAAAACAATGGGCAACAGTATCTTGCAGTTTACCAGAATTTCCAGTTTCTCCTTTTTATTTCTGATAAATTCCCAATAAAATACAGTTTAGAAGAGTGTTAATCAGCGAAAAGTACATTCTAATGTTACAGATACTTACAAGAAAAGGTACTGTACATACAACTTCAGGTAATATTACCAGCTACTATAGATAATGTATGATTTTTTCACCCTCCAAAAAACCCAAACTTTGTATATAATGATTTCTGCAGATTTAGAACTACTGCTGTAATATCTGGGTTTTAAGAGACCAAACTGCTTACCTAAGACCATGTGGTCTCATCCCCATGGCATTCATATCTCCTGGAAACTGGGGTCTATTGAATTGCCCGTCACCAGGAAATGGTCCGCGTTGATCTTTTGGGTATACTGGGAACCTTGGCCCGCCTGGAGGGACAACAGAGGACCTAATATTCCCAGGATACGGAGGAGGAGGACGGTTAAAAATTGGATTTAAGTTGTCTTGCTGCCAATGCTGAAGAGGAGTTGCATGGGGAGTAGCTGCTTGCTCCTGTAAGGCTTTTTCCTGACGAACTGCATTCTTCTTCTGCTGCTGTTGTTGTAGAATAATTTCACGTAATTTCTGGCGCTGTTTAAAAAAAAATTCATTGCGCTTGACATTGCAATTGACATATTTTGAAGTGTTATACTTCACTAGGTTAAGCCTTTCGGAGGAAAGAAGTTCTTCAATCACTACAGAAAAACATTACATTACCATAATCACCTCAGAAGTTAGAAGAGGGATCAGATTGTACAAGAACGCTGGTAAAACAGAATTTTTATCTCCAGACCTCTTGTTAGAGCATATAGTGCAAACCCATTTCACCAGTTAACACAGAAGCAATGCTCATTTCCTTTTTCTATTCCAGCAATGCAGACCCTTTCAAGGGTCCCAAGGAAGAAAGGTGACTGGAGGGAGGTCCACTGAAGAAAATTCAGCAAGATATTTACACCACAGTTGCAGAATTTACTTTGACTCTGTGTGAGCAATGCTACCAATTTTTCTGCTAAATCCAATTCCCACTGCTCCTTCCAAACAAAACACCAGGCAGCCTTCCACAAGTTGAAGGCAATTTTATGTATGGCTCAACAAGAGCTGTTTGTCAAACATTCACTGACCAAAGCCTGGAGTGAATGTGCCTGCAGAGGAGCAGTGACCAGTGGCAGAATTCACCCCACCACGTTAGCTGCCTGAGAAATTGGATGTCTAGGCTAAGACTCTTGCCTATGCTCCCTTTTTTAGTCAATTAACAAGTCACTGACAATCAGTTCTACATCTCATCTATTGCAGGATACAATTAGTTGTCCTTTTGAGGTTTTTCTTTCTCACCTCGTATATGACAGAACTATTGTAGACCAGTCATCTACCTCTTCAACAGCTTCAATGATAACCTTTACTTCATTTTTGGATCTTGCCCCAAATTCCTTAAAAATTACTGATGTTTTTATATTCTATACGTTCTGGCCCTATCTAGGAGAGCTAAATTAATACACCAAGTGAACAGATGTAATTCTACATTACACAGCTATGTTTAATGCCAAGAAACTTCAAATATTTACCAAAAATGGGGGAAATTCTCCTATTTATGAAATTTCAATAGCATCAATATTAAACATTATTCTCACCTGTCTTAATTTTTCAGTATCTGCTTGAGGAGACATATTCATGGTATTCTGTGTATCTGTTACTCCTGTAGTGGGTGCTGGGCCAGGAACTTGTGAAACTTTGGGAAACTGCTGCCCTTGAGAACTCATTGGAGAATTTGCAGATGCACTGAAGTTGCCCTCAGATCCAGGCCGTGACTGTTCAGCAGCATCGTGGGCTAGCTGACCAGTTCCAAAAGATTCTGGCTGAGGTCTTGGAGTCATGGGTGGTTGATCATAGGGGTCACGTGCTGGAGCAGCAGGACCATGGCTAAATGAATCCGTTATTGCAGGTCCTGCTGGTCTGGGAGTTTGAGAACATGGGTCTGGCGGCCTGACAAAAGTGCCCTGCAACCTGTTCTGTGATGTCTGCAGGAAAGGATCTCTGTTTGGTATTAATCCTGGTCTTGTCATTGCAGGTCTGTTAAAACTCTCTGGTATTCCTGGCCTTGGAGTTCCTGGTTGCTGAGAGTAAGGATCATTCAGAACTGGCCTTGGCGTTCCAGGAGGTTGAGCGTATGGATCAGAATGTCTCTGATTTGCTGGGGACTGAGCAAATAAATCTGCTGGCTGTGCAGGTCTTGGTGTTGGTGGTTGCTGCATATACGGATCGACTGTGGTGGGCCGAGGAGTTCCTGGAGGTTGGGCATAAGGATCGGCAACTGGCCGGGGAGTACCTGGAGGTTGGGAGTAAGGGTCCTGAGAAGCTGGCCTTGAAATGGGTCCGGATTGAGGGAAAGAATCACTCTGCTGGCGCACTATCCGGGGCGGATGGGTGAAAGACTCCTTTATTGCAGGATGGGGAGTAAGGGGAGGCTGGCTGTACGGATCGTTAGGCTGATTATGGGAGAAGTTATCCACTGGCCTCGGTGTCAAAGCGGGCCGCTCATACGGATCAACAGGAACGCGCCTCGGTGTGGTTGGCATCGAGGTGTAAGGATCCTGTGGAGACTGAGGTGGGCGCATGGGAGTTTTAAAGGGTCCAGGGCTACCATCAACAGGAGTAGGAGTAGGAGTCAACGGGGGCCGTGCATACGCATCAGCAGAAGTTATTCTCTGTCTCTGAAAGGTATCGGTTCTGGGAGCTGGCTTAGTGAAGGGATCACCGCTTCCAGCTGTCAGAGGAACTTTCCCTGACTGCTCCATAACTATGGGTGACCTCGGGACCCCCAGGGGTTTGGAGAACTGATCTGGTGGCATGACAGGCCTGGGCGTGTCTGGTGGCTTTGCATAGGGATCGTTGCTGCTTGGAGATGAAGAACATGAATCCCTGACTGGCGAAGGCCTGCTTCCTGATGGTTCCGTGACCTGGATGGGCCTGGACATGGCTGACTGTGGTGCACAGGTGTCTAACGGTGTGATGCTACCCCTTCTAACAATGTTTTGATTAATAGGCGCCGGTCTAGGTGTTCCCACCATCTTAGCATACGGATCCATTGGAGAAGGAGGCCTTGTGCTTGCGGAACCTGGAGAAAACATCTGCTGGGAGGATGTCTGGGGAGCCTGAGACTGAGACAGGGAATCGTGTTGGATTCGGGTTGGAGTAGGGGGTGGGGCCTGTGGTTTTAGGAACACGTCATCGGAGGATGCTGAAGTAGGTGTAGCAGGTAGCTGCTGCTTTGCAAATAGATCCTTGTGGAATGTTTGCTGCGCAGGGGACATACTGCCATTGCCAGTCTGCGGTGTCAAGGGGCTCTGGATCCCACTGCTAGGCGTGTCTGAGCCAGACTGGCTCAGATGCTGTTGTGAACCAAACTGCTGCTGCTGCTGTTGCTGCTGCTGTTGCTGCTGTTCATTTTTCACTTGTTCAAGCTTCTGCGTGGCTTCTATTTTGGCTTGCTGCTTACTTTTTTGACGCATTTGCTGTTTTAAAGTTATAAGGGAAGAGGTTACACTTTTACATACATGATAAAATCTTCGATGACTGAAAATGAATCAGTAATATTAAAACTTTCAAGCACGCTACGTATCAGCTATGAATAGTTGTAAATTGTAAATGCAATGGGAGCATAGAGCACAGCTATCTGTAAAGTTCAATTACCCTGACATGCACCCTTGATTACCTGGGAAGAAATTTTCCCAGTTTGCCTGAAGAGCAGCAGAGCTTTCCAACCCCGTACTTTGAAGACCAGTACTGACAGACGCAGCACTGATGGAGTAAGCTGCTGCATACTGCAAGGATGAACTTACTGCAATATAGGGTGTATAAAACCAATCTATTACACCAGCTAACCATACAGTGAAAGAATAACCTACTTCCACAATAGGTAGAATTTAAGGGTAGAAGTTTTAAAACAAAATTTTCTAACATTTACTAGCAGCTTTTCTTCTGATAGCATCTATTTCCTTCCAGAATGCCTGAATTTATACTCTTCTACAAAAAAAGATTAAAATTGATTTATTCTAACAAAGGATTCCAACAATGCAATAAAAAACAGGAACAAAAATAAAACAGCCTAAAAGCAACACACCTGTCTGAATTTCCATTCTTGTTCATGCTCCGATTCCCTCTGTTTTAATGGATCTTTAAAGAGGTCAGAGTCGATACGTGAGCTAGGATCAATGCTATCCTGTTGCTGTTGCCTTTTCATGGAGTCATTTGACATCTGTACTTTATTGATGCGCAAAGCAGCTCTATTATCTCTGGCTTTTTGCTGGGAAAAGATTAAAAAAAACACGTATGTAGTTAGCCTCGCTTTCTTTTGCTAAGAGTGAACACTGCATCTGTTATTCCTACAAAATTTACAACCAAATTATTGGTATGACTTATTTTTATCAAAAACATGCTTGTAAAAACTACATTACAAACTTTACTAAGAACTTGAAACTGAAAATACTTCACCCCTGTAGAAATCCTGTGTTTAAACTAACACAAACAGAGAGAACTAAGGAGTTATTAGCAGCAGAAGTTTTGTATACATGAGTCCCTGTTCAGGTACTGCGCTGAGCCAGGAAAGCATGAATCCGACCAGGTTACCTTTCAAATTGTGTATTGTTGTGGTCTAAAACCTGAAGACATGAGCACAGCAGATAATGCTTGGATCAATAAAGGTCAATACTGCGAAGAACTTCAATGACAAGAAAAATACAGTCTACTCCATTAAATAGCCTCTATAGATCGCAGTCCGTGTTAAGTTAGCAGTACAAACATAGGATATGGGTTTATAGATCAGGAAAAATTGGATGTAAGAACAGCAATTCCTCTTCAATGAGGCATTTTACAGCTATACTGACACTTTAAAACATCTAATGAAAGTTTCAGAGTCTGTTTTACTACCAGTCTAGGATGCGATTCCTTTTCTGAATCAAATCCTCCTCACATCTTCTTTTTAACAATTTTATTTGCGGTTTTCAAGAGGGGGCTGCTTGGCAGAAAAGGCTTAAATCCTCCCCTCCGACAAAGAAACAGTAACACAGATAGAAGCACCAGTGTCACAGCAGCAGAAATCAGTGTCACTTCCTCTCTTAAGTGACAGGATTGTGCATAGTAGTAAGGAAAGTAAAATGCCTACAGCAAAAATGTAGTAACAATCTTCTGAATTTGATTTCTAAGGTAGCCTTTATTCATCCCCCCTGAGTGAAAGATCCTCAGGACAGGCAACACAGCAGCTCCTTGTGTGCACAATGCTGAGTACACTAGAAACGGCTGTAGTTTAAGTACATGGACTGTAACATCTGTGAGGAAATAACTGCTTCTTACTATGCAAATACATGTACATGCATGAGCAATTACATGTGACCTTCCTACCGAAACACGAAGGAAATATGCATCTATGTCTTGGATATCTGTTGCAGGAAGAATAGGACTACATTTATTAAGAGCAACGAAAAAGGAAAATTCAGTAATAGAATTAATTGTAAAGTGATAAATGCCTGGATAAAAATCCACCCATTTAAATGAATAGTTTCTTGTAAATGCTGTATGGAGGGAATCACCAAGATTTAATATAGCATGGATGAGATGACAAAGAGGTCCAAAGGTGCTGAAGTTACAGGCCTGAATGAAAAGCAGAATAATAATGATATCTCAGTGATACAGAGCAGACAACAGAGAAGGGCTGTTTCAAGTGGACAGGATTTTTAGAAAGACCAAGATCTTAATGGCTTGGGTGTCTACTTCCCACACTCAATCTAGAATAATAGGTGGGGAGAATGAAGGAGACTAAAAGCATAACCTTGTAAAATCCTCAGAAATCTACATAGTGAGAATGAGAACAATCGTCCAATTACTGTTGTGATGAAAGAAAGAAAAGGTAAGAACTAGAAGAGAATGGAGACATAAAGAGCATTGCAAAAAGGTATGTTTGCCAACGATAGCTGGGCAGGCTGAGAAGAATGAAATAAAGGTTCTGAGGTTTGGATACCACAAGGCTTTAACAAGAGGTTACAGCAGAGCATGAGGGTCGCCAGTTGAATGGCATCAGGAATCAGAGACCACATATTCCAGACAGTTACTACAAACATGTCTGTTTGCTTGACTCAGATGTGAAGAAGGTGAAGGCTTTTGGAGAGAAGAATGGAGTCCCTCATGCTCCCTATAGCATGGAGGATATTAAGAGTCTGCACTGCAGAAAGAGAAGAGAATGTAGTAATAGGGAACAGTAAGGCAAACAACAGAAGAATAAAAGAAAATGAGGAAAGTAGAGATGTGAAACACTGATGCCTCTGGAATGGTTAGTTCAGCAGGTGAAAGACTTCGGCAACTCTAACGGGGCTTAAAAGAAAACACTAGTGAGAGGGGAAGATGAAAGAGAAGAAGGTCACATCATGATCTGTTATCATCCTTATGAAGAAACCGGTGAGATTCTGTGCAGAAAGAGACAAGAGCAAGTAAGACTTGAGGCATGAATCAAATGTAGCAAGGAAGTAGTGAGAACCGCAAATGTTCTCATCTCAGTTGATGTTTTTAGATTGTACAATACTAATATGGTTTATTTCAAGGATGAAAAGCAGAAAAAACAGGTAAAAGTATTCAGAGATAGAAATTGAATTACAAAGACATTCTTAGCATAAGTGATCTTTCATTAACCCTACTTATTTAAGAAAATAAAAATGAAAGTATTATAGATGAAATACTACATTTTTGCTAAACGTATGCAAATGCAGGTGGTAGTTGTTCTTACCACATATGGAGCCCTCTCTTGCGAGCTTGCCTTCCTCCACAGTTTAGCAATCTGCTTCACTCTTGTAGCCCAGTCTGCACCAAAAAATGTGTTAATACACAAGGCATTAGTAAGTCTGGTTTGTATCATTTCAAATAAAGATGCATACATTTCTACACAATTTACCTTATTTGGTAAATTGCTCACCTGGGAATTCTTCCTTTAGGTTAGGGAAGTTGATATTTGTATAGAGAACAGGTGCTACTGTTGCCATTTCACCCAATGCTTCCTCTTTTTCCCACTTAAGAGTGCTTCTTTGAGCATTGGACATCGTATCACCTTCACCTTCCAAAGGTGGAGCAGATGGTGCCCACGAGCTGTTTGGATCGCTTACCATTGGATTGAATGCTGGATTCTTATCCCTGGCAAGGCAGAAAAAGGGTTTGTTTTGTAAACAGATTCATCTCAATATACAGAAACAATTAGCAAAGTACTTTTTCTGTTTGCTATTTCAGTCGTCAGCAAGCTGCAAGAACACAGACCTTTTGTAGTGGCTGTCTAGAACTAAGCAGTTCTATGCTAACTGTATCACAGTAATTAACAGAATCTCCAACATCCAAGTGATAAGCAGTGGATATTTTTGACTTCCCATCTTCACTTACCTGGTATCAGTATATGGTTGCTGTGTTATGGGAGAGAAGGTGCTCAATCCACCTCCAGGAGTCAAAGCTGTATGAGGGAGATGAGGGTTAGGGCCAATCAGACCATTCATAAGTGGTACTCTTGGAAATGCACTCTCTCCTAGAAAAAGAAGTTACATTACTGTTTTAAAGGGTGACTACTTAAGGTAGAGGTGGAAATTTCTGGTGAAGACATGCCTCACCAAATGAAATACTAATTGCTTTAAAATTTTATACTGCTGACCTTACCTTTTTGGAAAGGTTTTGAATTAAATTTACTTTGCTTTCCTACAAGCTTATGGGGTTCCTTGCTACTGTATCACATCCCTGCACAGATTTTATGTATTTTTTAATGGTTTTCCAAAGCTTTTGCATTACTCCATGTTGTGGTACCACACTTAATATTGAAAGTATATTCCTAAAGGTTAATGGTCTGTAATATGTTATACTGAGTTCCAGTGGAAAAAAAAAAAAGTTCCACAAAAAAAGGAAAATCCACACTGCTGCCAAGCACCAATCATGAAGAAAGTTGCTTTTAGTCCTTGGGGAATTATGATTAACCACCTGAATTAAACATCTCTTCTTCTGAGACAGCAGTGTATCAAAGGAAGCCCTGTTATCTACTAACTCCCTAATGTGTAACCGATGAACTAGACAAAACCTAGTCAAATGAGCATCAGCATTGTAATTGTATGTCCAGCCTAGCACTATTGAGGAGGAAAATTTTATTTATTTGATTAAAATATTAGGCAAATCTGGCAGAGGCAGATTCATTCCAGCAGATGGTCTTTGCAGATGTTCCTACATGGAATTAACACTGACCTTTGAATCCCTGTCACTGAAGTGCAATTATCAATATGTTCTGGATATTTTCCTAATAGCACAAAAGTAACTCAGGAATAGACATATCTGTAGGATAATTCACTGTATCACTTTCTCACACTTGACATGACTGTTTTTTGATTTACACATTACATAAACTACCCAGGGAAGTTTAGTTTGGATGAGAGTAACTTGATTAGAATTTAGGAAAACGTGCTTTATCATAGCTGCTAAACAGCTAGTATATGGTAACTCAAGTCCTGGCAAACAAACACAACAGAGAGTCGAGGCTCTCATTCACACAGTAGGCTTACGTGTCTGCATGAGAAGAGACTGTTAATTTTATTTGAAATTGCTGAAACTTGATACAAGCTTCCCCATTACTGAAGTATTTATCTCACAGAAACATGTGGATCATTACACCATAACTGAACCAAATTACAAACCTAAAACTTCGTAATTGTGGCAATTCCCACAGGGAGAAAGTTAAACAATCTTACAGAGCTCTAATGCTGAAGTTATCAAATATCCAAATAACTGGGAAACTGGCACTGATATCTATATTATCTTTTGCTTTAAATCACCTCATTATTTGCTTTAAACTCTCTCCTTTCCAAGACTTTTTGAAGTATTTCCTTCTTATGGAAATTCAATCAACTAGGAAACCAATCATTTTTTTTCTCTTGTGATTAATTCATGGGTGAAATCAATTTGCATGCTACTTTTTGTAGTACCAGCATAATAAGATTGGGCACTCTTTATATGAGCTCAAGGAAAATCCACTAATGGTGATGTGTGATGAGAAAAGAGTGCATTTAATTATGCTCATACATACTGCTAAAATCTTGCTCTACTAGAAACAACAACAGAAAGTATCAGTTTGCCCCTTGCTTTCAATATAAAAGCAGTAAGGCACTGTATTAATTCATAACAATTTTAATAGTAAGAAAGAAAATAAATGATACATTCCAGAATTTCTTAGCCTCCTCTTTATTATTTGGATAGGAATTCTTAACGTTACGCTGAATTCTTAAAAGAAATGTAAGACTCACTAAATCACTGTCACACAGACTTTTTCATTAGTCTCAAGGAGGTACTCGGAAGTAATGAAAGAGCAAAATCAGAAGAGAACACATGCTTTATCACAGGCAATTTCAAGAATATGAAAGTGTCAGCTAAAATAAAAGCTCCAATATGTCACAAAAATCTGAAATAGCTGTCCCTTTCAGTTAGCAACATTTACCTGCATATTAATTACAGAGTCCCTTCAAAACTTTTTTAGAAAAATATTTCATGAGTTAACAACAGCAGGTTCCAGGAATTAACAAAAGCAGTAATTAAGGCGTGTCCTACTTTCATGTTGGCATTTAACAGACGTACAACTCTCTTGATTAAGCTTCTGTTAGAAGTAACAAACTTTTTTTTAAGCCAAGGACTTACCTTGGCTGTGCAAAGACATAAGTTGTGGTGGAGGTGGAGGCTGCGGCAAAGGTGCTGGCTGTGTGGTTGCTGGACTTAATACCGCCGTGAACAGATCTTCAACATCCTTTCCTCCTAGTTCTGCAAAAACACTGCGCGTAAGTTGGCTGGCATTGTTTACAAACTGTATCTTGTAGAAGACAACACAGATTAAGAACACGTACCTGGGATTTTGTACAATTTGCCAAGAATAGCACCTGGGCAAATTAAAAACAAGACATAATGAGTAATCACCAAAAAATGCAATAAAAATAATTCTGCAACCAAATGCAAACAGTCAATGTTACCTTATGTAGGTAGCAATTTGAGTTTAAAAACAAATAAACAAACAAAAAAAACCCACCAAGTTTTCCATAAGACCAGATCAAGAATGACAAAAAATTACCATCTGTGACCATTTTGTCTAGTTCTGGACTGAGGATTCCATCCAATTGTTCTTCACTCAATGGCCGTGAACTCTGGTTGACATTTGGCTGAGGCAGAGAAGAAGGATCATCAGAGATGGGGCCAATATCCAATCCAGCTGAAGGAGGAAAGAATATTAAATTAGACATAAGCAGTAAAACCTACTAATGTAGAATAAAGGCCATAAAACATATATTTTTTTTTGGTAGAGCTATCAACTAAATGAAGACTGTTAAAATTTGAAAGGAAAGGCAAAATATGACATCCATTAGAAAGAAGTAAACAAACACTCCCACTAATTATCTCCAGTTTACTGTACTGTTTGAGGAATGTTAATTGAATAGAATGCAACTAGAACAAGAGAAAAATTGTGTTGAAATAAGACTACCGAGTTCAGTTACAGCAATTTTTCAAGCATGTAGTCTTCAGTATGCAGTTCCAATATAATTATTTTTCACATTTTAAAAACAGTAACACTAGCAGGCAGTATGTTGCATCCTCCTGTACATTAAGCTTCACCCCAAACATTCTTATGTATTACATTAATTATCTACTGAAGTGCTCTTGAAGTGTACTCAATATCAAACCAGTTATAGACGCTTCCATCTCAAAAACAACTACTGAACATTCCAGGTTATATTAGACAAAGTTTTTTGTTGATACTGAGAAAACGTAACTTTCTACTTAAATTTCACAGCATCCTTTACAAGTCAATAAATCTCTCAAAAGAGAAACATCTTTGAAAATAAAGCTAGACACTTCAGCATTTAGACTATATTTCTATATTAAACACCAAATAAAAATATATTTAAAATAATGAAACATGCCATTCTACTTATTGTCGAAGTGTGTCGAAGTGATGAACGATCGTCCAGTGAAAACAAAAAAGATTGATGCTGTCTACTCTATTCATGCCTTAATATGTTCACATTGTTAAAATGCTTGTAATTTATTAAAGATACAACTACAATAAAAACTACACACTACTACTATAAGTAATATTAACGGCGACAGAAAGAAAATGCATGGTTTTGTAACATGAAACACAAAAACTCACAAAGGTTTTCAAAAACTGGAAGCAAAACTTTATGCAATACTCTACTAAATGTGGAGTGCAGAGTTTATAGGTCATGTTAGACTCAATACAGAAAGAGTGGAAAACAAAAGCATGAATTAGTGTCACAGTAAAGGACTACTAGCTTCTACACATGCAGTTGTTTCAGCTAAAACCACTAGGAAAGATGACTACTTCTAACCATGGATCATCCATTGTTTAGTTTCTTACCAAATGGGGAGGGTGAGTTCTCAACCTGGAAAGTGCATAAATCAAGACCTACAGGACCCAAACCAGATAAAATGGATGATTATAACATGAAAACAAACTAAAAAAAAAAAAAGTAAAGAAAAAGCTGCATGCTGAAAAAGCTACGCAGGTATGACAGACAATAGAAGCTGCTTTTTTTTCTCTCTCTCTAGAGAAGCAAAGCGAAGAGCCAGGTAAAAAAAATGCCGAAGAGGTTGGGTTGTTTTTTTTGTAGAAGACAAAATCACCTCAAACCAAGGTGTTCTTAGGATATGAAAATCCTGTCTGAAATCACCTACAGCACAACCTAGAATACAACAACTACATCTATAGTAAAGAGAAAAAAGAGAACACAAATTCCAGAGAGACCTTATAAACATACATACCTGAATGATCTCCAGACTTCACCAAATCATCAGAAAGTATTCCAAGAATATCATCATCGGTGTTTAAGACCTCAGAAAGATCAGCCAAGGGATCGTCAGTGCTACCTGTAGAAGATGCAAAGTAAAATTAACTAATTGTGGCATTTTTATGTTTAAACATGACTCTGGTGATGTATGATAGCTTGAGCTATAGACTCAAACACAGGTTTACCAGGCTATACTGGCCCTCCTCATGTGCCACGCACTGTAGGTTCCTCTGAAGTGGGAAACAAGTCATCATCCCCTCCCCACTCAGTACTGTAGCCATGTTCACATGTTTAAATTGATCAGTATTTCTGGAGCATAATGAAAGCTATAAATCAGTTGTGCAGAAGAAAGACTGCTTTTTTTTAAAAAAAAGAACCTTTTTTTAAGTTTTAGGAAAAAAAAGATCTAACGAGAACTCAACATCTAAGACACAAAGGCCCATGAATGTAAGAATCAACAAATGTGTTTGGTAAAGGAGACAGCTCACAGCAAGTGAATGGGAAATATTACAAAAAAAAAATACAGAAAAAAATAAAATTATCAGTATTCTTCTCTTACCACCACTATCTTTCTTAACACTAGAGAGCAACAGTCACTACACCCTGATATGGAAAGAAAACTTATCAGTAAGAAGGAGTAGTAAGTAAATGGAAACTGGAGTTGCTAGTTTTATGATCAGAAGTCCTAGAGAAATGAGAACAACCAGAGGTAGAAATGTCACATTTGTTTGCAATCTAGCAAAAACTAGTCTGATCCTAGCAAAAAAATATGGAATATTAAGTAATAATTTTGGATACAATTTTCTTCTTGACATCCCATTCATTAGGGTGAAGCAACTCCAAACAACCCATCTGGTTTTATTAACTAGGTTTTAGGATGATTACAGACATGCATCATTTAAAGAAAATTATTTGACAAACAAAAAGAATTTGAGAAAAGTATTTTTCAAAAAAACTGCAAACTATCATGACCACATGAGAAATCCCTGCAAAAACAAATGTGAAGAAATGGTAAAACACAAAGATGCATATAATTAACATATAATTAACAGAGAAAAGGTATTAATACAAATCATACAACATGCAATAAGGAAAACCAATACGGGCAGGTAAAAGGGGCCAGAAAGTCAAAGGGCAAACGTATTTCATACATATACGTGTATCTTTCCCACTGCTCCTACCCAGCTTCCCCAGAAAAGTATTTCTAGCTTAATTGTGAGGCCTGGTGCCAAGGATTTAATGATATCACGAGGCTATTTTCCGATCTGCTAAACTTTACAGTGATTTAAAAGTTCCTTTTGTTCTTCAGAGACGACTCTTTTCCCTCCAACCATTAGTAAAAGTCAAAATGAAAATTCACTTTGCTACTTTTATTCTTCATTTTTATCCTCTGTAAGACCAAGGAAATGATACCATCTTAATTAAATATCTTATGTTTGCCACTCAGGTCAATCGATGTGTCAGCATACAATGCTCTAATAACAGATACAAGTGACACAGCTCCTACCAGTATTAGGAGGAGTACTTATAAGTGTCTCCAAACCAAAAACCACTTAGTTTAATTATTTTAGTTGTGGACTTGGTAAAAAGGACTATGAAATTTAAGGTTTTAAACACAAGCTAGTTGTTTGTTTGTTTTGATACACATTTTCTTCCTGGCAATTTGGTCACACACAATCATGAAAGTCAGTAACTTGCACCAGGCACCATGCTGTGGTGTTAAGGTCTTCACTTGGCTAACAGGCAAAGAACAGACTTGAGCTGTCTTCCAACTTTTCCGAGCTCCTGCCTGAAGGTAGGCAAGTAGCAGGGAGAAAAAAGCCCTTCTGAGGGAAGTACCAAGACCGTATCAGCATCCTTCAATACGCTATGGTGCTTTCCTCCACAGCCTTTATTAATGTGCTTGGGAAGAGTCCCTAAGAATTCGACTTCTAAAACGAACCCAAATGCATTGAATACGTAGCAAGAAAAGACTCAGGTGCAGAGATGTAAAACCAATGCGTTGACCGCCCATAGTTACCAACTGGTTGTGAATAAATTCAGGCTTCAAGTTGCAAGGCTTCTAACTGCTAAGGCAATGAGACTGTAATGGCCTTCTGATGAGACTGGTGGGTTGGAAAAAAGCCAACTGCTATCAAGATCGAGCTGGTTAAGTCTATAAAAAGACTGGGTGTCGGCTGTAGCAGGAGGCTATGCTCTATGATCCACAAGCCTTATCTCATATAAGACATCTAAAGTAAAGTGATGGTGTTTTTTGTTTTTTTGTTTTTTTTTTCAGTTTTAATTCAATGGATGCTAAATATTATCTTGGAAATAACTAAATCCCTTTTATTCAGCTGCTCCAGATCAGAATCAATAGCCGGTTGACATCTGTGCCAAACAAATAGCTCAATACTGCTCATTAGTTTGACTCTTCAGAATAGAGATGAAAACTAAGACAAAGCAAGAAAGAAAATAACTTGCTTATAATGCCGGATCTCTAACAGAGCAGGATTCTACTGCTACCTCGTGATCCTGATTCCTCTGATACATTTAGTTTAATTTATTTATTACAAGAGTAAAAACGCTTCTCCCAGGGCTGCAGCCACCCTAACGTGTTTAATCACAGACTAATGTATCTAGATTTAAGATATCCCAGTAGCGATGGAATTAGCTGTGCAGGGACACAGATGACTCCTCTCTTTTTGTTTAGGAATAATTTCCTTAGCATTCACTGGAGACCCTATTTAAATAGATGACTTTTTCAGCATTCCCAGGAAAAAATATACTGAATATAACCTATTTTAAACACAAAGAAAGTTCGTATTTCCAGAACTTTGCCAAGATGCCTTTTTTTTAGATTTTGATGAGGCACACTCAGGTCAAGGCTCTCAGGAGTGACACAGAGTCCCCACATCACTCAGGATATATCAGATCACAACCCCAGATCACAGAGGATGCACAGATCATGGTCAACACCTTCATCATTACCAACAAGCAGCCAGGAGACTCTGAGACCTGGTGCTGTGTTCCCAGTGAGCAAGCCCTTGCACTCTGCTCTAGCAGCTTTCTTTTAAATGATTTTAAGGTTTGACCCCATACACAGTGTGCCACTTGTGTTATAAAACCATGGGAGAGGTGAATCTTACAACCAAAAATACAAATTGTAACCTCTTTCCTAGATCGAAACCAGAACTGGCAGCCTAAAGCTCACTTTAATCACTGTTGCTAGTAACTGAGAGTGAAGAATAGACTCTAAAAACCCTCTTCTGTCTGGCTCTGCCAATCACCATCACTACTGCAATCTTGTCTGGCAAAAGCTTTGGCTACTCTTAACCAAGCTCTAAGAATAAACAGTCACAGCATGTTGCTGCAGTGCATTGTCAATTCGTTAGCAGACTGAACACATCACTGTTAAATTCCTCTACCAGTCCTGTGTGCATGTGGAAAAGCAAAACAGATCAACTAACTTCCTCCTAAGATACTTAAGAGCTCTTTGGAAGAGGAACAAACATATCTAACCCTTATTGCTGGGTTTAATCAATTGAGTTTGCATGAAAAGAACATCTTCCTTGTGGAAAAGACCTACCCAGTTAAGCAAGAATTCTTACAGGAGTTAGCAATCCTGGTTACAACTGGCACTGTAGGAAAATAACACAGTAACGACATGCTCCTACCACTTCCAGGTGCAGGGAAAAAAGCAGGGCTATAGCAAACTGATGGAAATAGCACAGGTGCTCTCAGACGCTGCTCTCATCACCAGCTCCTCTGCAATACTAGCCAGAAGGGAAGATCTGACTGCTGCTAGCTCGATAATTAGCAAATTTAGCAAGGTCTCCATCAATCAGATGGAATCTGGCTCTGTCAGACATGTGGATGCTATTGTGGAAGTAACTGTCTCCCACATGGTCACAGCAAAAGAGTTAAGAAAAATTGCACTGGAACTGATCAATGTTGGCAGATGACTTCAGCCGCTGGCTCTCCAACTACAACAAACAGCTCCGTCTGGACACAATTTTGGCCTGAAATCTTAACGGTAGAGAGACAATTGTTGAGAACATTCCTATGGCCAGAAAACACTGTCCTTTTAGACTCTCACATAAAATGGGAAAGACAGGAGGTTATCCACTGAAGCTGTTGCAAGTAATTCATTTATTTCCTAATAACCACCCCTTTATAATTTATTTCTGCATGAAAAGAAGAGGAAATGATGAAGTTTTACAACTTTGCTTATTCATAAAGAACTTTAAAAAAAAAATCCTTTCCATTTTGGAAAAAGACACTATTATATTAACGTCAAGTTTCAGCAGTTTTAAAACCTTCCTTATACTACCATAATATATAAACTTTAATGATTTTAATCACACAGTTTGAGATGCCAACAAAGACTTCAGAATCTGTGCTTCATGAAAGAAAGCTGGGGTGAGAAAATGTGTGACTATATTTTCTTGTAGTGCTGGAATCAATGGAATATAGAACTCGAAACACTCCATTTCCAGTAGTTTCCCCTTAAGGCGAAGTTAACCTTTGTATTCTCCATTACTCACAATTTCAACTGTATAACAATCAATGTTTAATTATAATGTAGCCTTTTGCTTTTCATTTAGCAGATTTTCAGTGAGTAATGATCACAAATAAGTGATCTTTCTGCAAAAGACTCTCTGGGCATTGGAAACTGTACTAGTGTGTGTCAACATTTTTAGATGGAGAAAGACAGTGAAGATGAGCTGAAACACAAGTCACAAATTAACCAATATAAACAAGATACAGAAACAGTTTTTTAAAAGTTCAGAATAGTAAGACACCTCCAGCTAACAGCATATACAAGACACAAAGGAAAAAAAAAAGCAGAGCAGACAGTAAGGTTTTTGTTTTTAATTGCTCCTTTGTGTGAAGCTGCCCTTTCAGGCAGCATGTATAACCCTCTGGCTACTTGCAAAACTCCCAGTATTATCTCCAGCAAAGTTTTGCAATAGGAAAGCAAAACCAGAAGATTGCCTAGGGGCTACAAACTGTACCTTGAAAGGGCACTCATGTTCAGAAAGGGCATGGTGAACCAAGAGGAGGAGAGGAGATTGGTAACCTAAAATAATCTAAAACATTAAAGAAGATAGAAATTGGATGATACTCATCCAACTAACATTCAGAACACTACTAAAATGCCTTTTAATTGGAGGGTTTTTTGTATTCTCCTATAAGGGATCTGTATGAGCATTCTTAGATGGAATTCATTTTCATGAATTTTACAGACATGGATCTTACAGTCAAAGAGTTTCAGATTTTGTGTAAAGTTCCAACTGCCAAGCCATCCACTGCTCTTGCTGCGACAAGTAAAGCCCTGGAGCTAGATGTCACTGATTATAAATGTAACTCAACCTCACAAGAGCACTTGATGCACAGAATGCTGGAAAATACATCAGTCTGCACTCCGAAAGTGTGGAAGAGCCCCATTTACAACAAAAACAAACTACGGGATTATCACTAACTTTAGCTTTGTATACCTTGAGGTCCCAGTTTTGCCTGAGCTGGAGTGGAGGTTGAGCTACGAAGTGGGTCTGATGAAGGATCCAGGAAATTGGTGGTCAGATTTGTTTTACATGAGAGTGGAAGTGATTCTTCAGGCAAATTATCGAGGCTCATCTTGTTTTGTCTACTGGTATCTAGTAGATCCTTCCCAAAGAAAGCTTCCTGCAAAGAGGACAAAATGATTCAATACAGGAAGAACAGTCTATCTACTGAAAAGATTACACACCCAGGAAACTTAAAATGAAAACCCCAATGATTACTAGAAAAGTAAAATTACAGTCTCAGTCCCATACCTTTCCAGGTATAGCATCTTCTCCAGGCTATGAGGTGTGGATACAGCTGATACATAGGTTACCTGAGGTAGCTACATAACTCCCTTAAATTCACATCTTAAATTATATAGAAAAACTTCTGTCTTCTTATGTATACACAGCATAGACAGTGTACCAATACAGTGCTATTGAAAAAACATATGAATCTCAAAGAAGCTATTCAGTATTTCTTCTTGCACAAAAAATGAGAGCTTAAGGGGAAAACTACTGAACAACTTGATTAAAGCCATGAAAAAGTTGATGAAAAATACTCAAGCTCACTGTGGTCCAAGTTCTAGAATGATTAAATGCTGCACTGCAGTTAGTACAAAATTGTCCTAAGGGAGAATTGCAGTAACAAACTACCTAAAGGTGTTTAAAATACTATTCACAGCCACCACTAACCTAAACCTGACTACTTGAGTAATTTGCCAAGAGCCTATCAAGTTTTACTCATTGCCTAACAACTTTTCCTGTTTTCATGTAGTCTTTAAAACCTCAATTTAGGACATAGCATCTAGAAATAAAGCTACAGACTGATTTTTATTATCAGTTATTCCTATTAATTATTCTGTTCTACATGACTAATATGTGCATTAAGAAAAACAATTTGTTCTTATTAATACAAAGGAAATTTTGCTTAAGTATTTTCTTTCCAATTCACTTCCCCACTTAGGAAATACATATTATTTTTAGACAGATTGCTCTGCCTCTGTCAATTTTGCTTTCAGTCCTGACACAGTTTATGCCATGAAGTTTGGTAAAGATCTACAAAATAAGGTTTTCATGAAAAAGGTGGCTGAGAAGAAGAGCACAACAAATAATGTTCTCAGTGAGAGAAAGATACAAACCAGATGGTTTATAAACCAGGTGAGGGTAGGTAAGCTGGTCAATCAGCATTACCATCTTGGTTATTATCCACACTCCTGAAGACCAAGTGCTACCTCTCTTAGCTCTGCGGACATGACTTTAGTAATGGTCAGTAAAAGAGCAGGGATTATCGTGGTGGGAAGATGCAGCGCATATAAAAAGATGAATCTATGGAAAAACTTCCCCCTATGAAATCCTGTTCTATAATCTTCTGTAAAGAACAAGTAGTATTCAGAGGAAGTGGAATAATCAAACTAAGACATCTTACACCACTGAATGTAGTACACAAGATGACAAGCTGAAAATGTCATGTGTCAGTTTACAGAGAAAACAAAGGATTTGTTTTTCCTCTCTCTCAGAACAAGTAGAAGCCTATACACTGAAGAAATTTAACATAATATGCAGCTTTCTCTACAAAGTTACAAACATTTCCTACAGAAAACGCATTACATTTGAATGATAAATTGGGAATCGGAATAGAAATATTTATGGTCTAAATGAATCAACAAACAGAAAGAGAGGTTTTAAAAATGTATTTACTCAGAAAGTATACCAGTAGTTTTACCTGCAAGTAGACAGGAAAGGTTTCTTCAAGTTTATTCTTCTTTTTCCTGTAACGCTTTTTTATTTTCTCAGTACTTTCAGAAGCTGGGGTAGACTCCTCAACTGGAGTGTCTGGCAACTGTTCTGTCCAACCTGAAAGAGTAACATTCGGGCACAAATAAATAAAATGCTCTGAGTCTTGCTCAAAAGGTACAGGGCTAGCATGCCTAACACATCTTACTACCTATTTGTGTGCATGAGTTTATTATTCTGAATATCACTGTAGATACACTCTGAAGGTGGCTTTTTATCAGCTGTGAACCTGGTCACCTGGGTCCAGGAAGGCAGAAATGCCATCTGCGATACTAGCCACATCATGATCTTGCCGTACTTCATTAGCTTTAGATAGACCTTTAACTTTTCTATCTAGCCTACCTAGGAATTTGGTCATTTGAGAGAAATTATAGCTGGCATTCAACCAGATATTTGCAAGAGAAATCTACTGAAGTGCTGTCTCTGGAATCAACACTGCTGAGCTACACATTAATCACCCTTCAATTTATAAACTAATTTTTCTCAAAGTGAAGGCACAAACCATTTTTTAAAATCTGAAAAATGACTTGTACAAATAATGAACAGGCCAGAAAAAGAGATCTATAAAGAAGCCCTTCAAGAAAAATTACACATTTATTCAGCTATCATGCACGAAGCTGCATGGCATTTTTTCCTAACAAGCACAAAAGCACAGTGTGCTAATCAATCATTTAATACTTTATTTTGACAGACCAGTGAAAACAGTAGAGGTAAGAGCTAAACTTTTTAAGTCCTTCACTTCTCCCTTGCCAAAGCTAATTACATTAAGTTAATGGCCTTGGGAAGTTATTTAAGAAACTACATTACGTAGTAAAATTTGCCATGCTTTGTACTACAGTCATCTCTTGTACCACATTCAGAGGGCACCAAGTAAGCTGAGGCTCACCGACCCCGTGACCTCTGTGCTGTTCGAGAGTGAGCTTTTGCAGAAAAAGGGAGCGGGACATGACAAGAATAGCAAACAACTTTGTAAGGCTGATGAGCACTGGCAGCTGAGGAGCAGGCTCTCAGCAAGCTAAGATGATTTACAACATACAAAGATATTCTGAGTTATTTTTTTCTTAACAACCAATTGTGCCTGAGCAAGTAGAGTAACTCAGCTGTTTAACTGAAGAATACTTAAAAATACTGCTTTTAACAATATGCATTGAACTGGTACATAGAATGGGTAATTAACTTTTCTTTAATTTATAGGAGAAGATCCCTACATAGAAATTGAAAAACATTAAAGCGAAGTTTTTCAATACTATCTGAAACAATCTGGTATACCACACTGCAACAATATTTACAAAGCAGAAAAACACAGCTATAACATTAACATATTGAAGAGAAAGCAAGCACTTTTTCTGAACTGGGGACCCAGATACAATACTGGGTTGCAATGCTAACAGAAACATTTGTTGACTTCACAAAGCAGTTCTGCAAACACGGGCAAGGACATTATCAGTAATACAAGTTGGTAACTTGTGTTATTTTTTATTGCATTAACCATGAACAACAAAAAAACACACTAAGTTTCTGTCCTTACCTTCATCTCTGCCAGGCAACTGCTCAGAAACAGATCCAGAAGAATCTTTCCTGGAGAGAGATCTTTTAGTCTTCCCCTGCCCTGTACGACTTCTTTGACGTACCATAAATCCACCAATACCTAACAAGAAAGAAAAATTCAGTACATCAATTAAAACTGTGTTTCACAGCAAGAATGAGAGCCAAGATTGTCCTGCAGGTAAATGAGACAACTGTATCTGCAGAGGTCTAAGAAGAAATCTGATATACTTGATGAATTTTCATTTCTTAATTTTGATGCCTCAGTGGGTATGTATGTAATTATCAAAATGGATCAGAATTTTAGGACCTCAATACATCCACAAGAAGATTAAATCACCAAACCTGGCAACTTTCAGATGCTGTTTTTTTCCTCCCTTGGCAAGCTGATGAATTGCTAAAATTAATCAATCTACTAAATGAAACCTATTAAAGAACATTAAAGGGTCATAAGAAACTACAAATTGCTCTGGAGAGCCCACCACTCCAAACGACGGTACTAAAGATGGATGTATCACAAAATAAAAAGATAATTAACCAACATTATACAGCCTGAAACTCCAGAATCCTTCACCAAAGATTGACTGCAGTGTTCCTGGTCCCTTACAGTTGGTGTATAGGTATGTAAATGCATCAGACTCAGGTTTGTTTCATTTTTCAGGGAAATTGTTGGCTGCAGAAAACTAACAGATGGCTGCACAACTCATGATCCAAAATCACTCTGAGCAAATGAAGCTCTCTCCTCTTGAGGACCCGTCAGTGGAAATAAATGGCTTATTGAAGTGTATTACTTGTAGAGAAACAGGAAATCTCTGTTAAGTGCTGGGGGTTTGTACCACGTTCTCATCGTGGAAGGCAAAAGACCCATGGGTATGACCTGCTGAGCGCTGGGTTGGGGCTCTTCCTCAGCGTTTTGGGAAATGACATGGGGAGGGAAAATGGTGGTAGAGATTTGTTTAGCTACTGATAGAGAAGCAAGAGAAATTGGACCATGTTGTAGCTCCCGCTTCCTTTCTCTGTTCTCCTCCCCTGCTATCTTCATAATCAGAGGATATGGCCCATTACAACGAGAAGGATGGGCGTGACTGGCAAAAACAGTATTTGTGACAGCAAAGACTACAATCGGCTTATTATCCACAGCAGTGGGAGGCTGCGTAAGGAAAAACAAAACCAACATGTAACACAGACACTGAGGCATACTGAGGGGTGTGATGTAGGGGCTCTTTGAAAAGCCAGACTAAACTCTGCTTCATCTAAGCAGAGTTTATTATCTGGGGTTCAGTATGAGCCCTAATAAAGCAGAGCCACTTCCTCCTGAGTCACTCGGGTATCTAGCTGCTTCTGCCTGGAGGCAGCTCAAGTGTTTCTGCATCCAGGACACCCAGTTATTCTGCAGACAGGATAATAAAGAATCGACACCACTGATAAAGTAAAATAAAATAATTCATCCCGTAACTGCATTCATTAAAATTCATCTGCAAATGTTTAGTAAATTACTGCTATCAACTAGCTCAGAAATTAAGTAAAATACTGGCAGAAAGTTCTCTGAAGTTCAGATATTGCCAGATGTATGTAAATACATGCACACACACACAAACTGTACTCCCATCAGGTATATAGCATACATTTTCCTATTAAGCTAGAAATCATTAAGAAGGTATAGATTTGAACTACAAACTGGTAATTGGCAATGCTTTACTGCAAGCGTATGGCTGTGCAGCAACCTTTGGAAAAGTATGTTGGTAAGAGAACTAAAAAAATATTTTAACCATAACAGGAAACAATGCTAAAATCAACAGATAGCTTAGAACAATTCATAATTCTATTCTTTTTCTATATATTTTTAGTAATACAGAAAAAAGCCTTAAAACAAGTGACACAATAATGTAACGTATTCATCCTACCAGGTCTGTATGGTTTTCGCTTTCTTTTCTTAATCCCATCAGCTCCCTCTGCCACTTTGGTATCATCATCTGCAGCCTCCCGTTCTGGGCTGGAATCCGATTTTCCATCACAGTCCATAAGATCACCCTCTGCAGACAAAAATGCAGTGGTAAGTTCAACTGGAAAAGAGAAGGCAGACATTTTTTCAAGATGTCTACAGCTGAATGATTTCTTCGAAATGGATTGAAAATAACAGATTTTTCAGGCAGGTGATAGAAAGCTACACCCCTTAGACACTTTTGAGAAACCCACCCTAACTGTACCCAACTGATCCCGTATATACGTTGATTTCCTGTGAGGTTATGGCTACACAAAACCAGAGTATAAACACTATCGTTGCTATATGTGGATCCTGACATTGTTTTCCCCATAGAAAATCCTTTCAGAATCCTGTGCAGCATGTCCTAAGTCCCTGAGCAATTTCTAACAATACATAGAGGAATATGAATACCATCTACCATGCAAGATATGCTCTGTTTACCTTCCCCTAAATTCTGCTTGGGAAGAGTTTGTTTTTGTTGAGAAGACAGACTGAAAAAATGCAGCCTACACTTGGAAGGTAATATGTAATGACTCTTAGTTTGGAGGGTTCTTGACTTGAAGCTGTGTGACTGACTGAAAGCAGATTTGTTTATTCAGAGGAGTTTGATTTATATAGCAGAAAATTCAGCCCAAGGAATTAGTCAGCCTTGAAGATGAAGACCACAATTCTGAGTTTATATTCTGTGGGAACATGGGGTAGAAACCAGATGTAAAGTACAATGGCATTAAGAAGTCTTCGGTGTTGAAGAGAGACCGAGTTAATTCTGTTCCTGATAGCCCCAAAGAGTCAATACAATAATGACCTTACATCTTCATTTTACTGTAAAGCTTTTGAAACATCTAGACTAAACATACTCTAGTCCCTGGAAAGAGACCAGAATTCAGATTCTCTCTCTGCCTTGTACTTTTGTTAGGAGGAGAAATACTGTTTATGAAACATGCCCTGTAGCCTGTTTGGTTCTACCGCAGACAGAACTGAACTTTCAAAGCACTTCAGCTGCAGTTCAACTACAACAACTCTGGCTCTTTTCAGGGCTTGGTCACTGACCTGACTTTTCACAAAATGGTTTGGGTTGGAAGGGACCTTATAGATTATCTCATTCCAAACCCTGCCATGGGCAGGGCCCCCTCCCAGCAGCCCAGGCTGCCCCCAGCCCCATCCAGCCTGGCCTTGGGCACTGCCAGGGATGGGGCAGTCACAGCTCCTCTGCGCAGCCTGGGCCAGGCCTCACCACCCTCATAGGAAAGAGTTTCTTCCATGTATCTAATCTAACCCTACCCTCTTTTAGTTTAAAGCCATTCCCCTTTGTCCCATCACTACACTCTGTTTCAAAGTCTCCCTTCCCTAGCTTCCTTATAAACCTCCTGAAAGGCCTGCTGCAAGGTCTTTCTGGGGACATCTCCTTGCCTCCAGGGTGAACAACCCCAACTCCCTCAGCCTGTCTTTGTAGAAAAGCTGCTCCAGCCTCTGATCATCTTTGTGGCCCTCCTTTGGAGTTGCTCCACCAGGTCCCTGTCCTTCTTATTTTGGGGGCCCCAGACCTGGATGCAGCACTCCAAGTGGGGTCTCACAAGATATGATGAAGAGGGAGAATGCCCTCCCTCAGCCTGCTGGCCACATTTGTTTTGATGCAGCCAAAGATATGATTGCCTTTCTGAGCTGCAAGTGCACTCTGTCAGCTCACGTCCCATTTTTCATCCACCAGTACCAAGCCCTTCTCCACAGGGCCGTTCTCCATCCATCCATCCACCTCCCAGTCTGTGCTCATGTCTGGGATTGCCCTGACCTAGGTGCAGCACCTTGCACTTGGCCTTGTTGAACTTCACGTGGTTCACGTGGGCCCACTTCTCCAGCCTGCCCAGACCCCCCTGGCTGTCATCCCTTCCTTCTATCACATCAACTGCACCACTCCCCTTGGTGCCATCCACATCATTCGTGTTTACCGGGCATTACTACACCATGTTGCACCGATCAAAGCAGTGCCATGGCCATATTCAGCCTGATGCCCCCACAAAAACTTCAGCCAGTCCAAAGAACTGGCACCAATCCACCCTACAGAGCACACGTAGTTCTGTCTGGAGCTTCCAGGAAACCCAGACCATTTACCACGTGTGTGCTGTGCAGTTAGAGGCACACATGTGAGCGTGCTCTAACTCTTGATGCATAAGACAAACATCTGTGGAACATGCAAATGTGTTTTTCTTTGGTATGTTCCAGAAATAAATAAATGAATAAATAAAAGATGATCAGAACTAAATTAGAGTCTGTGGCAGCTTTGGTTCTCCCATTCATACTCTCATACTACGTTTATGTATCTTGCTTTAAAATTGAAGAGGGATACCTATAAAAGCCACTAAGTAGATAACGAAGTTAGACTACATTATATAGAATACATGCACACAACTGTAAAAGTAAAGATGATTAACCACTGAAAAAGAGCAGGGGAAGTGGTTAATGCTCTATCTTGATGCCTTCGAACCAAAACTGAAAGCATTTCTGCTTTCAACAACCCACTCGGTGGACTATATGAAGGCATAAGATGAAATTTAAGAGTCAGCGTAATGCTGGAGTAGTCTACCAAACCCTGCGAATTCCAAAGAAAATAAAAGAAAACAAACTACTTAACTGTTTTAAAGGTTATAAACAAATACAGGGAACCTATTATAAAAAAATACACTTCTAGTCAACAGCAGAGGGTTAAGAACACGCTAATCAAACAACAGCAACAATTCTTATATCAACAAGTTAACATGGAAACTGTGCTGATGGGTAAACTACCCAGTTATCTCAAGTACACTCTCTGTATCTAAAAAAAGCTTCTCCTGACATTTAATCTGATTAACAACAAGGCAATGTTGCATCAACAGAGCGCACTTTAGATTGTGGTGAGGTGGGGTGCCTGTGTTCCACTTGTAACAGACACCTGCATGACTAATGTAATGACTTTCACACCTGCCGTTTCACTAAGCCTCTCCTCAGGCCACGGATTAACACCTCTCCTACCAACATTTTTATCAAGATGTACAGCCAGGCCATGGCAAAGAGGGCAGGAGGGCGGTGCTGCACCACGCCAGTGCCTGAGAGTGGGGATTTTAGGTATAAAGAAGCTGGCTGCTCCTACCTATGTGCTTCTTTTCGCTGCCTTATCTTTCACCTTCAGTCTCTTGTGGTCTGGCTGTTGTGCTCACTGAGCTCACTGAGCCCTCAGATGGGACTGAGGACTGCTGGCCCCTAGGACACACGCATCATTGCTCCATGTCCAGACACATGGTGGAAGGAGCTCTCTCAGGAGCTTCTACAATTTACTGAAATCTCATCGCTCTACAGTGTGAGGTGGTTGGTAGGCACATGTTAGCCCAGACCCCTTCATCACTCGCCAACCTCAGATGCTGTACTAACACTCCTCTTTCCTCTACACTGAATTCTGGATTCCCTATCCTGGACACACCATTTGGCAGGGCTCTGCACACAGTGTGATTGACTTGAACTACAGCAACACCCCAGAATTCACTTCCAAACCTAAATTCTGTCTTTAGGTCTACTTCAGAAACAAGGACAGACAAAAAGTTCAGTTCATCTGTGCACATACAAGGAAATATTTTTCCCCTCAGACTCTCAGCTCAGCCCACCTCATTTCTTTCAGAGAAAATGGAATACTCTAAGCGAACTTTTTTTATTCCTCTTCCTCCTTGATTTCAAATACAAGCTCTACAGTAATCTAGACACCGCTTTGCTGAGCCAACATTACCACTTTTAAATGGTGCTTGCACTGTTGATTCCTCAAAATACACTTGCACCCACTGGGTGCAGAGCATTTCCCCAAATAATCTAAGGGATAGATAAAAAGGCAATTCGTATTTCCAGTGTTGTGAGCCTTAGCAAAGTGCTTCACATGGTATGGATGACACAAACAGAACGATGACAAAAAAATCCCTGAAATGGGCAACAATGAGCCATGACTCTATTGTCCAAGCAGTTCCCACAGTGCACTCTGTACAGGACACACAAATGTCAGTATACCAAATGTTCCTCTCGATGTACGCAATGTAAACACGGAGTGTAACGCTCAAGATACAAGACATGCCAAAAGTAGGTCGCTACCTCTACTGTCATCCATCTCGCCATCTCTTGAGTGTTCTGACTGGGCATCCGGGGGTGTCTGAAGCACAGCCACACTGTTCTGATTTATAATCTTCAGTTTAAGCTTTGGTTTCGTCCGTTTTCTTCTAGGTACTGTGACAGTGAGGCTCTGTAACTGAGACATGCCGGATTCTGTCAAGCAGACTCCATCCTGCGTGTATGTCTTCGGTGGGTCTATAAAAGTTAAATGAATCATAACAGCAATATAAAACTCTTTAATTTTCAAGGCTTAGATCTTCAGGAATAGCACTTTTAAGAGTTAATAATTCACACGTATGGAACTGATTCATGAGCGAGGAAATCAGTATAAATAAAACAGAGATCTGATATTGTCTTACACATTACAGTTAGAGCTTTATGATTTAGAGCCTGATGTCAAATCCAGTAACAATCCATTACGTTGCTACAAAACAACTTACATTCAAAACTTGTTAGACAGATCTATTTGATTATGGAAACTGGTGCCTTGCAGGGTATTTCTGTATCCCTAACACTCGAAAAACCCATGCAAGACTTAGCTTGGGTCCCTGTTGCTCATTAGCCAAAGCCCTCAGTGTTGCAGTTTCATGTTATTACTCAGCTTTAGCCTCCCAGAACTCTTGGTCCATCAGGCGAGTTATTAGCCCTGGTTTATAGGCAGACAAAAACCAAGTTGTATCGAGTGAGCTGCTCAATATCAATTCATAAACCATGGGTAGGACCCAAGCCTTCCAAGACCTGCAAGACTGCTACGCCCTCCAGCTGTTACATGCCAACTGAGTCTAGTGATCAACTCTTCCCCCCAGTTCTTAATTGACAATGCAGAAAGGCACTGCCTGATGACTGTCTCCGTCATCTGCAGTGCCACCTGCAAGTGGAAGCTGGGGAACTTTCAGGGAATTGGCAAATAGCAAAGAGGCTGCAATGCTGCTTCTGCTCTTTGAGGCCAATTAAATAATGACTGGATAACACGGTTTCTGAAAACATATGAACATCGTAACATTTGTTCTCTTTAACCAAAAATATTTTCTGATGTAACATGTCACATCCCAAAACACAGCTGGTTCTGAATGTAGCTCTTCAGAGACGATTGTTCTCTTGTACTGAATTAGAAGAGTGTTCATTTAAAAAATTTCATCTATTTTTTTCGTACTGAAGATTGGAGGGCAAAATCTTCTCTCAGAACAACTGTGCAGTATAAAGCAGAACAAAATTCCAATGTGACGGAAGCTATCCTAACATGCAGGAAGATCTTAGAGACTATCATTACAACAAATGACCTGGGCGTAGGCTTGTCAAGATTGTCAATTCCTTGCACAAAATACACAAATTCAGAGAAGTTGTGTCCTCCTACAGTTTGAGCCTGTAAACATTTGTGTATGTGTTTGACTCAGCCACATGGTTATTTATCACTGCTAATATTAAGGCAAGCAACTAAGTCTGCAGAATCAAAGCATATTTTAAGCTTATTATTATTATTATTATTATTATAGTGCAGGTATGGCAGGCAAAAAAGAAGAGAAAGAAAAAAAATGAAAAGCATGCTGTGATAACGGAAGGATGGTTAATGTTGTGTGTTATAAAAACAAAAAGGAAGTTTTGCCTCATGTAAAAGTATACCCTTAAAATATGCTAAATGATCAACGATTAAGCATTTACATTCTTTACCTAGTTCTTTTGATTTTGAAATAATCTGAGCTCCAACTGATGAATCACAACAGTCCAAAGAAGGCACTGAAAAATATAAGGAGAATAATTTCAACTTTTAAAAATGGTGACTTGATTTAAACTGAAACTACCAAGTAATTTTCCTTCAAACGGTTCTGTTAAACTCCCTAATTAATATCGTTGGCAACACCTACTAGCACCTTTGAAATAAAGTGCTTTTCCGCGTCACAGAGATGTGACTACAAAACAAGCCTGGTATCAGCTGAAGTTCTCCAATTCCCTAGAGCCAAGAATGGCACTGGAAATGCTCTGAACTTGATGGTAAATGATCTCCTTCTACTGCTCCACAGGCATGCACCGGATCTACTGGATTTTAAGGAAACCTCTCCACTAGTCATCATGTCCAGGCTTTGCTAAGCTAAGTGTAAGTAACAGGAGGACTCTGAACCAGGGACTGTCTCAGGAGTGGATCTCCCGCCAGCTTCATACACAAGGTTCCAGCTGTGCCTGTGCTGTCAGAGGTCTGATATAACAGAAATGAGACAGAAAGGAAGGCCAATAGCAAATCTGAGAACAGCTCAGACGTAACTTGTTGATGTTAGAAAGGGTAATCCTTATTCCAGGTAAGGATATTGACAAATGGAACAGCAGAAACTCCGTTTGAAAATTGCCTTGTGTGCTTCAGGGAAGCACCGCAGTAGTTTGAGTGAACAAATGATGATCAAAATGTCTTCCAGTGCTAGCACGCTACTGCTGCAGGTAGAAATGTTCTTCTGCCTTAATCACAGTAATCCTGTTTCACTAACCTGTGGTATGTAGACTGATTGTTTATATTAGTAGTGACTTTGTAGAGATTATATAGACAGAAGGTACAAGAAAAATTAGCTGTTTAGTCGGTGTCTCACAAACGCTGAGAACTAAAACCAAAAAAACTGTTAGTTTGGCATGGTTAGCATTACCACACAGTCAAGGCTCATTCTTTTTTTTTTTTTTTTTTTCCTAGAAATCTTAGCCAGGCTCAGTCTGAGACTCTGACAAACATCCGGTGTTTTTAATTTGCATCTACTACACAAGCCCAGACCACTGAGGCACAGCACGTGTGGAAGGCTCTTGTTTCTCAGCCCAACTGCATGTGCTCCAACCTCACCCACAGAGAAAGGCTTGGAAAAGACCAAGAGCTTCCACATAACACTTATGCTGTGCTAAATGCAAAATAAGGGTGTAGTAGCTAGAAGATCTGAAATCTAGAGAAAGCTTTCTAAGCATACATAAAAAATAAGGAAAGTGAAAGTCTTGTCTTTAGAAATTACAGTCCTCTGAAAGTTTTTAAGGTCTAACTGAACTATATGACATAACCTAGAGAAAACAAACATTCTGTGTGATCAGCACGTGTAAGGAGCCGATCAGCTCTACTGAAAAACTGATACACACACACGGATGGAGAAAACAAGGAAGAAAAAAAATGAAAATGAAATTTTGAAGGAGACACTGGGCTGGAGGGAAACAAAAAAATATGGGACGAGCTGCAGGATGGAAGATGCTCAAAGGCCCTGAACTGAAACAACAGAACAACAGCAGACTTGAAGAAATACTCCACGGGGAATGAGACCTCATCTGATTCCTTCGTTGATTATAATTTACAAGGTATCTAAGTCAGAGCTAACAACTACTGGGCTGGAATCTAAGGTAAACAGAAAATTCAGAGAGCTGTGAATGGGGATTTGATGCCCTTACTCTAAGGTCATACAACAAGGAGTCCACATCAGACTGAGAACACTTTCAGCTTTGGAGACTGAACAGACTTGAAACAGGCAAACAAATAAGCTGATAGCAACAAACGCAAGGCCTTCAGAGACCAACTCACAGAAGTTGCACAACGTTTGAAGATGGTATTGAACTGATTTCCAGAAAAGGAGCTAATTAGAGTGCGGGTTAAAGATTAAATCAATAAAACGGATAACGGAGAAACGGAACTCCAAGCCAGAGAAAACTATAAAGGGGAAAAATAATCGGTAAAAAACAGAACAAAAAAGGGACAGGGCTCTCTGAGGCACTAAGCTAAGTTCAACCAAAATGATATGCTTATTTTCAGAAGGATTTAAACATGCCGAATGATGTGCAGTGTTTAGTGGCTTCAGTTAAAAAAAAGTGTAGCACAGAATACAATATGATGAGAAAGATCACAGTTTCAAAAAGAAAGGTGGCTGCGATTCAGAAAGCTGTAATAGAAATTAACAGCTCTAGGAAGAAATGGAATTGGCTAAGGGACAGTGCAAAATGTTTGATAGAAAGACAATACCGCAGTACTATCAGCTGCCTGCTTGCCTGTAAGCGTGCATAACTGCAGGGATTTTTTTTTGCAAATACTGGCACTTACAGGAATGTAACAGCTGAAATAATAAACATGACAATTAAAAACTCAAAAGTTAAAATTTTAGCTTCTAATTACTTTGTGTATCTGTGAAGTACACACAGTAAGTTTTAGAATGAATATGATCTTAATTCAGTTTCACGAAGACTGTGCAACAGAGGATCCCAGCCCTAAGATGTGGATCATCGACAGTACTCAGCATCTCCAAATTAGTAAGTGACACGAAGCCCTCACTGCTGCTGCGGGCAGGCTTATCTGAGCCACAGGAAGAATACTCACACACCAGCAGCTACCAAAAACTACCACCAGACCGGCTGTAACTAGCTGTTACATGTGTTTGCAGCTCCTGTCTCTTCAGCTGTTCCCACTGAAGAAAAGCAGACAGAGCTGCTCCCTTTCCCTCCTGCAGAGAAAAACAAACAAACAAAAGCCAGCACCGAGGAGGAAGCTGGAATTTGTGGATGGAGAGAGTGGGGGATTAAGCAAGGAAAGGATGCAAGTTACAGTTTGGGCATACATAGACAAGCTAAGTGATGATGCACAAAGGCAAATGGCAGAAGGCAGAAATTATGGGGAGATGGTTGAGATTTGCTTGTCTGGAGAATCTATGGCTGTGGGTGAGATGCACATCTCTCTCCTGAATGTGCAAGAGTTACAGCACAGAGGCAAAAGTTGCTGCTACCTACAGCAGTTGCCAGTACTCAGTCACGACAACATTCAAACTAAATTAGAAAACCTTTTCTACAACAGAAAACCAATTCTACTACATGCTGGAGGACATATTTACCTCCAAGGGTACTGGAGGTGCTGGCCCAAGTGCTTGCCAAGCCACTTTCAGTAATTTACCAGCAGTCCTGGCTGAGCAGGGAGATCCCAGCTGAGTGCAAGTTAGAGAACATGACTCCAGCTTACAGGAAGGGCCGGAAGGAAAATCCAGGGAACTGCAGGCTTGTCATCACCAGGAAAGGTTATGGAGCCCTGGTGAATGGAGTTCAGTCTTGAGCCTGATCACGATTCAACAAAGGTAAGTTTTGGGTGCTGCACTTGGGTCATAAACAACCTGATGCAGCAGTATGGGCTTGGGCAAGAGTGCATGGAAAGGTGCCCAGCAGAAAAGGACCTGGGGGTGTTGGTCAACAGCTGGCTGAACATGAGCCAGCATGTACCCAGGTGGCCAAGAAGGCCAACAGCATCCTGGCCTGCACCAGAAATAGTGGGCCAGCAGGACTGGGGAAGGGATTGTCCCATTGTATGCAGCACTGGCAAGACTGCACCTGAACTGAATTCAGTTTTGGGCACTACAAAAGGAGATCAAGTTGCTTGAGCATGTGAAGGGATCAGAAAACAAGACATATAAGAACAGCTGAGGGAACTGGGGTTGTTTAGTCTGGAGAAAAGGAGGCTGAGGGGAGACCTCATCACTCTCTGCAACTACCTGAGTGGAAGCTGCAGCAAGGAAGGTGTTGGTCTCTTTTCTCAGGTTACGATGATAAGACATGAAGAAACAGTCTCAAGTTGTGCCAGGGTAGGTTTAGATTGGACATTAGGAAGAATTTCATCTTGGAGAAGGTCGTCAAGCATTGGAATGGGCCACCAAGGGATGTGGTGGAGTCCCCATCCCTGGAAGTATTGAAGAGATGTGTGGACACAGCACTCAGACACGTGGTCTAGTGATGGAACTCAGCAGGTCGGGTTGATGACTGGACCTGATGATCTTGAAGGCCTTTTCTAACCTAGATGATTCTATGATCCTATCCTGTAACTTAAGACCACATTAAAAGCAACCTGAAGAAACAATGATTAGAGATGAGTATTTCACAGCAGTCTAGAAATGGAGGTTTATGGCATACTGCTCTGAAACAAGTTTTACCACGTGCTGGCTATGGATACTAATGTAAGTTAAAGACGAAAAATAAATAAATTGTGTTTTATTTCTGTTTCACAAAGAAGATGATTTTAAGATTATCAGATATGCAGCTGATGTTCTTAAGATTAGACAGGGAAGAGCTCTTCAAGTTCCTGTTTTCTGAAGAGAGAAAAATGGAAACTCTTTCTCAATGCTTATATTTTAGAAGGTATTTACTTTCTACCAATAGGACACCTACTTCATCCATAATGTACTGGCAAGTTATGAGGTTGAGGGGCCCTTGCTTATTCTGCAGATAAAGTAGTTAAACTTGTAATGATGTTTGCAACACATCAACATCCTCTGTGGTACTTCAGATGGAAAGAGAAGGAGCCATTCCAATAAGAAAACCACTCTATAGTATACAAAGTATTTATACTATATTATACTACATACTACGTATATTTATACTATTTATACTAATATTTGTTTCTCTAAGGTCAACAAATGCTTACTGCTCTCACCTAGAAACAAAAAAATTAGAATTTTCAAAAGAGTTGTAGACAAATTAACAAAACACTGGAACATTTCATATAAAAGAACATGCAAGTATTTCCACGAACATGCACCAAATGACATTCAGACATGCAGTTGTGCAAATGTACACATGTTAAAGACTTCATATAAATGCTGAGTCAAAACCAAAAAGAATAATCAGAGAAATGTGTCTCATAAAAGTGGGAAAAAAACCTGCAAAGAAGGGTGGGCAACTTTCTTACAGATGTTGCGGGACTGGCTCCTATTCTCAGAAGACAAACTTATACAACACAACTCCACACTGGTGTGCAAAAAAGACTAACTCGGGGGCCAGTTTATGACTGGAGGTGAAACATCTCTTACACCACTTTCTAAAGTTATTCCATCTCATATACTGGGGCCTTTACTGTCTTCTAAAAGGCAGCTCTGCCAGCTCATAAGAGATAGGAAGGGGCAGTATTTCTTACCTGGACCTTTGTGTTTTAAGTGCCCAAAGCTTATTACCAAAATAAACAAAAACCTGTGTTGTATCTACAAGTTGCCTGTTTTTCCCACTTACAACCCCTTTTTTGCTTTGAATTTGCAAAAGCAGATTACAAAGATGAAGTGACTTGTAGAAATACACAAGCATTAAGTCATTCTCACTTGTAAGAGTGACAGAAGTGGGATACTTAGAAGTGTTCCACTATCATGTGTATATAGTTGATCAATTTATACAAGCAAGTACACAAACTTCCAAGGCTACATGAGTAAGTTACAATTACTGTGTCACAGTGTTATGAGGACATGAGGCATAAAGGCACATCAGATGCTCCATTGAACTTTTTTTGGCAGACCTCTCAAACACAAGCCTCATAGTATAGCCAACTCTTGATAAGAAAGCCAATCTTCCCGAAATCCTCCTGGTGTGTATTTTTTGAAACATTTGCTTAGTCCTTGTTCCTTCCTCCTCCACATTCTCACACTCTGATGATACCCCAATAATGGGTTAATGTGAACATTTTAACATACTATTATTCTAAAAAAAATATATGTAGAGGTGTCAGTGCTCTGTTAAAGCAGCAGACTGAAGCAGAAACTCCTCTGAGCTGACATGCAGAGAAAACAGACCCAGGATACTATTCTTGCAGCAAGACCATAAATCATCTAATAGGCCAATCTAATTGCTGACAGGCCACTCACTATAAAATTAACCACTACCATCCCACAGAACCAGATGGTGTAGCTGTGCTCAAAGAGAAAAACTGCAGTAAACCTCAGCTTCTGAAGTACCAATGCTGTGGAATTGCATACTACTGACTAAAAAAGAAGTTGGTATATTCACTGACAACATGTGCAGAGAAGAACAAAATTCATTAGGAAGAATATGCATTTTAACTAACACACACACAAAAAAAAAAGGAGACTCCCAAGCATGAACATATGGAGATTTTTTTCGAAGACCAGAGCTAGGGAAGGAACTGGTCTTAAATACTGGGAGAGCTTACGGAGTGGTGTTAACAAAACATGGGAAAGGAGGGGAAAGATGCTTGTAGGGACTGTGGTTGTGTTGTTACCACTGCTACAGAGGGCCTCAAAGTCCTGATATATAGAACATTTTTTGCTTGGAATTGATTTTAATATTCTTCCACAATTCAGATGTTTAGAGAACTGGGCTTTCTTTATTCCGCTCAACAAAGTGAGATGTGTTTTACCCTTTCAACATCAAACGCCCAAATTTACCCAAATTATCTTCAATAAATCTGTCTAGAATTCCCCCCGCTAGGTTGTCTTTTGCTGCAGGGATGTCCTGACAGCCAATCACTAGGGGGTGAGAAAGAGCTGAGGACACTTCCAGAAGGCCTTTAAAACAAAAACAAAAAATCTTGCTTCTACAACAAGCCAACTCTACACCACAGACAAGAACCATAACCCATTCCCAAACCTATTTATTGCAGTGTGCAGTCCTGCCATTGGTTTCAATTGTCTTCTTACCGTTTGTTGGTGGTATGTATGGCCTACAAATGGTACAGTCAAAACCCATATCAGCTATGTTTTCCACTTCCTCCTCTGTGTTTAAGTTCTGACAGATTGCATGCATCCATCTAGAAATTAAGTGGGGGAAAAAATACAATTTAAAGGAAATATGTGGTGTTTTAGGAGACCCAAGTATCAGTATATGGTCCAAGTAAATGTGAAATACTTGTTAAGTTAAATCCTTTTAGGGAGAAACAAGGAATCAGGTTCTCCATATAGAGCAATCCTCTATGGTGGTGTGTGTTAAAATACTGGATATACAGTATCACATTACCTATTTCCCTTCGTAGGAAGGAAAACTGTAAAATAACGTCCCCGAAGCAAATATGTCTTAGTATTATAATTTCTCCCTGTATTTGCAGTCATCTTAACTACTCAGTTGACACAAGGTAATCTAGATGTAGCCTCACAACGACAGTCGTGTGAGGTAATTTTATTTTCTTTTTACAGAGGTGGAAAATGAGGCACAAAATAATTAAGTTGCCCAGAGTCATACAGTTATTAAGTCTATGGTACAACTAGTTACGAACCAATATGAGACTTCTGAGATTCAATCCAGTGTTCTTTACCACAAGACCATTCCCTTCATCTTTATGCTTTTACATTACGAGAAAAAAATTAAAATAAGCCTTAACCAGGAGAAAAAATGTCAAACAGTAGAAATCCTTACCGATCACATTGTCTACACTGAATTATAAGCTCTTCATCCCTGTAAGTGCGATAGCAGATGGGGCAGGTAGACAAACTTGCACAGGGAGCACACTGTGTGTAATTATTTTGCCATTCGCATCTTAAACCCGGTGAAGTTGCTCCACAGTGTCTGCACCAAACACACCTGCAGAACAGACAAAATGATCTATTACTTTTAGTCCTAAACACAATCGTTTTGTGGCTTTAAAACCCTCCTAACTCAGAGCTGCATGAATAATTTAAGTTTTACATCACTAAGCAATGGGGAGGAGGTAACGACACAATAACATCTTATTTCAGGTCAAAATATTTTACTTGGTTGAAAATTTATTATTTAGATTTTGAACATTACCAGTACTTTTGATACTTTTTAAAGCAGTTCCTATATAAGAAGTCGTTTCAATCTGCAGAACAGGTGGAAGGGTGTTTTTAACAGCTTAACAGGTCAAAAGAGTTCCTGCTTTCAGTTAGTATTCACTTTGAGATAAAAAGACTTGGCCATGCGAGAGGTCTATTTTGTTTGTACTTCACCCAAGTAACACGAATGGTTTTCAAAGGGTTTTTATCTTGAAAGCAATTCGGTGAAGTGCCCATTAATTTTTCCAACTGTTTCAATGAACTTAGATTAGGATTTTTTGTCTCAAAGTTTCAAAAGAAAAATATTGTCCACCTCTACTTACCTGGGTTTTGGCACTAAGCAACTGTATTAAGAGGAGGTGACTGTTTCCATATTAAACCGCAAACTGAATGAAACAATCCACAACTATTTTGTTTGCTTTGTTTAATACACCTAACTTCAATAAAACTAAAACTTTATTACAGTGAAATTGGCATTACAAATAAGAAAAAAGAACAAAAAAGGCCAGTATTCCTGACACCCAAGCCAAACACACCATTTGCACTTCCAGCCTCCTTTTGGAACGGTCTGCAGGGGCGGATCTAAGCAGTAAGTGTGGTAGCTGATGTCGCAGTCATCACAGAGCAGCAGCCTTCCTGGATCTGTAGCTTTCCCACAGGCTTCACACACCGTACACTCCAAACACCTCCAGCCTTTACTAAGCACCACTTTAGTAATCTGCAAATGCCAAGGTGAAAATTATTTGAACATTGCTCTCTGAAGTGTGGTCACTGTAAAAATGAAGGCCTGTCTAGTGCAGCACGAAATGCTCTTCTCTACATCACAAGTAGCCATTTATCAATTAAACTTGGTGAAAATTCACTAAATGGGAATGGATCAAAGAGACAGAACTCTATGTTGGTGCTGATACTGTTCTGGAATACAATTTCAGGTAAACTAGTATGTCAGAGAATACATACTGATAATGGTCTACATGTAGGATAGTTTATTCCTTATAGGAGTGGCTGGGTCCCACAAGGAAGAAAGAGAACATACTGCTGTTTTTTTCAGGTATGTAGTAAAGCCAGTATTCACATCACCAAGAATCCTGTATCTTTCCTAAATTATTTGTGATAGCCAGTGCTAGGGTTTCAATCATCCAAAGCTAATAATTTATTGTTTATTAAATAACGAGTGGTATATAAATGCAAACCGAAGTATAATTGTACGAAGAATGCATATAATGTTTTGTAAAGTAAATTTAAAATAAAACATTTAAAATACTCTGAAACTGTTTCAAGAAGTCACTTCTACACAGATGCACTTATATAATAGTGTTTAGTTTATATATTGCAGTAAGCAGCTTATTATGCCTTTCCTAAATCAACTCGTACCATTCGTATTTAATTTTCACAAATTCTCCTAGATCAATGAAAGTAAAATATATTAATTATCCACTCCAACTGCTGTCAATTCTGACAGCCAACAGACAAACTGAATCGACTAAACCTTATGCCTGTAGTAAATGAAGATGCATTATAATTTTTTGTTTTTAATTTTGCTTGTATTTAGGTTTTAAGCTTATATCTCCAACTGTTATTTTAACCAACTGCTGGATAATCAGTGCTATTTATGGTTGTGAAATTACAGAAAGGTTAATTTCTCTTGAGGCGATGCATACTATAAAATGACATTTAATTAAAGTCTTTCACAAGTCGCGTACAAATAATGGTCACATTAGCTGAAGAATATCTAACAAGTTAATGACTCCCCTAATTACCACAAAACCAAAGGCAGCATAGTGCTATTAAGGCACAATATGAAAGCAGTGTAATCAAGCCATCTCTTACGTACAAAGCACTCACCTTAATACTGACACAGTATGGATGGTAACACTGACCGCATTGAGAGCAGGCGAGCAACCTGCCCTCAGCACCTTGGCCAAAACTCCCACAAACTACGCACATATCCTGAAATTACAGAAACATGCAGATTTTCAACACATGCCAGACAGTAAATTCTGAAAACATGTAACTGTAAAATCCAGCTAGCTTGCTCTATGATGCAACTCTTAGCAATGACATTCATTTACGTTTTTAAATTAAAAGCAAGGAAACAAACAAAATGAAAACCTGAGTAACTATTAGCCTAACCTGATGGAGAGTGAACTTGTCGCTGCTAGAGAAGAGGACAACTGTATTATGCATTGAGTTTTCTTCCTCATCTTTGTTAGATGAGATATCCATAGTTGTGACCTATACCAAAAAAACACAACATAGTTAGCAAACACATCATATTTTCTAAGCCACGAAAGAAGACAAAATCTATCCTTTAAATATGTTAGTTTTTTAATACTACTGGAGAATGCAAGCTTAAGAGGATACACCAGAAGTCTGTGCATTTGTTTCTTCACATGGTACAAACTTCCACACAAAGCTATCTTAATGAGAAATTGTTGTACTAATTAACAATGCTTTCCACACGAATACAAGTATCACCACCCTCAGTTTTACAGACACGTTCTCTTCCTCTCTTTTGTTCACCTTTACCTGTTACCCCATGTACTTTAAAATGGAAATTGAAGGAAAGAGGCAGTCTAAGAAAAAAATCACTAAGCAGAATTTGTCGTATTGTGACCAAGCCTGCCCTTTTTCCTGTCTTTAAACACTGAAGTTCTTCTTACTGAAAAGTTAATTGCAGTGACATGCTTTCAGTATGAACTCAGAAAGCATTCACAGAAATGTAACTTGTCCCGTATTGCCTAAAATGTGGTTTAGCTAAGGTTCCAGCTGTGTTAGAGAAATGACCAAGAGTTCAGAAGTTGCAAGAGTCAGGATGCACTCCACAAGGTCTTTATTAGGCTTGTATGGATTTGCCCATAAAAATTTGCACTGAACAGAGAACTTGAATCTGTTGTTTTGTTCTCAGTCTGTAAGTCCTTACTATAGCCTATCAATCTCTTGATTAAGGGCATCATTACTCTCAAAGAAGACAGGAAGACCTACTGATTTTGGGAGAGTCATGATAAAAAGATCAGTGAATGCTTTAACTGTGTTCGGACTTTCATGTAAATCCTGCTTTCCACAGTTTCCCACCCGTGAATTTCCATTAACAGGCCTAGGCATTTACTCTCTGAAGCAGCAGTGGCCATGAAAGCTTGGAAGAGAAGAGCACACATTTCTATGAAAAAAATAAAATAATGCATGCTAGAGAAGCGTAACTTTGTTTTACCAGCTGTTCTTGCTTTATAAATGTGGATTATTTTAAATACAGCTTAAGTCTTATTTAGCTAGTTTTGTTTAAGTAATACTTTAAATGCTTTACAAATCCAAACATCACTAGAGACAAATGTAAATACTGTTACAACAGCTACAGGAACCCTTCGGATAGACTTGCTGAAAATCAGCATTTACTGAGAAACAGCTAAAAAGGGAGTATGAGTATACTGTTACCGTGCCTTAATTACTGTATTGCTGAGAGCTCTGCAGCTGGAACTAATTAACCAAAAAACACCCGAACCACCTCTTGAGATGTTCAGGGAGAGCTTTTCCCTCACATGTGTTTCCACAGGTTGCACGAAGTTCTCAGAGCTGCCTCCACAAATGCAAGAGCAGAATGTGAAGGACAGGATCGCTGAAGTTTTGATGTGTGCCTAACACCAGCCGTGAGCCAACTGGGCTTAACCTGTATCCTCCTGCTACCCCATTCCCAAGGTGTGTGAAGAAGCTTTCAGGTTCATTTAGTTGTCCACTGGTCATGATCCCGTAAGACTGAGTTTGTGCAAAAGGGCTGAAAATATTCCTGTTTCAACCCCTTATCTGGCAAAAGGCAGGTATTTGTGTTTTATCTTCGCATTGCTACCTTCACCTACATTATTACAATACAGCTGCATCATAGAAATCTGAAGCAGAAAAGTTGCCATTTACTTTATATGTCATAGGAGCAAATTTCTACAGGGAACTGTGGACAGTGATGGCCATTTTGTATTTATACCACTTAACCTCACTGAATATTCTCTGTTCAGTTACAATTTTTAAGATTTTGTTCTAGAAAACGTGGCTTCTTTTGAAGTACAAAGATCAAAATAATCATGTGAATGCCTGAATGTTGTATAAGCTCAAGTAGACAGTATGTAAGAACACAAAAAAGCAGTTCTAAAGAGTCAGAGGAATTACTTAACGAAGACATAAAAATGAGCAAGTCCATTTCTCAACATGAAGAGAAAGCCTGTCAAAATCTACAGGGCTGCTTGACAATCAAACTGTAACAAGAATGTTCAAAGATGGCAAATCCACAGCAGAAAAAAAAATATATTTTTTTTTTGCAATCCACATTTCCCACAATTTTTATACCAAAATCTCTCCTCTTCCAAGGAGCAGAACAGGATTGCAGATCACAAAGATTTTAAAAGGACTCCAAGTATGAAATAGCTTAACTATCAACTGCAGTGAGCAACCACTTGCTGCAAATCACTCAGTGCTATAGGAATGGGAGATGACAAATGTAACTGGCGTTTTCTCAAAATTCTTGGGGGGGGGGAAGCCAGGTACCATCAAACAGGACATCTAACATCTGATCGTAACAGAGAACTTGCAGCCACATCGATATATATATATATATATATATAACATTTTGTTAAAGAGTCAAGGAAGCCTTAGGTATGTTAAATCATGATCTATTGGGTTTCTCTCAAGGCGTCAGCAAGCCCAGAGACAGGGAAATATGACTGATGTAATTTACTTCACTGCCAAATTGTTTTGGCAAAGTCACTCACCAGAGCTCCTTTTTTTTTTTTAAAAAAAAAAAAAAGGCAGCTAAACTTTTTTTTTTAGAGGAAACAAATTAGAGTAAGTGTCCTTGCACTAGAAGCCTGATAGGGATGGCTGCCAACAGGCCCTGGTGTTCGACACACACAGTCTGGAAGATTGATCAAGGAGCAAGGTGACAAAGCTTGCCAACAATATTAAGATATTCAAGGTAATAAAAAATGAAAGACAATTGTGAAGAGCTACATAAGAACTTAATAAAGCTGAGTTCTGGTTTATAAAATGTCAGACCAAAGTCAACATGGATAAAGTTTAAAAAAGGAAGACAACAAATAACAAGGAAGGTCAAAAGTCTGAAGTAGCTTCCATACAACAGAAAATACTGGGATTCGCCAAGCTACCAAAAAATGAGTGTAAGGCAAAGGAGGAGGAATGACAGAAATTTATAAAACCTGAGTGGCAGGAGGTTAATAAAAAAAACAAAAACCAAACAGCTCTCAATGGTCTCTCCTCTAAGGACACTCAGGAGGAGAAACAAATTGAAAGAGGTATTCCTGTATCCAACAGGCTCACGAGCTGTAGAACCAAAAAAGGTTAGTTAACCATCAAAAGTTATTAGAAGCACACAGGCAAATTTATGAACGAGAACTTCAACAGAGGGTGTCCAAGACAAAGACACCACCTCCTGTTCAGCTAGTTCCTGAGCCACAAACCGTTGAAGTATCTCGTTCTCTACGGCTCTTCTGTTCCTGTTCTCTTCCCTCAGCCATCAGGTTTGGTCCCCTGGGTAGCCCCACCTCTGGGCTGATCTGCTAAAACTGCTGTTAGTTGTATGCACATGTTTTGTTCTCCCCTTTTCTGTTGCTCCAATGAATACTGCATTTACTTGGCACGTTTTCCACTTGAGGAAGTGGAAGGAGTACGCCAAGTTTCCCAGCAGTTGTCCCTTTAAGTGGCAAGAGCAGCATAAAATTGCCTCAGGTCCGCTTTGCTTCAGTTCTCTAGTTCATAATCACACGTAATAACAACCAGGTTTTATGGAATACCTCTACTTTTTAGTGTTATTTGGTTAACACAACATTTTAATGACGAATTACAGCTGGATTAGGTTATGTTACATTAACAGACTACAATATGAGTTAAAAATAAATGTTCTTACCCCTGGAATGACTACAGTCCCAACTCCATTTTTCAGTTTCGATCTACCTCTGCCACCTCGTCCCGAAAGACCTGCACCACGAGGCCTCCGCTTCCCCGGGAATCCTGATCCACGGCCCTATTCAATATAAGATAACGATTTAAATGCAATCTGAAATCCTTTTGTTATAAGGGATTCAAACTTGTTCAATGTATCTAGGGAAAAATACAAGTAAAAAAACCAAAACCTATGGTTTCAAGCATACAAGGGCACACTAGACCACAGTCACCCAGTTACTGCATAAGTCATTGCGAATTACCTCGAACTCCTATAACTACTTATATGAATTAATATGATCACCTTTATCATCAGTGAGAATACAGCCAAACCCAGAAATATTTATTTTCTGTTTGGGATTAACTGGAAATATGGCAATACTATCTTTTCCACATTGCAAAGTACCCAAAGTAAATACCCTCTATTGTATGATTCACTTTTTTTTAAACAGCCATCTCAATCAGATGAGTTCTGCTTCTGGTCTGGACCCTTGATTAATTGCAATCATAGATACTTTTCTTATGCTAATAATGATCAAGCAAACACTGCAGTTTGTTAGGGCTCAATCCTGTTCCCAAAGTGAAGTAGGAGCTGGCTCCATTGAACTCTCTTAATTCAGCAGATACAGAGAGAGCTTTTTATATTAATTATATCAATCATACTCAGATCAATACGCCCCATAACAGTATACTTCTCTTAGAAAATACACACTTATTTGAGACACCACCTTTTCCCTCTTCCTTATTTTATATGCAGAGACATACAGCTGTGGTGCTTCTGTGCTCTTGGAGCATTCACAAAGTACGTTCAATTACAACTTACTGCAGAAAAGCAAATATATATATATATATTTAATAATAATAATAGTTACCTGATATTGCTCCTGTGACTCAGTTTGATTTTTTTTTTAATTATTATTTCAAAATGAACTGAATACAAACTGTAAGAGGAACTCCCTCCTCGCTTCCAGAGAGAAAATGAACACCCTGACAATGTCCCTGAGTTCTGGCCATATGATGCACCTTCACAGAGCTTGTATTTCAGAGCTCTGCTCTCTGTAAATGCTGATAATTATAGTATACATCCAAGAGAGCACCTCTACTGCTACCAAATAAGCAAGATTATTAATTGATTTCAAGTATGTGAATAATCTCTGCTCCTAAAATAGCCCAAATCCATCCACAGAGTATCCAGAATGTGCATGTACCTAAAAATTTGCTGAAGACTACTTTTAATGCCAAGACAAAGCATTTACTCAATGAAATGATGTTGATTGAGCAACAAAGCTCCTTGGGACAGTGTCACCAAAATACACGAACAGTTTCTGCTGACAGAGTTGGGAGCTCTGTGGATGGAAAGCAACATTATGGGCTCAGTGCTACCAACAGGATTTTTCAAATATGCCATCTCTCGATTTAAAGACGATATACAAGCTTATGGTCAAAAATCAAGGGGGAATTCAGGTATCTCAATGTTAATTTTTAATCAACATCCATCTGTTTCAACTGATTTACTCTTATAAAATGAGGCGATGTAATGCAACACTACTTTAGGAAGCGAGAGGAAGGACACCACTGATGGCTCAAGAATTTATATGTAGTACAGGTGAAGGGATAATGTTGTCCTTACATATATATGGAGTTAATACATATGCACAGACAGGACATACAAGCATCAATTCTTATTAAAATGGATACTCTTCGGACATGTTTCTTATGCCGTATCGTTCAGATTACGTATCAGTAGTGTTATTTTCACGGAGCTAGTAGGAATAAGCACGTACGTGTACCAATGTTAATGCTGAACAGTAAGCTGGAAATTAATGCTTGAAGCAGCAAAAGCTAAGCTAATGTCAAATTAAAATAAAAATAGCATGAGTGTTAAAGTGAGATGGAAATAACTTATTTGGAACCTACAGCTATTTGTTAGTGTTTCATCATTTAAATTTTTGGTCATTAAAAAAACTAAATTCCATTTAGTTTCTGCAGGTATTTTAAATGGTAACCAGCACTGTGCATGCAGGCTTTGGTCCATCCAAATAGGCAGGAACGGTGTTCTTTATTCCCCCATAAGCTAAAAACTGCTGTCACTTTGAATCCACTCTCTGCAAGGCTTCTCCACAGCAACCAATTCAAGCCCCACCTCAGAGCTCTGCTCCTTTCAGCGCCTGCCTTACCTTCCTGCCAGTCTTAAGGACATTTTCTTTCTCACCTAACTTACTTTGACAGCTATGTAAAGCCAACCACAAAAAATGAAAGTAGTAAGCACACACAAAAACGGCATTACAAACTAGTCTTTGCCATGTGAAATCAGGGCAATGCCATCTTATCGTACACTCTGGAAAGCAGATTTTTTTTCTTTACCCTAAAAGCTCCAGAGTTTTAATGATTTTTAAATGTCTTAAGCAGTACTAGAACGGAAGATTAATTCAATTGTGATATACAGAATGTCATCAGCAGTCTCTGCAGCAGAAAGATAGCAATGGATACATGAAAATAAATTCAAATTATTTACCACTTTGATGCTCCAAATGGCACTGCCAGGAAGCTGTCTGGATTTAAAAATGTCCCGACCTTCTGAAATGTCTGGGGACCAGGAAGGTGGGCTGACTGTATTATTGGTACTCCAAGCCCCCTAGGACACGGTGGGTGAGAAAATAGATGTATAAAACTTGGCAACATAAAAAAAAAAAAAAAAAAGAAAAGAAAAAAGCAAGCAACAAAAAAATCTGAAAAGCAAAGCACATGCAGGCATAGGCATTTCTGTGTTAACGAGTAAATTAGTTCACACTGAGTGAGAGGGAGGCGGGAGATTTTTAGGCTGTCATTGAAACTTACACTGGAACAAATATAGCAAACTTCAAAGCGCTGGTTAAGTACAACAACATGAGTTTTATAAACAAAACATTAATACAAATATAAAGCAATCCATCATAACAACAACAACAAGTTACATCCCCAAATTGTATGGCATCAAACTGAGGAGGCAGGGCTTTAAGGGTCCCCTTTTGCACTTCAAATCCCATTTTCAGAGAACAGATGTCCTGAGCCAACTTTTGAGCCTGAACAACTGAGAAGTTGCGATGACTAGTCTGAGAGGCGCATGAGAAACAAGGAATATAAACAAGCCATAGAAGAAAAATAATAAAAAAGTAACCACAGTAATTAAAACATCTCTCTCCTGCATGTTTGTCACAAATAAACCATTCCTAAATCCCACTACTGAGGTTGTATCACCCTGATGTTTTCATGTTACAGTGTTATCAAGCAATAATGTTGTTATAAACATGTAATAATACACATCTATACAGTGTACCTACAAACTCTTTTCAAGCTTCTGATGATATTATTATCCCTACAGATGTAGTTCCCACCATGGTGACATATCCTGGACCTCTTCACAAGAAATACGGCCAAGAAGAAAGTGCTAAGATGTACACAAGAAGATACTACAATTCCTCATACAAATTAAAACCTAACCCTAATTAAATTGAACCCTAAATAAAGGCTGCAGGAGTGAGCCATCACTGGCAATAAATACCTCCATTCCAAACTTGCAACTGAGTGTAATGGAAGGATAATACATTTTCCTAATTTTATGTTTGTGAGAAGAAGAAACAAATAATACTAAGATGAGAAGTAAAGCAGATGAGAATCTGTACAGGTTTACCAGCTCACGAATGCCATTCAGCAGTAGGACAGCGTGCATGATATGGAAAAACCTCATAACCACTCGTAGTCCCACGAGTATCCACGCATGCCGACTGCTCACGTGTTCAAGCACACACACTTTTATACCTCCTGTGAGCTTCTCGCACAGCTCGGGGCTCCAACTGGCACAACAGATCCGAAAGAAGTATCTGTCAGTGACCTAAAAGCTTAATTTTGTGTAAAAGTTGCATTTTAAAAACGCCAGCCCTGGCCAAGTGGTGCAACCCACAGCAGCGGGCATGCTGGTATTCAGACTAAATCTACTTTCTAGGGTTTTGGCTGTGTCTGCACGGGAAATACGGCACCTAGGAGAAATAAAAACTTCCCAACTTTGCCCACACAAGGGGGAAATCAGACATGCAGGCTACAAACCACTTCGTGGCTGAAGGACTACCTGCATGTTTCCAGCTACCCATCCTTATCCTGACCAACACCACAGCTCGACCAGCCGTGCCAGCAACTGCTGCCCTGTGCCTGCCTTAACATGAGTAGGCTCCAACAGCTTAAACTGCAAAATTTTGCTGTCCCAGGTGTTTGTAGGCAGGCAGGCAGCATGCAGACAACTCTGCAGATCAAAGGGCTCAGTATCCTCTACCAGGGGACCAGAGGTGAGCAACTGGAGGCAGAAACCTTTCACGCCCAAGCGTGCTCAGTGCAATGCCGTAATGCTCCTGGCACAGCTGCACCAAGTTGGAAACAGGGATGAAGAGAGAAAAAAAGCTTCCTCACAAAGAGACCTGAGACACCCATCCTACCACAGCCTTGGTGCAGCTCCTCTGCTCAATCCCTGCCTGTTCAGCTGTGCCAAACCCTCCGGGCACCTTTCGGGTGCTTGCAGAAGGCAACTTAGGGCACAGCAAGGTCGGTGGCAAGCTGGTGGCACCCTACGCCTGCTGCTGCTGGCTACAGGAACCTTGAGGTGAGTACAGGAGGGGTTTACGCTGCAGATGTCCAAGGTTAGGTGAGCGAATCGAATCCCACTCCTCCAGTCTGTAGCAGCTTCCACCAGACAGATACTGTAGGAGTGAAGTCTGCTTCTGTTCTGCCAGGAGTCCTGTCGCTTGTTCATCAGCTCTCCTTCTGTCAAAATCTCGTGGGTTTAACTCTAACTATGAAATTTAACTATGAAATTTACCTTTGCTATGTTAGCCTTGCTTTTAAAATCAAGGAATTTTTGATTCTAGTAAGATAAAGTTAGAAATTTATGGAAAGTAAGTTACAATTCCCTTATTCCTAAAATAGATTGCATAGCAATTGCTCTTGTAATATGGGAACTCAAAGAAAACCTGCACAGCAAGCAGTACAAAAAAGCCTGTTCATCACCAAGTCTTTCCGTCAGCTCACAAGAGAGGGGATATGCTAGCAAAGGGTCAAAATCCGTGAACTCAGACATGCTGAAAACACTTAACTAAAACTACCTGCTCCCACTCGGGATGTACAGCATTATTTTCCCTTCTAAGAAGATACACTCCTCTAATGATTAGGTAGAGTGAAAAGATTAAGAAGCAAATGGAATATTCAGTCTGAACAGGAAATAATTCAGTCTTTCAAAACACAGCGAATTGTGTATGATGCACGAACCGCATTGTTCGGACGTAAATTGGAAATTTAATCCAAGTTTTGTGTATCAGGAACATTTGAATTCTTGGTCAGATAAACTTAATTAAAACCACGCACTTCCACAATACTTGGAACAAATGAATTACATCAAAGAGATGCATTAATTATATTTTGGCTTTTAATTAATGCCTATTGCCACTCAGCACTGAAGGAAGTTCTATTCAGGGCAATAATGAGGTACTTTGACAGAAAAGGGAACTTCTCATTCTCCATCGTGTTTCTGAGTCCTAAACACTGACCAACAACACAGCTGCGAGTAAGTTAGGACAAAAGCAAACACGATGTCATCAAGGGGCAGGAGATCCTACTCAATTACCGCTGGCTCTGTTTCATCTACTCCTATAGTACCAGACTAAGGAGTACCACCTAAGCGATAGTGGAAAAGCCACTATTTGTAAGAAAGAACACGAATCGTGACATTCTGCATTTTTCCATTGGTACAAAATCCCTTAAAACACCTAGAAATATGCAGTGAGACATCTAATAGGCATCACCAATACCTTCACAATGAGCACAAATCCCTTTCTTCTATCTAATGAGCACTTTCCATGGAATGCCTTCTAAAACAATACTTAGAGTAAACCAAAACCAGTAAAAGCTTAGTATTCAATATAACTTCATAGATAATTCTCAAGTCTACCTACCAGTCTCACAATGCTGCACTGCCTCATATAATGCTTCCCATACACAGTTCAGTTGCAAAAATAACTGATGATTCCAAATTTCTCCCATTCAGATACACAGAATATAGCCACTGCCGCTAAAAATATATGCTTGCAGAAAGAAATACTCAGTTTTTCTTATAAGATTTATCTCAAACTTGTTAAATATCAGATTAGTCATCAACAAATTTCTGTGGTAATCACTTTTGAGACCGCTCCTTCATGAATAAAATAATGAAAAAGATCAAAGCAGAAATCCTGCCCCCTCGCATCAATCTGAAAATTACCTGTGGGTATGAGTGGACAATCTGTATGGTTAGTCCGTGGACAGGATGCTGTACAGATCCAGCTCTGGGGTCAGCCCTGGATCAACTCTGCTGTGTGGGCAGCTCATAGCAAGCATCTCTGATCTACGAACTGCATTCAGAGTGTATCTAAAAGGCAATTTGGCTTCCCTTATGGAATAGGATAAGAACAGACTAAAAATGGGACTAAAAACCACGGTAAGCCAATGAGTGAGATGCCAAGCTAGGTGGACAGAGTCCTCTTGCTGGGCTGGATGCAGGGATTGAGGGCTTACCCGTAGCTGAAGGCATGAGTGACAGGCTGACCTAACAAAAATCAGCAGCTGATGTGTGTGGGACTGAAGGTTCCTAGCCTAGTACAGGGAAAAAACACATTCTCCAAGTGGCAGAAACTTGTACCACCAAAAGTAACTTTTAGCAGTACAGCTGTACCTACCTATGCCTTTCTGCACAGCTCCCCTTTTTGTTCTGGAGTCTTTGCTTTTACTTCTAACCAAAATAGGTTTGGCTGTAGGAACATTAAAGGGGAGAGGTACGGGGAGGGAACAGGTACTGACAACAAGAGTGGAGCCCTGGAAGGGGGTCATGAGGTCTTTTAAGCAGAATTTTGTGTTGACTGTTCGTGGGATGGGATTTAGTCTATTCAAAATACTAGCAGGATATAATAGGATGTAATGGTATCTCAGACAAAAGCCTACTACAAATGTAAACTACTAAGATCCAATACCAGAAAACACCTCAGATTTTACATTGCTTTGCATTCAACATTGTAACTGAACACCTAGCCAAATATATTTGATTGATAATTTTATCAATAGATTTTGAAGAGAGAAACAATCATTCATCCTAATGCACACACAACAAAATAAATTAAATGGAATTAAAACAAATCCGGATCAGAAACTGCTCATTTATATGGATCCCCATGCCTCTGGTGAAGGCCAAACTGATGTGTCTTACCAAGCTGAGGAAAAATAGGGTCCAGAGATATTTTTCCCGTTCTTCTCCATATGAAGCCCCATAAATCCACTGCAATGCATTTCTTCCTCTACTTAAAAAAGGAACAGGGCATTCCAAGAGGCTACACATTAAGATGTAAACCTTCTAGGAGAAGTGGATAACATTGCCATCTGTGGAAGCTGGCTCATGTTGGCATATTCACGGAGTGATCAGACACTTAATGAAGCATCTATTTTAAACCTGTGCAGTGCTGGATAAGCGACCAGTGCTGCAGTGACAGCTCCATTGTGCAACAGGAGAAAGCAGCTCTGCATCCAACGTCAGCTTCACCAAGGATGGGAGCCACACCTGACTTACTCAACACAAAGAACCCAACCCCTATTTCGTGTGATTTTTCTCCCTGATTTCACTGGCCTCAAAGATGTGTTGCTAAGCTCTTATCTAGCTGCATTTCTTAACCTAGGTCCTGACAAAAACCAACACAACAGCATCAGACAGTGAAGAGTCTGAAAAAGATTCAAGACCAAATCCCTCCCAGTTAGTTATGCTGAATTTAGCCTGCTAGTAGAAGGTTAAGCAAACAGCAATTTTTCACAAATCAGGTCTTCATTTTCTTTCTGTCCTTATTCAAGACAATTTTTCACTGATTTCCACAAGGTGCTCATCTATGCTAGAGCCAAATACTCGACAAGAAGAAAGCAAGCATACCGGGGCTTAAAACCAAACACGCACGTGCTTTTCTTACCAGAAAATCACTATTCACCAAAGTTCCAGCTTAATAGGTGTTCAAAGCACAGGTCAAAGACTACCAACATCAAAAGAAACCTTCACAGCCCCCGACAGGCGCTTTGCAGACAGATCAGTGACTGCACAAGTAATGCGTCCAGTTCTACAATAGGTACTGCAAAGATGCCGAGTACCTTGCTCCTTTAAAGTATAATCTGCACACTGATGAGCAGATGATATTACATCAGCACTGCTGGGATTTTGGTTGTTACTCCTCCGTTCCATCTAAACTGTAGTTCAACTCAATTTTATTTGCATTATTCTCAGCACATACTGAGATGTTCATGTCTACAGCTATATTGTACCTATAATATACAACCTGCTACCACTTTTACAGCTTTTCCCCCACTTTTTTTTTAAGGAGGTATTTATTCTGCTACAGGCATTTACAGCCTGGGAGCAGCCTTCATGGTGTCCTAACCAGGCTCTCTGCCAATTAGCTGATTTTGTTAGCAGCATGATGATGCTGGTCCCTGTTGAGAGCAGGGGCAAACTGCGCAGGAAAATAAATAAAACTTCTGCTGGAACACAGAATAAGACAAAGAGAATTCCCCAGCAGAACACCTGATCCTGATTACATTTTAGGCTGCCTAAGAACTCCACCAACCCTTTAAAAAAATGCACGATAAACTAAGGTGAATTGTTAACCGAGGAAATCAGTATTAGGAAATCAGTATTAGGAAAATGTTTTTGTTTTATTTTTTTTTAAAGTGATTGTGTTTGTTTGCTTTAAGACAATAGCACAGCAGAAGTAATCAATCACTTTCCTCCTGGTAGTTCAATGTCTATTTCGATAAGCTCCACCTTGCTTGCATGTGAGAGCACAAAAACCAACAAACCAGAGATACTCTAAAACCTTCCAAATTGTATTTCTTAAGTTTGTTGCCTCTGTTACATATTTTCACCTTTTCAGAACATTGTCTGGTAGCTTAACAACCAAAATCTGATTCTATTTTTGAACTCTTAGCTAATGTGAAAATGGAAAGAACCGTGCAAACTTCATAAAAACATTAAATTACTGACACAGAAGTCCCAAAGACTAAAAAATAAAATTGTGAAGAGAACAAAAATGAGACACTAGATCATCACACTGACATGCTTTCTGATAACCCATTTCTCCCCCAACTAGGAGACTAGGATAGAGAGCGGGATGTCGCAGGAGGCTAGAGACTTAAGCATTCTTTTCAATTAACAAATTAAATCCTAGACGAACCACAACAATTCATACCAGGCAGCTCTTGCATGGTATTTGCTCATGGAACAAAACATTAATTATTTGCAACAGCATTAAAAATGTTGATTAAGAAAAAGATCTGGAAGCACGATGGGAATGGAGTTGTTGCAGATTTTTCTATGGAGTCAGATTAACAAAGGTTAAAACACTTAGAAACTATTAGCCATAATAGATGAATATGTAAAGAGTGAGGAGTTATACGACACAACATTATGTGTATCAGCATTTGTAGCACACGTAATAAAAGTACAGTAAGTCTCATATTTTGTTCTAAACATGATCCAAAAGAAACTGTAATTCTAACTGCAGAATCTTCATGAAGTCTCCGACCTTTCTTGAATTTCTTGAATAATTTCTTGAATAAGTTGGCTACACACTCGCTTGGGAGAATAAATGCATACTGTATTCTAAAAAATAACTGAATTTCATGTATTGTATTGAAATTTTAACAAATATGTGCTTCGTAAACATACAGTGAGATATTGTACATGCTTACCTGTCTTGATCTGGGTCTTCCGGGAGAAAACTTCCGTTTGGTGATGGCTGGTTTCCCCATGCCAATTTTTGGAGTGACTGATATGTAAGTCGTTGGGAGAGCACTTCCAGCAGTGGAAGGCAACGCTGGAGGCTGGCTGTGCGGTACATCCCGTGCTGAATGCAAGTCTAAGGAAACATCCGGTGAGGAAGACACATTTGTCTTGGTTAGGTTAACTGCTGGGGGAAGTGAGGGGTAAGTCTCAGCTGGTGATTTTATGGGTTTGTCTGCAACCGGTGAACTGTTTGCAACACCTTCATTTGCAGAAGCAGTTTCTACTTCCAGAAGAGCTGGTGTTTCTGACTTTTCAGGGGTTTCTCCTTTTTCTACCTCTTTTTGCACTTTTATTATTTCCAGTTGATGCTCTACATGGATACAAACATCTCCTTTGCTTTCATTCCCTTGTATTTCTGGCGTCACAGTTACGGTCTCAGGTACTGAAGACAGAGACCGAGAGTCAACTGTGGATACTTCTGATGCCTCAACGCTACCTTGAAGCAGCTGTGTCTCTTCCACTTGTTTGTCTAACTCCTGCTGGATTACAGCTTGGCCACCTTCCATCACTTCCATCATTTTCTCGGTCTGACTGTCACCAGTTGCTGGTGTCTTCTGGGGAGACATTTCCATTTCAGCAGAGTTAACTTCATCAGGGACTTCTGTTTCCAGTTCTGTGGTCTTTTCTTCTGGCAATACGCCTGTAACTAAGTACAACAGTATTAAAGGCTCAGTATGAAAATCAACAACTTACACAAGTGTACTGGTCAACAAGTACACCTTATGTGTTTTATAATATACATAATGTACACATTATGTATTTTATTTAACTGAATTTTATACATACTTTAAAATATACTTTAAAAATCTCTTTCCTTTAACCTGTGTTTGTAGTAATCAGTGTTTTTAGCATGTATTCCCACTGTTGAATCCCTTCTTTTCCCACCCTGGGAACAGCAGAGTAAATGACAAGTAGGACGTTTTCAAGAGCAAACTCAAACTTGCCCCTTCACGTGTTGTCTACAAAAAGGCATTCAGGCAAAGTAAGTTTTCATTAAGGTATTGGGGCAACTTCTCAGCTGGTAACAGTGTAGAAAATATATTTCTGAAGGTATGTACTAGGCAAAGCTCCCACTGCTCTATTGCTGGAAATCAGGTTCACAAATGAATAAAAACTACAGTATGCAACAAGGAACATTGCTTTGAAATACAAAGAGCACTCAGTAGAACCTAGATTGATTTTTGGGGAATGTGAAGACGCATTTCTGTGTAGGTAGCTAGAAGTAGTGTCTGCTTTTTCATTTCTGCTCATTGAAGATATATACTAGTATACATTTAGTTTTAAGGAACTGTCTCAACGCTTCCAAGAAATGAAGAGCTAAGAAGAACGGGACTTGTATAAATAAAAAGCATTCCCCTCCTAGCGCTCTTGCAGACTTCAGGAAGTCACGTGAAATAAAAACAGTTGACATGATTTATCAGTTCAGTCATGTCTTAAAAGACTTTGTTCCAAGTATTTGTCCAGCCTTCCCTGTAACCTAATCAAGCACCTTTCATTCACAACTTTCCTTGTCAAGGAGTTGTAGTCTTATGTCTAATCCATGGAAGACCACAACATTTGCTCTGAATTTGGCTTTGAATATCTTCTTTTGATGGACCTTGATTCTCTTACAGTCCACTTATTTACTATTTCACTTGTACTTCTGAGATTCACACTGCTACACAAACTCCTCAACCTCTACAGTGCAGAGCCTAGCATTTTGTTGTGTCTTTTCTGATAAAGTTTTAAATCAAGGCCCCTGTACCTACTGCAAGCTCTGTTGACTCTAAGCCCCTTCTGTTTGTATTCTTTTCTTTGGCTAGTAATTGATGTGTGCTTTCAAGATGCATTTATTCCTAGAACGTAAATGATCAGCTATTGCAGCACACCCTGTACAGATGAGCTGTATTAAACAAATTCTCTTTTATTTGCAAATGGAAAAATGAAGAAGTAAAAACCTTAACCAAACATACACTTGCAGAGTTACAACTCGAAAACACAAGCTGGAAAGCTATAAGGTGTGCCCCAAAACATACCACGGGAAATTCCCACGTACCATTTACTTGCAGCTAAAAACAAAATAGACTTGAAGAGAAAGTGTGAGCAACCTTATTTTAACAGCAACAAATAGTGGGGTTTTTGATTTTTTTAATGTAATCCTCCAATGTATGAAAGCATCTGTTTTTCCACCTTATGGAGAAAGCCATTCCAACCACACAATTAAAATGATTTTCTCTTACACAAATCTTCTGAAGACTATCTTTCCTTTCAATGGAATACTACTTCAACCAAAAAATAAACACTATTTCTTGAAAGTTTAGACAGTGGAACCCAAGCAATTTGTCCCCTACTGCTTTTCCAGGCATTTCTTCTCCTAAATTTACAAAGTACTAAAACCTTACTGAATGGAAAAGGGTTTTGAACGCTGTTGTGGTATTTTCTCAGACTGCAAAACTCTTTCTTACCGTCTGTGACGCATCCAACAGCTGATTCTTGACTGGAGCCATTACCAGTAATGGGTTGTTCCTGAAATGTCGCAACCTCTCCACCACTTTCCATCTCCACTTCATTTGTACAAGCTTAAGGAAAGACAAATAAATTGTCAAAATTGACATTCCGTTTGTTCTATTAGTTCGGCATCACTACTTTCTGTCAAGGTTTGACCTTTTGGTTAAACCGAATGATATTTATCTATATGATGGCAGTTAGGGCACATCAGGTCAACGAGAAAGTTGGGGAGGATATATATATAGTACCCCTTGAAGAAGTCTTTTTCTCATTAACATTAAAGCTGTTTTGTACCTTTCAGATGGTGAAAAAGATCTGAAAGGCAATTAATTATATATATATATGCCTAATTGTGAAAATATAATTGAGACATAGTCACAGACTCCTTTGCATTACCTGAGCAATATAAAAGGTCTTTTTTCAATTTCCACTCTGCTAAATTCAACAGAACTTGTAGCACAAAGGCTTCGTTTTTTTTAGTTAATTTTTTTAAAACAAATGCTACAACGGTTCAATGACACAGATGAGGTTCCATCTACTATCAGCTCTTGAGTACCAATTTTCAACCCGTTTGTTGAACTCCAACAACATTAACAGTCCATTTTGCTGCTTTAGAACCAACACCTTTATCTACAATCTCCTCATACTAGAATATGAAATTGCATGAAAAAGGTGCTACTGAGTCCTTGTTCAGTTGACAGTATTGTTACAGAGCACAGAAACAGGAAGCATGTGTTTTTTTCTCATGTAAAAGATTTTTTCAGTAAAGGAAATTCATTAAAATGCACTAGACAAAGCAGGAGCAAGAAAAACAAAGCATGTAAGTAACTGCTAGCTCAAGAGGAACTGATCCTTCAGGGACATTAACACAAAAATGGTAAATGAATATAGCTTTCTGTTAAGGAAGGCCTCTTTAAAGTTCATAAAGCCTAGAATTATTAGGTGATGCTACTTTTAGCACCTAAAACCTACTTATAGACTCTGTTATCTTTAAAGCGCTGTGTTAGCTTTGAGGAAATGATCATTTAGATTTGTACAGTAAAATCAGATTTGGAGCCAAAGTGCTCTGCTGGGCATAAAACACGGCATGACTGTAGTCATGCAATAGCTCCAGATTGCTCCTAGTAGTTGAGATGACAGCCCTATTCTTCCTTGGGGAGAAAAGTATGCTCGTCAATGTCACTGTACTAGCCAGAAACTGTAAAAGAAGAATTACTTGAAACTTTAGCCTTTCAAAGAAACCTGTAACTTACTCAAAAGGGTTTCCATTAGAAGACTAGGAGTTTAAATATGACTCAGACTTCTTCCTAAATTACCTAAATACTGCGAGTCTAACAGCTTCTACTAATCTTTCAGAACAGGAGTTATCTTCAAAGTCTGAAGTTGCTACTCTAACCTGGTGCACATGTTCACTGACAGAGCTCTTCCACTCATTTGCCTATTGTCTCTGCCCTTTCTCTGAGGTTATCTTTTTCATCGTTTCCTTACCGCTCACCAAAGGTACACGCTCACACGTACATCAAAGCGAATGTCTTGCTTATGCAAAACTTCAGTCTGAACACATAAAAGCTACGGCTCTTTTGTAGTCCAACACTTTCCAGTCAAAAATTACTGGGCTTTCGAAAACAGAAACTTACGCGACTGAGCTATCAATTTCTTTTAACAGAAGATCAGAGCACAGGTATTGCTGTTTAGGCATCAGAAGTGCACATGGCGGTGGGAGAGCAGTTAATCTGTTAGATTTTACCCTGCTTCCAAATTAAATGATAATTGCATTTCTCTTAGGACGTTCAGCTTGCATGAGTAGGCACTATCCAACAGAGCACGTGGTACAAATACAGAAAGGCTTTCAGTTATTATTTCATTTCCCAGGTCTTGTGGATGACTCACCAGACTCAGATCAAGAGATGCAAGTTCTCTCTGTATTTCCTTACCATTGCTGAGTACTTAAAAAAAAAAAAAGATATTTTTCTGCATCTTCCCTTTCTGCTTTTTGCTTGGCTTGTCTATTTAGACAAGAAGCTCTCAGAAAGACGATGACTAATGACAAACTGTTTTGAAAAGAACACCTGATTAAAAGCTGTTTAATGAAATGCACCTGGCCCTTGAACACAGCCCAGCTCCCATTGCTGTGTCCTACCTGGACAGAGTGAGGCAAACGGGCAGCACGTGATGGACAAGTACCAAGAAGGACAGGGGAAAACTAGATGTCTCCAGGAACATCTACCAGAACCTGGCTTGTGTGCCTGGTAGACACGAGTTTCCCAAGAGACTTCTCAAATGAGTACATTTATGAACTATACTAATTCAAAAACAAACAAACAAACAGACTATATAAATTTACAGCTACAAGTTGTGAAGGCTTAGAGCTACCACAGAGGTGCTTATTTGCCTATGTTTCTAATACAGGGTCCTGAAGCCAAGGAGACTGACAGCACATTTAGAGGACAGCTAATGCACAGACTGCTTGAGAAGCTGCTGTTTGTTAAATAAAGGAACGGATAATGTCTACAGAATAGGAGTGGCTGGTTCACAGAAGCCTTAGTGAGATATCTGCAGATACTTGGATTTGATGTTAGTGTTTTGCAGATATAAAAATGACATTTGATTACCTGTTATACTGTCGGGTTCAGGAATGAGTTCAGAAGTATCCATTACATCACATGACTGAGTCTGATCCCCTTCTTGTCTACAGAGAGTGCAGATGTAGTCCTTCAGCTGAGACTCCAATTCGCTACCTGGAAATCTGTCACATTCTATGTGAATCCACCTGGGGAGATTAATTTAGTGTGAAATGTGATTTTAGTAATAAAAAATATAAAACATATTGCTAAGAATCAGTTGAAAAATGGCATGGTTCTCCATTCCTCTGGGGAAATTAAAAAAAAAAAATCAATCAATATTTTTCTAGAGGGAATTTTGAAAAAACAAAAATGATATGGATATGTTTGTATGTCAATTTAAACATGAAGACTGAAACTGTTGCTAAAGCCCATCAGAAAGCACAACATGTGTAGCAATATGAAGATGCTGCATAGCAAGGTACAAAGCACTGAATATGAAATAGTCTACATTCTTTAAGATGCCCAATAGCTTATTTTTTTAATTATTATTATTATTTTTTTTATTTCTGGCATAGGAAAAAACATGTAAAATGAAACAGAGAACACATGTAAACAGTCTTACATCAATATACATGTAAAAATTAAAATACCCTGCCTATAAAAATTAGGATGATGACCCTTCTTGTCTGTTTACTCATAAAATAGATGTAATCTAAGAAGCAACAGCAGCACATATTTCTCTTTACACCTCACTAGCCAGAAAGGGCAGATAACTGCCAATTACAACTTAGTTGCTATAATTAAAATAAGACTATCTAATATTGTCCATTGTATTTAGGGTTGGAATATCAAGCTGTTGTATGAAAACATACAACAGCATCATGCACCATCTATACCTTTCACAAAAATCCATGAAATGTCATACAGCTTTCTGTAAGCTTTAGGCATTTTGGTATCACTTAATAAAAATTAGGATTCTTACCTTTTGCACATGTGACAATGCAACATATCTTTCTGGAAGTCTTGGAGGCACAGTTTTTCACAGAAAGGACAGGATAAGTTGTCTTGCTGTTGGTAACAACTGTCACACACCAAACAATTATGGTGCCACTGACAGCTGGTTCGTGTGCCACACTCAGCACATACTCTACAGTTCTAGAGATCACAAGAATTCATTTGTTAGTTATGATATTTCACAATGTGATAGAACTGCCATTAACTGACATTTTTCTCTTCTGAATTAAACTAAAGAAAAATTCAATCTTTAACAATACTAATACGTTTTCCAGAATCTGGTAACAGAACATGGAGACACTGTGCAACTAACTGCAAGAAGAGTTTCCTTGAACTTCCCTTACCTGAGAAGAGCATTTCTTATCTATCTCCCCATGACTACCACAAATTGACCATGAAATTATAGATATATCTTGTGTATACTGATTTCCCTTGTTAACTCAAAACTGTATTTTTATTATTACTTACTCACAAAGTTATTGACAAAACAAGAAATTCACCCTGCCCTCCCCAAATCTACAATAACCCTGAGCTACAGAACTGCTCTTCTGGAAAGCACAAAGTGGTTGCATATAACAAGCCTTCGAGGATAGATTACATGCAGTACATTGCATAGGTTTTAGTTTACATGTGGTTTAGTTCATGAGATCAGCTGTCACTAAGCAGAGGTTATCCACTCCACTTGGATCCTATTCTTCCCTTCTCCCCTGTGGAGCCACATGGCTACACACAAGCCGGCTTTCTCCAGAAATTGCAAGCTATGTTACATGGTTAACACCCATCTGCAATACAGCTAGACAAGCATCATCTGGGTAGCAAAATTTGGCCAACTATAATGAAAAGGAATCATTCTTTCAACTTACTTTACATTTCCAACCATTTGTTGGTACAGAGTCCATAACTGGTTGTAGACAGAAAGTATGATAGCCTTTGTCGCATGTATCACACACCAGCATCTTGTTGTCTTCCCCAGAATGTCTAGAAACAACAAAAATAGCGGTATGAAAAAATTGTTGAAACAAGCCATAACTAAAATTCTGTTTAATGAGAAGTCTAACCAGAAAGGCAGATAGCTGAGCACATGAGAACATATCAACACCACTTATAAATGCCTTCAAAGAGGATACCCTTAAGTTCACATTTAAGTATGAATTAAGTCGCCATGCTTACTTTGTAAAGTGCTGTCAGGGCTGTGGCAGCCAGACTTCTAGAAATCTGCCCGTTTTCATTTAAACAAGTGTAGGCAGATTTAATAGCATTTCTGTACTGAAATCAGTTCAAAAATTTGCTGTCAGCTGTGTGTGATCAGGGAACAATCTTCTTTAAAGTGAGTTGATCTGAATGTTGGCAGATAGTGAGTGTTCTCAGAAAACAACACAGCACGGACTGATCAGGTATGTGAGGCAGCTGCAAAGTGGCATTTTCCCTTCATACTGTCCAGCTGATCTGACTGAAGCTGAACAAAATTCTTATCTTTTCTGTTAAACCCTTAAAGAAAGCAAGTGAGCAAAGAACCTTACACTGCCCATCAGATTAGGTTTTACGAGAACAAGTGCACAAGCGGTCACAGTTTTCTAAGTGGCAACAATCATGCTTTGCTGTCTCAGCACTTGTTTGGCGTAACAATTCAATCGTGGTCACTCGTATTACTTCTTTTCATTTGCTCAGCGAAGCCTTAGGATTGTTTTCAGAATGACTTGTTATCTGCCTCTGAAAGATACTACGGAACAGCAGGGATGGCCTGTTGCAGGGGAGCTACACCGTAATTGGTACACGCACTGCTGAAATGTCAGCTGAACAAGAACCCAGGTTCCCAGACAGGAGAAGTGCTACAGTAAACTGATTTGTTAATTTAGTAAATTTGACCAAATTCCTCCTGCATAAAAGGATGATGAAATCACAAGCTTTTGCAGCTTTCTTGAACCTGCCAAGTTGAAAATAACCCTGGGGGTAGAAGGTGCAGAAAATCCAGCTCGGCTTTTAGAAGACAGATGCCAACACAAGGATCTGACCAGTTACTTCAATTAATATAACATCATAACACGTACCAGGGCAATGATCTACAACTTTTTGATAAAAAGAACTCTTAATAAAATATATGTTTTAAAATCACAGTAAATCTAAGAACCTTCTCCCCTTGTGTCACAGGAGTCTTACTTACTTGCAGTTCTGGCACACTTTGCAATCAGGACACTGCCAACCTGCTCGTTTTAAAGGTGTAACTTGTATGTCTAGGCACATCCCATGGTAGTGCTGGCCACAGGTAGTACAAAAAAGTTGATCTAAGAGGTCTCCAGGGCTGTCGCACACCGCACAATTTGCTTCTTCCTTTGCTACAAAGAAATCATTTTGCCAATTATTATTTCATTTGAAATTATGAACAATTTACAAGAAAATTTTCAGTGGTTTTTATACATACAAAACTTGATAATTCTTATGAAATTGGAACTGTATTAATATACTTAGTAACCACTCCTTTCATTTAGTCTTCTGATATACTCAACTGATCTTCTCATAACAGAAATACATTCATTTTAAACCTTAATAAAAGTCTCAGCAAAACAAATAGGTTTACAGGTTTAGGTCCAATTCTTATCTGGAACAAGTACAAATAAAGCTCCTAGCAGAATAAAACTATTATTTATCTGAGGTGTTTGCAACATGGTTGCTCTAACTTGAGCTAAGGCAAGCAAGCCTATCAGTATGAACTAAAAACTGCCAAAAGACAAGCATTTGAGTGAACCCTTCCACATTGTTATTACAATATATATTTATATATATATACATACTAACTTTGCTGTGCACCACTTTCAGTTTTTTAAAAAAACAGGAGTGTGAGCATGCATCTTGCTCATGCCTGAACACACAAATTCTTGGGGGTTCACACACTAGAAAAATAGGTCTAAACCAATGTATTCATTCAGCTGGTCCTACCACACATCAGTTTTTATAAAACCTTTAAATACAGAATTCTGGTAACTTTATCTATGTCAAGAGAAAAAAAAAAGTAATAATCTTATGGCACTCTAATGCCTCCATGTCTGAATTGAAAATATGACATTAAGGAAGACAGAATGCTTTCCGTGACTTGTAAGACAGATGCTTTGTCCTACCTATAAATGTGAGGCCTCTACAAATAAATCCCATTTACCTCTGTTAAATAGCAGTTCCACTGCTCAACTCTCTGGAGATTACACTTGCATTAAGCATGCTCAACTTCTCATGGCTGCTAAAACAGAGGTGGTTCACCAGAGTTATCTTGCATAGTGACTGAATTTGCCCTATCCTAACGCTTCAGGGATCAGGTCTTTTCCTGCAACTGTTCCTCCAAACAACTGGGGTCACAGTGGTTTGCACTGAGGAAGCAGGGAGTCTCCCTCCCGTGCTCCCAATGCTCCCTCTGCTGGCCCCAGTTACAAACCAGAAGGGAAACCTGCACCTGAAGGCAGCTACAGGGCAAGAAGAGGCCTGGGTTGAGACAGAACTGGTCTATCTTCTGCCAGTTTTTAAATTTGTACATGTTTCACCTTGCAATTTTAATATTGGACTCATGTTCTCTGAGTCCACTTGTATATATCTGTATATACATAGATATAGATATGTATCTGTAGATATAGATACATAGTGTATATATAATAAAAACGCGTGTATTAGGTCTTCTTATACTTCATTATGAAGTCAGGAACCTTGAAATTTCTACAGTACCAGCTCCTAAGATCAATACTTCTTTTTCCATTCATTCTTAGTTGAATCAATTTAAGATCTGAGTATTCGCTCAGACTAGAGACGGGGAAAAAGCAGAATTCTGTTCTTCCCTCTACATAATACATAAATTTACCTTTTTAATGGAATAAAAAGGTAAATATTCATAATTTTAATTTACTTTCAGTACTGGTTATTATATTTGCCCCATGAATTATACTAGGAAGGCAAAAATGCAGAATTGTACAAGACATTCAATAAACTGGAAACAACCTAGCCTGACGGGAAGGAAACCATAGGCAAGTATGAGCAAAATGTGGTCAGTAAATGTGTTTTGTTCTTTGTATTTCTAACAATCTGCGGTGACTGAGGATGTGCCTCACCTGAGCAGACGACACTTACCCTAGTTTGGGATTTTCAACTCCCTGAGACATGATTAACTGCATAAGGAGGTTTTAGACCTGGGCTACGTTACCTGGCTGTGGGTAGAGGCAGCACTAACGCGTCCTGCTCAGTGAAGACTCCAGGTGAGGGTGGGCAGGCCAGACTTAAGAACAAGGAAAACTGATCCTTCTGCAAATTTCAGCTCTAAAGCACCCATGGCTGCAGAGTGCTCTCAGCATCTGGTGGCTGAGGCACAAAAAGCTCATGAGGCCAGCAGAGGAGAGCTCGAGAGCTCTCCCACCTACCTCCCAGCACAGCAGGGCAAGAGATAGCAAGGGGCACGGAGTCAGCTCAGGCTACAACTCGCTCACTCCTTCTCCCTCCTCCTGCAAGCAGCATCTCCTCTGTGTCTCCCTTCCACACGATGAAGCTCACATTGTTTTGGCTGCCCTCACCTGCGACACACAGCACTGCTCAGCCCACTTTGGGTAAGAAGAAATAAAAGAAGAGTGGGTAGAACAAATCTGACATGAGGGGATGAAAAACAAACCAGGACTTCTGAGGACAGAATTAATTACTTCTCAAGATACAGGAGGATGTGAGTGCTTGGAACAGTTGCTAGCATCACAGGAACACTCTACAGACATCACTTTTAAAATTCAAGTCTCCCACAAGATGGATGTTAAGACTACAGGGTTCCTGTGCTGTGAACCGTTTCCAAACTTGCAAAAATACAAACTGGGTAAGAAGTATGGTCTCTGTATTCCAGAATCACCATCTGGTTGAGGTAGGAAGGGACCACTGGAAACCATCTGGTCCAACCCCCTTGCTTAAGCAGGGCCACCTAGAGCCACTTGCCCAGGCCCGTGTCCAGACAGACTTTGAAACTCTCCAAGAAGGGAGACTCCACAACCTCTCTGGGCAACCTCTGCACAGTCACCTTCCTGAGGTGAAGTAAAGGCGTGCTTCCTGATGTTCAGACAGAACCTCCCGTGTTCCAGTTTGTGCTCATTGCCTCTTGTCCTGGCACTAGGCACCACCGAAAAAAGCCTGCCTCCAACCTCTTTGCACATTACCTTCAGGTATTTCCATACACAGATAAGGTCTCCCCAAGTCTTCTCTTCTCCAGGCTGAACAGTCCAAGCTTTCTCAGCCTTTCCTCATAACAGCAGTGCTCCAATCCCTTATTCGTCTCCATGTTCCTTCGCTGGACTCTCCAGTAGGTCCATGGCTTGTACCGAGGAGTCCAGAAGTGATCACCACAGCCCAGGTGTGGCCTTATCAGTGCTGAGCAGAAGGGAAGGATCACCTCCCTCAACTTGCTGGCAATACTTTGCTTAATACAGCCCACAATACCGTTAATCTTCTTTGTAGCCAGGGCACAACTGCTGGCTCGTGTTCAACTTGGTGTCCACCGGGATCCCCAGATCCTTTTTCTGCCAAGCTGGGTGGCCCCCAGCACGTCCTTGTGCCTGGGGTTGCTCCTCCACAGGTACAGGACTTCGCACTTCTCCTTGCTGAACTTCATGAGGTTCCTGTCAGCAGATTTCTTCAGCTCCTCCAGGTCCTGATGCTGACCAGCCAGTAGTTCCCTCGGTCCTTCTGCCTGTCCTTCTTGAAGACAGGTCTGACATTTGCTTTCCTCCAGTTTTCAGGTACTTGTACCAGTCACCATGACTGATCAAAGATCAGGGAGCACCCTCTCAGTGGTATCTGCCCCTTCCCTCAGGGCTCTGGGGTGCATCCCATGAGGGCCCAAGGACCCCTATTTGCTTATGTATTCCCTGACCCCGATCCATTCTATCAAAGGTACACCTCTTTGGCCCAGCCTTTCCCCTCATCTTTGGGACCTGAGAACCATAAAGGCACTCCCATACCTTCCCTTCCTCTCCTCTGTTAAAGCTACCGTTTGAATAAATAACACTAAATGGAAAAAGAAAACTTCAAACATATTTGAATGAATTACATTTCCAAGTTTGAATGTAACAGCACCAAACAAAGCTTCCCTTACAAGACGCACAGACAAGGCAACAAGACTACACTGCAGCACACCTGTGATCAGCAGTCAAGTACCCTGCCTGCAGTGGAGAGCCTTTAATCCTATGAGAATCTGTGAAGTACAGCATAAGCTGGTTTGCAAACAAGCTCTTAGGATGTACAACAACTGGAATGCAAATATTTTTTTTAACATCTCTGAGAAATACATCCTATTAGTCTGTTTCAGGAAATATCAAAGTACTCTGAACCTCCACAACTATGCTTCTACTTTTAAGAGACATTCAAATGCATACTCTGAATACATTTTTGAAATAAAAAATTAATAATGGCTTTTAAAAATAAAATCAACTTCTAGAAATAAAACAGACTTCATATATATGACATACACTCTCAATCCTGTGTGTAACAAGCACTTCAATGAAACCTTTTACTCGTAGACTCCACTGACATCAATCACATGCTGAAATTCAGCTTGCTCAAGCGAATTTAGGCATCTTACAGGATACTCTATGCTTCTGGAGTGGGTTCTCAGCTAAGGAAAACCAACCACACCTTAAATATGGAATTGCTAAATCTCCAGCTGATACAAATCCCATCATTTGAACCGAGTATACTTACATCTTTCAGGAGCCTGATCAATGTGGTCTGGACAAAGAAGGGACAAGTTACTGAAATCCTGAAACGTGCCTGCTCCAGCAGCACAGGGGTAATGGTACATCTGGGTACATTTCTCTTCACAGCATTTGATAGTGGCTCCAAGGTGCTTACAATATGCACATCTCTGAAAAATAAACACACAAAGCATTCAAAACCTAGTTTTTTTGGCATTTTTTCAGCCAGGTCTGTTACCCACCTCACTGAGCCACACAGGCACTAAGGCCAACGGAAGGGAGTGAATAACTGAAGAAAAGAAAACAAGCAGCTGGGATTGCGCCTTTCAATGGCTCTCTCTGAACTTTCCTACTTAAAATGTTCAGCGAAACCCACCCTAAACATGCCCTGATGACTGAGGTTCTTCTTGTCACCGAAGAGCACTTTTTCTTCTATTTGTTACCTAACTTTAGTGATGTTTTCAGTAGGGAGGCTTGGACACTGAGTAACAAAGGCAGACCATCCCGTGCTGTCAATAGGCTGTAACGAAAACCCACGCAGTTCTGCATGTTGTAATGTAAAACCGTAGGGGCTGTAATCAGAACCGCGACTGGCAATGAAATATTATGTTCTATTGAAAACCTTAATGACATCATACGACTATTCTCTCTGGGATGATAAGGCAGTAAATAATCCAGGACTTTCTTGTCGTCTCTCGTTTCAATGCTACGCAAATATCAGTCACATCTGTAAAGAAATCATTTCCCATAAAGCAGCATCCAATAACCCTCCCCCTCGTTAGTCAGGAGGGACCAGAGTCCATCAGCCTGCTTATAAAACATCACCCACACCTTTCTGATTCGGTTAATCAGTTTTTACTTTCTTGGATTTATTACAGTCCCCGAAGCACCGTAACAAGCTTTTGCACTTTTTCACCAAGGCAACACTTACTTTTTAAGGATAGAGCTCGGCACTGTGAGATTCAGAGCAAATTTAAGAAAAAAAACAGGTCAGTGGCTCACGGGAAGGCATACATAATGTAAAGCACCAGCTGAGCTCAGGGACTCTCATTTTTCTTCATAAAAATATAGACCTTAATGCTAACACTGCCGTGTTCGACTGCTAGCCCCAGTGTCAAGTAACACCCAGATATGAAAACACACCAAAGCAAGAAGTTCCTCGCTGCCTCTGCTTAAGTCTTAGAACCCAGAAAATATTTATTACCATCATTCTTCTGTTATTCAAAGTCTAGCACGAAACTGGGCATGAAATAGTGCTATTATGAGCCCACAGATATCAAAACCGACCCACACAAAAGCCCAAGTCACAAAGCTGGCTGCGTTAACCGCTGAGGTGGCATCCCTAAAACCAGGCGAAACTCACGTCTTTAGCAGAGCATCACAAGTCACCCACAAGGCAAAGACAATACTGGCTTATTACCTACTGAGGACACGATAAGCAGCCCTTTTGCATGGAGTTTCTGAAGCAGGTGAAGAAGCTAACACTGGTAATTAAGTTTAAGGGCTGCCAACAAAACCGAAGTAAAGCAAAGAACTCATCTTAGGAAACTGTATTTACTGAGCTGAGGATGCTGTACAAGGTAAATCATAAAATTCAGCTGTGAGGTAACAAAAATACACCCCAAAGCCTTCAACTTCATGAACCTCAACTGCACAATAAACTGCACACAACCCAGAGCGTAATTTTGTCCTTGTGGCTCCTGCAGCCTACTGAGATGGCCCACACTAAGCCAAGTCCCGACTCTTAGAGGCAGGCCACCAACTTTTCAAAGACATTACTCAAGAAGAAAACGTTAGGAAAAGGAACCTAGGAGGGGCAAATGTCCTAAAAGATGTTCCCCAAGACAATACTCAACAAAGCATCCATTAGGTCCAATTCCTTAAAAATTTATCTAATGGGAAATTAAAGTCATGGAAGAATTGCAAGCACTCAAAGACTCAAACATCCTAAAAACTGGAAATAATGAAGATGGATTAAAGAGTAATATTAAAAATATTTTAAGATGTTACATCTGGTTTTCAAAACCAACAATCAACAATGGTACATAACAACAAAAACAGAATACTTTTTTTCCAAATGCTGTGTGACTGACTGACGGAATTATTAGAACGGAGCAAAATATAGGATTAATGCAAAGCCTCGAAGAATGTTGATGTTGATTTAAAGAATCATGTAAAGATGCTGGAAGAAAAATGGAAGCCCAAATTACATTTAATTGAACCCTTCAAACCCATCTGCTAAACTGCACTGGCAATGAAAAGCATTTGGCAGCTAAGTGAAACACACACTTTAAAAACAATGTGGTGTATATCATCTGAAGCAAATAAAAAGCACAGAATATCAACATTTGCTGAATTTATAAGACAGATAAAGCAGTCTGAAGAAATAAATGCCCAAAGGGATTTTTTTTTTGGCAACAGCTGCTGATGAGAAGATTTACTTTTCCAGCAGAAGCCAACGTTGCTCTGCAAAAAGGCCCCCGTGACCCTAGGGGAGCAGCGTGCAGCCGGTACGACCGACTGACTGCCCAGCTGAAAGTGAGCATGTGAACAGCAGAAGAATATTAATTAAAAAAAATATAAAAGTTCTGCTAAACAAAGATCAGCAACCAATGCTACCTTATTATGCTATTGGTAAAATATGGCATCAGGATAGTCAGAGGTGAAAGGAAGGCACAAATCCCACTTTTGATCAAATACAGTAAAAAAAAAAAGTGTCTTCAGCACCCCAGGAGGCCAGTAAGAGAGGACACGCCAGGATGGAGTTCTGTTAGCATGAACACAAGATATGCTGTTACGTGGAAGGGGTGGGAGCTGGATCCAAGCATTCAAAGGGTAGGTATACAAAAACATCAAGCTGTTAAAGCAAGACAAACACCGTTTTGTGCACGGATGTAATCATTTTACAGCCCTGTTCTACAGAAAAAAAGACTTTACCAGGTGTCACAAAGCTAGAGAGGCAGTTCCTTACTTATTTGGATAACATTTAATAACATGAATGTCGTTAAAGCAGCATTTTCCTCTTCAAAAAGTCCTTCATTGGTTACCAATTGTTTTCTTCAGCAAGCTCCTAGTGCATTCACCCGTGGCAAGAAGGCTCTCATCCCACCCATGCTTCTGCTGCTTCCTATTTTTGTAATTTCCATCACTTAGAACTGTCCACACCTTCTACTTGGTCCTTCACACCTTCTTCTATAACATCTGATTTTTCAGATAGACATGAAAGGAGCTCATTTTCTAAAGCAAATGGCTATGTGCTTTTTCAAACTTCGTTTTAAAATTCCCTTTATTCACTAATCCAGTTGGATAAACACGACGTTGTCACACAAACAGAGTGAAAGAGACAGAGCTAAGTGAATTAGCAGAAAACCAGAAATCCCAACTGATCCATCACCTACAGGAGAACATCCTCCAGCAAGTACAGTAACAGAACCCACAGAAATGCTCTGCACAACTCACACCAACCTGCTGGAATCCTAGCTGCACTGAAATCAAGGGAACAAAAAGGTTGGCGCTGCCTGTGGCTTGGAAACTCAGCTCAACATCCTAATTTGCTACCGGCTTTCAAGGGAACACAAGGCCAAACTGGAAAACTGAGACAAGAGAAACAGCTCGCTCTTCCCTCCTTTCTAACCTTCCTACATTAAAAATAAAATAAAATCAACCAAAGATTTATTCCAAGTTTACATCAACCTTTCGGCTGCTCCACATCTGGAGGCATATTCCAAAATTCTGAAGAAAAGGCATCTGCATTTATGGTAATTTAAGACTACCCAGATAGTACCATGAACAAATCAGAGGTCGTATTTTATCATGGTTTTATTTGTCCTTAGAATTACTTTATAGTATTATTGTCTCGGCAAATGGGCAAGTAACAACTCTTGGGAGGCAGACATTAAATAAAGGCTAAAATATGGACTTTGATTACAAACCCAGTTGCGACCTGATTAGTAGAGTTAAATATTAGCATTAGGTATCGCAAAAAATTTTTAAGCAAAATGACAAAACATTTGCATTACAAACTTATTTAGTTTTAAAAAGGTCAGCTGACAGAACCTGCGATAACAATAAGCAATTTTTATTATAATATACAGCGTATCCAAACATGCACCAAGCCATCTGTCCTTAATTAAACAATTTAACGTACTACCAGTAAGAGCAAATTTCAAACTTGGCTCTCAAAACCTATCATAAAAGCCTGGAACTAATGAGAAGAAGTGGACATTAACATCCTGTCATTAATGAGACCTCAACAAAACTTTAACGTAAACAGGGATTAATAAAATAGGTTTTCTGTTAGTTCTGGTAATCTTCATTGATTACCATTATTCTATGACCCAGAAAAAAAATAAACACATTGCTCATGGATCCTAATCACCATTAGCACCTCCAAAGTCAAACTCCACTGTTTGAAGTACCATAAAGTGTTTCCCAGCACAATGCAGTAAGTGGTACCAGAAACAGGACAAAGATTTTGAGTTTTCCACTGGACCCCTGGTTAGAAAAGGTACTCAATTACGCATGTTTCCCAAAGTACCAAATTACCTTCTAATTTCTGTATTTTGTAACTATGCCACAGATTTGGAAATGACTGAAATGTGTAACAAGCAGCTCCATCAGAGATCAGTTGGATTTGATCCTCAACATAAACCAACATTGAAGGAATTAAACTTCAGGTTTTTATCCTACAACCGTAACCTAAAATGTCCTTAACACAGACAGCACGCATTAAAACCTTACTATAGTGCCCGCTTCAAACACTCAGAAGTTTGGCAAAACAAAAATGGTAACTGTACAAATAACCAGGTTTTGCTCTAAAACGTGAAAAACGATGGACGAACAGAAGAGCTGCAATTTGGCCAAGCTCAACATGACTGGAAGATGTCTAATGCAGAATTCTCAACTTGATGCTCCATCTATAATTAATCTGCTCAGTGTTTGTACAGGAATAAGCACAACAAGTGCAAAGATACCTATGACGACGTATCTACTGCTGGAGACTCTTAAATGCAATCAGAGCAGACAGATGTCACTTCAAGTGTGGAGATTTCAGGCTGTCTTCACCTGACTGCTGTGTTTCTCCTTCCCCCTAAGTCGATTCCCTTTTTTTTTTTCACCTTTATAGAAAATTACATTAAATAAATGGTGTTGATATCAATGCATATGCAAA